ATTTTTAAAAATAAAGCTTATAATTTCTTATTAAATTTAATAAATACTTTTTTTATTTATAAGATATTAAGTTAAATAAAAAGATTTTTATATTAAAAAATAAAGTATTATTTATATTTTATTATAAAAAAATTATAATATTTATATTAAAAATAATATTTTAAAATTAAATATAAATATATTTTTTAATTAAAATAAATTAAAAAATAAAAGTAAATATTATATTCTTTTTATTTTTATTAATATTATTTTCTTTAATAATTATATTTTTTAAAAAGAAATTATAAAAAAAATATTATTTATAATAATTTAATAATATATTATATTATTTTTATAATTATTTTTTTTTATTAAAAATAATCTTTATATTAAATCCTTATATTTTATATAAAAAATATAATATAATTAATATTAATAATTTTATAATTAATATATTTTATTTATATAAAATATTAATTATAATATTATTAATATTTTATTAATAAATAATTTAAAAATTAATAATTATATTTATTATAAATATAATATTTTTTATTTTTTAAAATATTTTATTAATTATTATAATTAAAATTATATTAAAAATAAAAGTTATTATTATTAAAATTATTTTAATTAAAATTATTTTAATTAAAATTATTATAATTAAAGCTTTTTTAATTATATTTATTATAATTTAATAGCTTATTATTTTAATATTAATAATTAATATAATATATTTATTTTTCTTATTATTAATATTTTAATTATCTTTATTATAATATTAATTAATATTATATTAAAAATTAAGTTTAAAAAAAATTTTAATTTTAAGAATAATAATTTATATAAGTATTTAAAATTAAAGAATATATATTATAATTTTAATATATTTATATAAATATAAATAATTATTATTAATAAAAAATTATTTTTTTAATAAAATATATTAAGTATTTATTAATATAATTATAATTTATTAAATATTATAATAAAAATCTTTTAAAAGTATTTATTAATATTTTTTAAATTAATATATATTTTATTAAATATAATTAAGATTTAATTATAAAAGTATTATTAATAATTAATTTTTATATTAAAATAAGCTTTAAACTTTAAATATATATTATAAATAAAAAAACTTTATATTAATATAATAAATATAATAAATTTTAATATAATTTATAAGAATTAAGAAATATATTATATAAAATTATTTAAATTTAATATTTATTATTTAATAAATATTAAGAAAGATTTTTATTTTATTATTTAATAAATTATATAATTTATTACTTTAATTTTTTTTTTATTTTATATTTTTTTATTAAATTATATATTATTATTAATATTAAAAAGATTATTTAATAAATATTAAAAAAGAGTTTTAATTTATTATTTAATAAATTATATAATTTATTACTTTAATTTTTATTTTTAATTTATATTTTATTAAATTATATATTATTATTAATATTAAAAAGATTATTTATTATTTTTTAAGAAAATAAATTTTAATATAAATTATATAATTATAAAGATTTTAATATTATAATAAATAATAATATTAAATATAAAGTTTTTATTAATTTTTTAAAGAAAATATTTATAAATTATTTCTTAAGTTATAAAGTTTTTAAGTATTTTAATAAACTTAATCTTTATTAAAATAATATTTTTTAATATTTTAAAAAAGTTTTTATATTTAATTAATTAAAGGTTTTCTTTTTATAAAATAATAATTATAATATTTATTATAAAATAATTAATTAAATAAAGTTTTATTTTAATTTTATAAATAATTAAAAATAAGAAAATTATAATTTTTAAAATTCTTTTATTATTTTTAATAAAGGAAATTAAATACTTTAAGTTTTAATAAAAAGAATAAAAGCTATAAATAATAAAATTATATTAAAAGCTAAGGTTTTTTAAATTTTTTAAATAATAAATATTTTTTAAGTATTTATTATTTTTAATTTTTAAAATTAAAGTTATTAATTATAAAATTTAAAAAGTTTATATATATTAATTACCTTATATAATTTCTTTTTATATTATAAAAAATATTTATTATATATAAGTAATACTTTTAAGTTAATATATTATTTATTAATATTTTTTTTAATATTAACTTTTTTTTTAAAGGAATTTCTTAAAGTTTTAAATAATAATTAATTTTTTAAATATTATTATATTTTAAAAGTAAAGTTTTTTATAAAGTATTAAAGTAAATTATTATTTATATTTTAATATTTTATTATTTTCTTTATAAATTTAAAAATAATAATATTTATTTAATTAATTATATTATTTACTTTTATTATTAATTTATTTTAATAATTAAGATTAACTTATTAATTTTAAAATCTTTTATTAAAATTAAAAAGTAATTAAAATATTTATATAAAAATATTATTAATATTTAAAGATATTTTCTTAATATTATTATTAAATTTAATTATTTTATTAAGTTATTAAAATATTTAAGTAATTTATATATAAGAAAAAAGAAAAAGAATAATTAAGAAGATATAATAAGGTTATTTTAAAGTATAAAAAAAGTATTAATTATATAATAAAAGAATATTTATTAAAAGATATTTATTAATTTAAATAAATATAAATTATTATTTATATTAAAGTAAAGTAATTATAAGCATTTTTAGCATTAATTATATAATAAAATGCATTATATAATTAATAAATTTAAGATATTATTAAAAGCTTATTAATTAATAAGTTAAATTTTTATAATAAAAAAATTAAAGCATTATTAATTTTTTTTTATTAATTTTAATTATAATATAGCTATTAATACTTAATTAAATAAGGTTTTATTATTAATAATTACTTATTTTTATAATATTAATATTAATTATTTAATATAAATATTATAATTTAATTATAATAATTCTTATTATTAATAATTATTACTTAATTAATAATAATATAAATTTATTGCTTATTTATTTTATTATTTATAATTATTTATAAGTAATTATTAATTAATATTAACTAAGTTAATATATATTAATTAATAGTAAATTAATTATATTTAAATTAGCTATATAAAAGAAAGAAGGGTTATAGCTATAAGCTATAAAACTTTCTTTTAGCTATATATTATTTAAGGGTAGTTACGTGTTATTGCATATAACCCTTACTTGCCAATGCTTTAATGCTAATTACTTATAATGCTTATTAAGCTTAATATTATTATCTCCTTATAGCATGTTTATAATTATAATATTTATATTTATATTTATATTTATATTTATATATTTATTTATATTTATATTTATATTTATATTTATATATTTATATTTATATTTATATTTATATTTATATTTATATTTATATATTTATATTTATATTTATATTTATATTTATATTTATATTTATTTATATTTATATTTATTTATTTATATTTATATTTATATTTATATTTATATTTATATTTATATTTATATTTATTATATTTATATTTATATTTATATTTATATTTATATTTATATTTATATTTATATTTATATTTATATTTATATTTATATTTATATTTATATTTATATTTATATTTATATTTATATTTATATTTATATTTTATTATATTTATATTTATATTTATATTTATATTTATATTTATATTTATATTTATATTTATATTTATATTTATATTTATATTTATATTTATATTTATATTTATATTTATATTTATATTATATATATTATGTATTATTTATAACTTTAATTTATTATAATTTTCTTTAAATATTTTAATTATTTAAATAATTAAAAACATTTTATTTTTTAAAAAGTTTTTATATTATAATTATTAATTTTTAATATATTAAATATTTATATAAATAAATTAATATCAATTTTATTTAAATTATAATTATTTATATTACTTTAAATTAATTAAATTAATTAAATTAATTAAATTAATTAAATTAATTAAATTAATCAAAAATAAAGAATTAAATATAGTTAATATTAATTAATATTAAATTAAATTAATTTCTTTATATTAAGTAGGTGTTAAGGTTGGCTAAAGTTAATAAATATTGCAAAAGTGCGCTACTTATTAATATGCGCTACTTATTAATAAATTATGTTGTATCTTTCCTGCTTATTATATATGCCGCTATTCTTAAGATAAAAGCTTAAAAGAAAAGGTAATTTATTAAGGGTTTTTATTATAAGGAAAGGATTTACTTAAAAAAACTATAATATTTATTTATTTAAAAAAATAACGCAATATTTTTAATACTTATTTATATTATAAAAGGAGGAAAGTTTAATTAAAGAAAGAGGGAGGAGGGGGAAATTAGTTTAAGTATACTTTATTTTATGAATATATTACTTAAACGCTACTCCTGCGCTGCTTACTTGCTTTATATTACTAATTACTTTGCTTATATTCTACCACCCTTACAGTAGTGGTGCCTGAATCGGAGGTGGAGGTGGAACACACTTTGGTTGAGGTGGAAGTGGATTTGACGGTCCTAAATTTGAAGACATCTGAAAAGTTTCAAGTTTGTGTGAATTTTGTATTTGTGGTTTGTTATTGTGCGCAAATTTTAATCTGGAAGAAGGGACGACAGAAGGAGAGATTCTGAGAACTTGCTCAAATTAAATACCTGGCAGAAGACTGATTTATTCTTTCCTTTCAAACGAACATATGTGTGAACCACTGACCTCATCTCCTTCATAGCTCTCTTATCACTTTCTCCGGAAAGGTTCTGAATTGCTGGGAAACAAGGGTGGGTAGACTGCACACGCGAAGCAATAACTGCCGAAAACCTGATGAGCTTTAGTTTCGATGGTATGGGAGAGAAGGAGTTGTTGAAGCCTTGCAGGTAGTCTCACAAGACGATCAGTTCCGTGCTTGCGAGGGAAAGTATCGGTCAGTCTCAAATTGTGTCTGCCGACCATCTCCCTTGCGTCGAATTGGTGGTTATGGGGAAACCCTGAAAGCCTATGGTATCAGTTACCGCTTCTGGTCTGACCTCTTTGATATGCAGAACACCGCTATTCACAGCATCTCAAGCTCGATGGGAGCTTGTTTCGAAGGTGCGTGGCCAGGATCGACATCCATTCCGCGGCTGACTTCTCTGTCAGGGATCGATATCGATTCGCGGTTGACACCTCTGCCAGGGATCGATGTCGATTGGCGGTTAACTCCTCTGCCAGTGATCGATATGATCCCTGGAAAAGCTTTGATCCACGAGTGGGTTCTTAGATACTCTGAGGGTGCCATCGTCTCAGTCGAGTAACGTTCACCGCAGGCTAGCGATAACCGATGGGGGCTGGGGCTTCCATCCAGGCACCAACTTGCGGCACAGCTAATGGGATGATTTCGTCAAGCGGTCCCCCAAGTATCACGGTTGAGACACAAGGTAACGCCTGTGGTGCTGCCCAAGGCAGTACGTTATGAGCACATGTGAAGGCTGAGCGAGAGTCTCTAGAAGGTGAGAATCATCCCAGGGAGGAATCAAGACAAGAAGAAGAGTAAACGCTGCAAAATCTCCTTCTACACTTTACTTGCAAGCCTCCTTCGCCAATTTTGAGCATGATCAAGCTGTCTGCCGCTGCCTTTTTGGCTGTTGTTGCGGCCTCGTTGTTGGCCCTGTCGACTGATGAACGCACCGTTATGAAGTCTTGGGTGTCTGCTATAGATCATGCTTCGAATGCCTAATACTTTTTTGATTTTTTTCATCGGAACAATGGAATCGAGCATTCGATGTGTGTGTGGTCACACCTTGCAGCTATCTTCATGGTGACTGGGGCTACCCAGATGCCTGGGGTACCACATTCCGTCTCGGCCATCACCTGCTGTCCGCAACCTTGCTGAGGATCATGCCAATCTTTTAGAGAATACTACACCACCGTCACGCATCGTGTCCTCTGGGATATCTCAGTCCAATTGATATCTCCAAGTCTCCTTCAACGCCGATCTCCAAGTCAGGCCTACGTGCTGGTCCGTCTCCACTTCATAAACCAGTATCAGCCAGTCTCGTCGATGAGCAGGCCATCCCTTCGCAAGCTCCAACCTCGATGAATGGAATAAGATTTTGAACAGAGCTCTGGCGAGTCCGCCCCATCACCTCCACAAGAAGCCCAGGTACGAGGCCAGCGTGGCCAGCACGGTGAGCGGCCCAATCGCAGGCGCCGCCCACAGCGCAAACAGCCCAATGTGGATGAACACCACCGCCATGAGCCGCACGACGTCGACGGACGCCAGCATCAAGCATATCAGAATCGCGGCGGCCACCAATGCGACGGACAAGACAGTCACGACGGACCCCAGGCTGGCGGCGGGTTCGTTGACGAAGTCGATCCGACCGAGGTGGAATGGGAGGGTGAAAGCGCCCATGAGGACGACGACGCCGCTGACCCGACGCGGGTTATCCTGCCTGCCCTTTTTGGAGTCATCTTTGTTGTTTGCCCTGTGACCGATGCAGTAAACGCCGCCGCCTCTCGGTTCCTCCGAAGTCTCGTGTGGTAATGTGGTTGGTTGTTTCTTGCTCTCCTTGGTCGCTGCTCCCGGCTGGGTGACTCTTGACTTGAGCTTCTCGAGACTGTAATCGAGACTCGGAAAGGCCTTCTCCAGAAGGTTGGTGATTCGTGGAACCTTGGGTAATCTCGCCATTTCACAGTCTGGTTGCTGTATGCTTGGAAACCCGACAACCGTTGGGGTGCTGGTGAGTTGCGACACTGTGGACGAGGTGATGCTCGTCGACTCGGACCGCTTTAAACCGTGTTTTGCTGTCATCGCAAGATTCGGCTGGCTTCCCGAAACGATGGATGCCCTGACACAGGCTTTGGGGAGAGGTGAGCTCAGTCCAGAACGATAGTTGGATGTCTGCCTACTTACGCCGGTATCCCGTTGCTAAGGAAGCTGGCAGCTCGATGTTTGGGCTGCGCGGTGCAAGGAGACGGGGGTTTCGAGAGAGGAGAAGATGGCGGAAGGGGGGAGACAAAGCCACCTGTGTGATAGTACGAGACATATTGTTCTCGTAGTCCGGCTTAAGAGTGTGTTGATCAGAGATGATTGCAGGTCGAGATGGTCCGGGAAGGGAAGTAACAGAAGGTTGAAGCTATCGCAGGTTGACTTTGGTGCGAGTTGTCTGACTCTCAAAGGTCCCGGGCGGCCTGCTGGCAGGTGATTGAGAAACCACCTGGGCACAGTGAATCGAATCAGGTGAATTGGTGCAAGCGGGATGGAAGAAGGCCTTTTCAATCAACCCCGTGAGCCTAACAGCATCAGTAGTTAGAACGTAGATGGGGCTTCACTCTGCCACAAAACCACATGTCTGCCTCTCCGTTGGCCCATCCGCCTATTCCGTACTCAGATCTAACCATTTGCTTGCCCACTCACATTCCATCACCAACCCCTGGTGTCTCGATTTCTTACTCTGTCTAAATGTTCTAACCCGAATCACCACAGGTGCAAGACCGTGCAATGGGAACAATTGCTTTGTCTCCTGCAACGTGAATGCTCCTTTCGCCCAAGGAGCCCAGCACGCTCCCAGCGCCGAAGAGCGGCCGCCCCAAAGAGCCAAATCAGCGTCAGAAATGGAACAACCAGTCGAGCTGATCATGGCTTGTAAATGAAGGTTGCAGTCTTCGGACTCACTACAAGGACCATGGAAGGGAGCTAGTTTCGGTAGCCATGATGAAATGCAATCATGACCGGTCACAGATTTACTTCAAAATGCTAAGTGGACCTGATGTATATATGTCAGTCTTGCATGGCCACGCACAAGACAAAGATAGGAACATGATAGTAGTCAGCCATATAAAGTCTGATTAGAAGGCAATTCTGTTGTTGTCTTATGACATGCCTTTTATACAAGACTCAGCTCATGTGAATACAGGGTAGCCGCATATGTCTCTGGTTCATTATATGACTGAAACAGGTTGCATGCCTATAAAATGCAATTGGCACCTCGCATCTGTATAAGACACAGTCATGTGGCGGCGCCACGTTCTTGAAACTCCATCGGGAGACCGGTGTCAATATGCCACAGCAATACCGTAAGAGTTTGGGGTTGAATCCCCCAGGAAGCATGGCCTCCAACCAACCGGGGCTCTGGGCTGCTTGGGTACCAATTGCAACCCTCTCGGGTGGCATCCAATGCCAGTTCGTGCACCCACGTTATTTAGCTTCGCCCTGGCCTTCAACGGAACTCGACGTGCCGCCATTGGCTGCCCCCAGCTGTCGTCCGCACAAGGGAAAGGATCGCGCCCAGACCTCCCCCGCAATGAGGCGTCTTGGCCCGGGGCACACAAAGGCGTGACCTGCCATCGGGCCCAAGACACATTAACGAGATGAACTGCAGGGAAGCGTCAAGCGAGGGCGCGATCCTTCGTCCAGATATCAGCCGTCGGGGATCATCGTGATTGGTGCCCAGTCCCGGCCAGAGGATTCTCGAGCTTGGGGAGGTGCAACGTGACGACTCCCGCGGGCCAACCACACCTTGGCGATGACTGCAGCCCAGGCTTTTCTGCAACGTTCAGCCTCTGCTGTTTGTTACCGACAGCGGTGTGTATTGATTATCTATTCGGTCCGTCCTTGTGGCATGACCCCCTTGGCGGAGTGGCTTTCAGGTCTCAAAAGTTCGCCCAAGGGGTGCAGGAGAGGCTTCAAATACCTTGTCTCCTCCCCACTTTCACTGGCATTAGTGAATTTTCTCATCTTGCCCTTCACTCTCGCAGATCCGGCGTGGCTATTAACCATACGGGGTCCAGTATTTGATCTTACTGGTACCAGCTGCATCTCCCAACATTACCGATCTTCCAGGAACCTCAACACGGTTGCCTGTGGTCTCAACTATACCAACACACACGCCAGTTGTTTGTGAAGCCCAGGCAGGCTTTCCATACACAAGATGTATCAAGCAAGCAACGTCTATTTCATCTGCGGCTTCGCCGCCATAGGTATGTCCCACGGACAGTTGACGACTCCGCTCCTGGACAATAACCAACGGCCATTGTTACTTACACTGGTAATAACACTCAGCCGGATCTCTCTTTGGTTTTGACATTTCGTCCATGAGTGGTGTCCTCGGAACTCAGGCATACACTCGATATTTCGACCACCCCCAGGCCCAAGGTTACACCCAAGGAGCCATCACGGCCTCGATGCCCGCCGGCAGTCTGGTTGGATCACTCGCCAGCTCGTTCGTCGCCGACCGCTTCTCTCGCAAGATCGCCCTCCAGGTCTCTTGCATCCTGTGGATCATCGGCTCCACCATCCAATGCGCCTCTATAGACCGCGGAATGCTATGTGCCGGACGTGTCGTTGGAGGTATGTGTTCCATTTCTTTTTCATTGCGATTCACTGGTCCAGAGAGCCTTACACGCCCCCTACCTGGCGATCCCTCAACTGCCAGCACGTTGCTGACTGGTCCTAGGCATGTCCATCGGTATCGCATCCAGCGTCGTGCCCATCTACCAGAGTGAGATTGCTCCCAGGGAGATCCGCGGTCGTGTCGTCTCGCTGCAGCAGTGGGCCATCACCTGGGGCATCCTGATCCAGTACTTCATCCAGTATGGTGCCTCGAATGTAAGAAGTTTTCCGCTTGTTCCCGCTGCTGAGTCACAAGACCCCTGGACGAAAGGCTAATCGCATACTGTATTTAGGTCGGAGGTGGCCCCAACGATCCCGACCAGCCGACATCTGCCTTCCGAATCCCGTGGGGCGTGCAGATGGTCCCGGCAGTCATTCTGTTCATCGGCCTATTCTTCTTCCCCTACAGCCCGCGTTGGCTCGCCTCGAAAGACCGCTGGGACGAGGCACTCGAGGTTCTGTCCCGTACACTCGGCAACGGTGATCGCAACCACCCGAAGGTCCTCGCGCAGTACCAGGAGATTGAGGATGCCCTGCGGTTCGAGCGTGAAGAGACTATCAGCAGTTTCAAGGCATTGGTCGCCAAGGGCATGTTCAAGCGTGTCTTCTTGGGCATGAGTGTCCAGGCTTGGTCGCAGCTTTGCGGAATGAACATTAGTCTGTGCCCCCGATTCCTTGCATCTATCATGAGGCAAAACTGACCTGTCATAGTGATGTACTATATCGTCTATATTATGCAGGGAGCTGGCATAGGATCTCCGGTTAGTTATTGTTCTCCGTACTTAGCCCCATTGATATTCGACATGCACTGACCGCCAATATGCAGCTCCTCACCGCGTCCATCCAGTACATTATCAACGTGGTCATGACCCTCCCAGCCATCATCTACCTCGACAAGTTCGGCCGCCGCCCAGCCCTGATAATCGGCTCCTTCCTGATGATGACGTGGCTGTTCATCAGCGGCTCCCTGCAGCAGTACTACGGCCAGCCCAACACGGACGAGACCCGCACAGTCGAGAACGAGAACATCACCTGGATCATCCTCAACAACCGGCCCGTCTCGAGCGCCGTCATCTCGTGCTCGTACCTGTTCGTCGCCAGCTTCGCCACCACCTGGGGCCCCGTGTCCTGGACCTACCCGGCCGAGATCTTCCCCAGCAAGATCAGGGCAAAAGCTGTCAGCCTGACGACCGCGACAAACTGGTTCTTCAACATGGTGCTCGCGTTTGCGGTCCCCCCGCTGCTGTGGAATATCTCCTACAACATGTACTACATCTTCGGCGCCTTCAACGCCGTCGCCTTCATCCACATGCTCCTGATGGCGCCCGAGACAAAGGGCTTTACCCTCGAGGAGATGGACGACGTCTTTAACTCGGGAATCCCCGCCTGGAGGACCTCGGGTAAGCGCAGCCGTCTTGACCAGCTTGAGAAGGAGATCCAGGAGGGCAAGCTCAAGGTCGGCGCGCCCCATGTCCACGACGATGACACCGTCGAGCAGACCGAGAAGGTCTAGTGGCTTGGAGGGGTCGGCCACGGGGAACCCAGGTTCCAGGAAATGTGGCGATTTTGGAGGAGCTATGGGGGATAATAGTATTTTATAGTTCTGGCCCTCTTTTGGCACTGCGCACCTCTACGTGCACATCAGTTTGGGATAGGAGATACCCGATGATGAATATATTCTGGACCATTTCAGCTGCTCCTTGGAGCTGGAAATCGAATGCTCAATATTTGGGATTGCTGTGTCTCTGTCGTCTTTTCTTCTGGTTGTTATCTGGATGTTCGCAAATGCTTGATGAATGTGCTATTCTGTTATCTTCTCCAAGGGACTGGCGGTGCAATGCTCGGGACACAGCCACCTGTTGGCCTATGTTGCGCAATCGCAGGCAAGTAGTTGCTGCGACGATTCTGGACGAGTGTTAGGAGAGAAGTCTTGAAAGTGACACTTGGCTTCAACACAAAGGATGGCGACATTGTACGGTTCTCAAGAAGCCCCAAGCGTGCCAACAATCCAGGCCCCTTCGATGTAGCTGCATCCAACGCCCCGGTCAGTACATTCCTTTTACGGCACTCAAATAATATTTGCCTCTTGCCATTCTTTGCATCCTATGCTTAAGCCAGTGATGAGCCCTTTTGCAACATGCCTTGTTCGAATACTGGCCAGGCGTATCCAATATTGTGTATGATCACATGTTTCTTGAACCAAATTGGAAAGTTGAGTACGAGTGCAATTGCTGATGTTCGTACCCAATGAGAACACCCGCGTGCTCTTGCTTCCCAGACGACCACCAACTCATGGCACCCTGCCATCCTCTTAATACATAACAATTCGAGGTGCTGGAAAATGAATGCAGCTACACCCTCCGAGTATGTAGTGAGTGGCCTCCATGCAGTCGCCACAAACACGGCAGTGCCATTCTAAATCAGTCCGTACCCATCCTTCCTCGCGGCAGAAAGAGAAGTAGACGGACTGGAGGTCTCGAGCGGTAAGACCCCAGCGGAGCAGCTCCTGTTTTAGGGCAAGGCCGGCGCCGCCGTCTCGCTCCGAGGCACAGAGGCGGTCCCACTTCGCCCTCCACTCCAGGTAGGGCTCGTTCACATAAGGATAAAAGCTGTCGAGCATGAAGTCGTAGCTGTCTTCTTCGAAGAGGACATCGAAAAGGGAGTGGACGTTCGTCCGTTCCAGGGTGGCTTTGTCCTGCCTCGCGACCCATGTCGTGAAGCACGGGTGGACGGCGACAGGGTCCTGGCCAAAGAGAGCGACGAGGTCCAGGTTCTTGAGGGGGTTTTTGCATGCCGTACCGCCCTTGCAGCGGCAGCTCGAAGCGTCGCACTGTTTGCCTGACTTGATGCAGGCACAGCCGGTGCAAGGCTTGGTCTTGGTCTTTGATGAGCCGTGTCCGTACCAAGTGGCCTCAGAGCGCCGATGAATTAGGTCCTTTTGGGTAGCAGCGGTCGAAATGGACGAGAATAAATCGGGCGACGTAAATCTAATTGTCGGCGTCACCTCTGTATCCCGTGAATCTTGGTGAGGTCTAGGCCCGCGAGGAGGAGCTGCCACAGATTCGTCGGCCAGGCTGTCGCGTTCATCATTCTCGTCTATGCTCATTTCTGACCCAGAGTCCGTTTCCGGGCTCCACTGGTCCTCGGGACACGACTCGGAGTCTTCCTCGTCATAATAATCGTATTGCGTCCGAGACCTCTTTGCTGATGCTGCGGCCTTGGTTGGTGATGCGAACGGCGTTCCGGCCGTGCGTTTTGATCCCGCGAGGGTTGTCATTGTTGCTTTCAAAGTTATTGTGGATTTGATAGATGGCAGCAGTGACTATTCCAATGTTTAGGGGGATTTTCAAAGACTGATGATGGAAGGATGAGGTTTGGGATATATAGGCGGCACGTGGATAATGTGTTGTTTGGCATTCCAGAGTCTACCGCGTCGCGCCGCGTCTATGTTGATCAGCGACCAGGGGCAAGGGGGCCTGGCTTGTGGAAACCCTGACCCTCAATCTTAGGGAGATAAAGGCCGGTCTCTCCGACCAACACCCCCCCCCCTTCTCCATCACATTAAAGAAACAAAAACACAACCAGCGCGCTATTGGTCAACTACATTCACCCGTCCTTGGTAAGCAGCGAGAACGATGGATGAGGTCCACTACGAACCAAAGATTTAATAATATGGAAGACGGTATCATTTCATCAAGAAAAACATGGCTTAGTCTAGCTGTTTGAATACAAATCTAATAAATGGTTATGGTTCAGAATCGGCTCCCCAAAATCTTCTCAGTGCATCGTGCATGTCGTTTCCTCTAGCCGGATGGATTACTAGTCGAAATGAATTCACCCGAGCCTCTCCAGCCCCAAACGCCGGTAGCTCATGATGCCTACTGTCCCTCGTCTCAGTCATTCCCTACTTTACAGGACCATGACTCCACCAAGGAAGGCAGCCAGGACGGAGCCAACGAGCGCCAGAGCCTGGAAGTCAACACCAATCAGGGGGCTGACGCTGTTTCCGCTGCTGGAGCTGCTGCTGCTGCTCTTGGCGGATGTGCCTGTGGAGGTGGCGTAGGAGCAGGTCTCGGCGCCTCCGCTGTAGGTGGCGGCGAGGCCGGGCGCGTTGCTGTCGGCGCATCCGAGCTGCACTAGGGCCAGGCCGGTGACCTCGGCGCCGGTGTAGTTGTGGACGGTAGCGGGCATGTCGGTGGCGGTCTGATGATACAGTCAGCTTCAGCTTATTGGGACACATCACAGAATAAGGTCACTTACCACGCTGGTGATGGCTCCGCTGGGAGCGGAGGTGATTCCAGAAGTCACGAGGTCGTCACCACCGTTGGGACGCTCGGGCAGGTCCCAGTTGGACAGGAAAGTAGACTCGGTGATGAGAGAGGCGGCACAAGCTGTGGTCTCCTGCTTCTCGGCGGTCTCGTTGACCGAGGTCAGAGCGGACATGTCGATCTTGAGGTACTGCTCCTTCAGGAATTGGTCTGTGATATGTTAGCGACACGCTTAAGGGGTAATTCGGGTTGTGTCCCCGAGGAAGAACGCATGGGCTTATACATACAATCCTGCATAAGTGTGACCTCCTTGGAGCTGTTGATGGCGACAAGTCCGTACTCATCAGACTCCTGAGTGTACTCGTAGACCAGGCCGCCAGAAAGCACGGACATCTGGTCGCCGTACAGAACAGGGACGTTGGTGAAAGTACGGGGCTTGACGTTGTTGCAACCGTACTCGGAGAAGAAGACAGGGATGTTCGTGTCGGCGAATTCCTCCGTGAGCGAGCTGTAACCTGACTTCTCGAAAGACGAGTCTCCGCACCATTCCTGTTACTGTTAGTATACCAAATCGTACTCGGAGAATAGAGGCGTTTCAAAAAGGCTTTGCTCCTTGAAAATGTCTCATTTCTGGAGCTTTGACACTCGCCATGAAAACTTGAAGCGTTGATGAGGATTTTAAGAACTTACGTAGTCGTTCAAGCCGAAGAAGTCCATTCTAGAGAAGGTCGAGTTCTCAAGCGAGCAGCCCAGGTAGCCCCAGGTATCCTTGAGCATAGTAGCGACATCTGCAGCGGAGTAGCCGACGGGGACGTCCCGAGGAGCATGCAGGGAAATGTACTCCTTGAGGTCACGGACCACGGCACGGATGTAAGCCGGTGCGCTCTTGTCGCTGTCCTCGTTCAGGATCTCGTTGCCGGCGAAGAAGCCCAGCAGGTTGGGGTAGTCCCAGAAGGCCTCGACGACGGCAAAGATGTGGTTCATGTAGTCCTTGGTGTATGTGGACGAGGGGTCGGAGCGGTCAATGTACTCGCCGGACTGGCCGCTGTTGACGTCGATGATCATGTACATGCCGGCAGCGTTGAAGATGGAGACGCATGCGTCGTGGTTCAGGTCGGGCGACAGGTTGTACACCCGGATGGTGTTCACACCCAGCTGCTGCATGAGAATGGCATCTCGGAGACAGGCATCGGCATCGCTGAGAGGGTCGGCCTTGCCGGTGAAACCTGCGGATCCACCAGGCTGGTATCTATTTTATTTGTTAGCTGCTTTGTTCGGGCATCTCATGGAGCTGCGTGAGGGATGCAGGCATATTGGGGTTCCTCTCGTACGTTACGCCGATAACGTCAAATCGGTCTCCAGTCGAGTTGGAGACAAAGTTTGCGCCGGAAATGCTGAGGTACTCAACAGCCGAAGCGAGAGAGGAGAACAGCGTAGCCGCCGCCGCCAAGGAGGTATGTGCTGCCTTCATCTTGTCGGATGCCCACACCCAAGAAAAGCCAAGCTCGGGAATCGAGATGGATAAGCCTAATCGGGGATCGCGCGCGGTTTGGCAGGTCTTGGCACAGATGAGTTCCGATTCGTCGGGTTTTGGAAACTCCAAAAAAGCACGATGCAGAATCTGAAAAAGAGAGACGATGGTTTGGTCAAAAAGAGTGACTGGAATTGAGGGTGATGGTCTTCGTCGACAGGAAGTGTTTACTAAACAACAGAGAACGTCAGCCTGCAGACCAGCCACCTCGAAAAGAGAGAAGACAACCAGGACAATTTCAAGGAAGCAGAGGGAGCCGACCCTGCAAACTGTGGGTTGCCGCGAGCGTGGGTGACCGTCTCAGGGGGTGGGCCCGGTGGAGTATGCGTGTTGATTACGACGCCCGTTCTTTTCTACAGTAAGCTTTCTTGTTTACGCAAGTGCCGCTTGGTTGGCACTCATTGCCCCGTCCAGTCCTCCGAGATCTGCAATAAGATCCACCCTCTGGAAATCCGCGTATCTCCTTGTCGGCCCGCGCAACAAACTGACATCATCTGGACCATTGAAACGCCTTTAATTTGCGCTCGTCGTCCTCGAACATGCATGATAGTCGGTCGATACAGCCCCCTGCCATCCCTGGTCCAGACCATGGGCTCCAGCGCTCACAGAGACAGACCCAAAAGTCAAGCTCTGTGCAGTGGCCCTGTCCCCTGGCGGCGCCTTATTCCTTCGACTCAGTCTCGAATTTGGATGTACGCTGTGGCCCCTTGAAAGAGAAGATCAGAATCCTGTCGGCTCCACGGCATGTCTGGAAAGCTTGTCGTCTCGCCGCGTAACAACTCCGCTCCAGTGTCAGACACAGCCTCAGTCCAAACCGCCCCGACGTTCTAGAGAATAAATGCCGCCGAAGTAGCCCCCTTTCCAGAGATTGCACAACTGCTTTTCCGCTTCCTACACCGCCACACTCGACACTATGGTTCCAGTCGGGGATCTATATTCAAAGACCTTGTGGGTACTTGTTGCTAAGTAGGAAAACACCTAGACTTCTCTGTTACCAAAACGGAGTCTCTCTGCTGGAATTGTCAGCCTCCTCTTTCGATCCGACATTCAGTCACCGGGACATGAGTAACCCCAGATCCAACAAGAGCGTGAGCTCTGTGGAAAGCGCGGTTGCTCCAGCTTTGAGGGATACGAAGACCTAATCGCCGAACCAAGCAACCGAAAAACACGAGACCAGGCTATCTCAACTGCAGGTGCTCGCATTACTCCAAGGGGGCCACTGAGGCGATTTCTATTGCTCGCCGGCTGGTACTCCGTATTGTTACATCATCTTGTTCTCCATTGGAGATTCACTCATCTGTGGTATTGCGAGACGGACGGGAGGTCTTGGTGAATACTCAATTTTTCCGGTCTACGTCAGGGTGGTGAAGATCTAGGATATTTCCGTGAAATTCGGATTTAGCGAGTCTCAATCTACTTTCATGACCTTGGAGCTTTTTAGAAACATTGACAGCCAGCGACGTCCGGTGTCCGGCGATATCTAGGAAGCCCCTTTCTCGTCGATGTCGAGTTTGACCCTAGGCTACAGTGTTTTATTTGGTCCGTTTTCAGCCCTATTGAGACGAATCTACTACTGCTAGCGAATAGACCGTTCGGCCAAAAGACCAGTAATTTCCAATCCCTTGGAAATGCACCCAGCAGTACTATATAAGCGCCGTACCATCACACCTATCGTCATCACTGCCCTTAATGAGTAGATTAAATAGAGTCTCTAGCATATGATTTTAAAGTTCCGCTTATAGATGTACATCATTTCCATCATTTAAGGAGAACCACCCTGTACAATTTAGCTGCAAAGCCTACAGAACCTTATTAATTCTGGAGAACCCATGCTACCCCCCTACTAGTATGATGTTCTTCTGCTGAAAATGCTTACTAAGGTAGATTTGTTCAACAAAGCAGCGTTCAACATGGACAGGTTTAGAATCCATCTGCGCTGTATTCTGTTTTACACAATGGTGTGGGTTGCTGTACACTCAATAAGGTACCGGGCCCGTTCAAGTGTTTGCAATGCTCAAGTGGGTCAGGTTCACTCCACACCACTTGGGCCGAGGCACCAACATATCACGACATTATGTGCAGACAGTAAGGGCTCGGGCAGCAAACGGCTATTCAAGCTTGTGTGTTGTAGTTGTGACATTTAGCTGCAGAAGACCGAGGCCACAGTTTTATCAAACGAATCAAGAAGGGACGGCACACTGCCAGTCACTTGTGATTCAGTCCCCGTGCATGATGGTCCACTAAAGTCTTCCCATTAGAAACCCGGTCCTGTCCCCTGTGCTTTATGGTTCCACCGATTTTGGGTAAAGGTATGCACCTACCTGTATGTAGAACACGGCCTCGATACGGCGAGTGATCCGATGTGCGCAACGGGAGAAAGGTCGACTGCGTATGCCAGATCGTGTCAGCTGAGATGACTTGGTCATGGGTAAAGTACTGCTTGCTTGCTGTGACCACTTACCACAACCCCCAGGGTTTACGTTGTAGGTTGCGCAGTTACCAAGGCTGGGTTCTGCGCAGAGTATCACCTCAACAGTGGCCCGAGCCGTCGCGGCAAGACCAAGGAGGCTCATGATGGCGGTGGAAGCGTTAAACACATTCATCGTGCAAGCGAAGTGGCCTTAGGCACAGCTGACAAAAACACAAAGCTCAAGGGTAGTCTTTTCAGAAAACTCCAACGCGATGCGATCTGATTTAAGTAGACAGAGATCACAGAGCAAGGTCGTCGGTGGTAATTCGGCAAAGAATCAACGATGAGTTGCTGCTGCCTTGGTCTTTTGAAAACCGGGCTGAAGGGTACGATGAGTTCTCCTTAAGGCGGCACCAGCGTCGCATTGGGCCTGCAGCTTCTCGAAATTCCATTCTCAGCCCTCCGAGATGCCCACCACCAAAGCATTCCTCCAGCTTCTTCGGACCGATACCATTGGTCTCTCGCTCGGAGGAAGACCTACTAACCTCCGTGCGTCAGCACGAAGCAAGATTATACGGAAATCCTATCGGGGGGGGGGGGGGATTGTTTACTTCTCCTCCCAAGATCACCTCAGCTGCAACCCTCACGAGGAGGGACCCTTGGATCTCACATGATCCGATCCTAGTCGCTTGCCAGATAACCCTGATCAGATCGCAGATCAGTTCCTGCGAGAGTTACAAGGCGTGATCGTGCCGCCCTGGCAGCGTGGTTTCGTTCCAAGGTTCGAAAATAGAGTTTGGGCCGATGCAGGGACACCCCGCGTGGACCCCGGGGCTTGGCCGGCCGAGCGTCCTCAAAGTATTCCGAAACAGGGTCGAAGGCAAATGGAAGAGATTGCTCGGTGGCACCGATGCTATCCGGTGTACTGATTTACTGCAATGCTTCAGTGTGCTCTTGTTGATGGATGTCGTCACCAAAGGCTTATTTTCTGGGGCCCAAACGATGTGGTACAACATCGAATTCTGTGCTCACTCCTTGCTCGTCAATACCAACAATGTTTTCGCACGCCAAGTATTGAGCTCTGAATTGAATCCAGCGTTATCGTGTGCTTGACAGATCACCCGACGTATTCCATTGCTCCATTACCCCTGCTACCCAGAGATACGAAAAGTCCTGGTATCTTGGTCTGCTGACCGCCCTTCGCTGTTTCTTTTCCAGGTACAAGTGGGGACGCTGTGCCTTAAGAACTTGATTTTGTAGGCTACGCTATTCAGAATCAACATGTACAGGGAGATTAACACTTGGCGGATTCCTTGCTATAATAGCATAAATAACAAATGTTGAAGGCAGTCCAACAGGACAAATGGGAAAGCTCAGTGATCATCCACTGGGCGGCTCGCGCTCTCGAAATCGAAAGGAATCTTGGTTTCGTTCGCGCAACTGGTGGCAAAAGTCGCATTCGCAAATCTCTTCTTGAACGATAAGAGGACCTCGGAGCGGAAGCCATCAATACGGCATTATGGTCCGGCCCAGGGTAGGTGTTCATGTGGGCTGGGTTCCCAGCCGCGCGAGCGTCGGAATACGAGGCCTCGCCCGACTCGATGGAGACAATCGAGTACGAGGCGCCGAGGACGAGCAGGAGCGGCTTTGAAGCGCGGTCAAGCTGGGCCGGAGAATTGAACTCCTGGAACTTGGCCATGGCGGTATCGGACTCGACCGTTCGGTTGGATCAATGCGCAGGTCCACCGTGATTAGGGAAGTGGATTTGTCGCATATTTTCCAAATCTTCGCGAGCTCGACCCGCTGCCCCGGCCTTTCGAATATCCAAGTGGTGTTATACTGTGGGAACTGGACCTTAGTCCCGAGCACCGCGGGACGAATGACGCCCAGGCCCGATATGGGTGGCTGTCGAAGGTGTTGGGGAGCAGGAAGGCGAAGCCACGAAGCAAGTCGATTCGCACCAGGGCGTCGTAGAGCTCGCTCACCAGCGCGACGCCCACGCCACGCCTCCGACATGACGACTGCACGAATACTGTACGAGGTTGTGCTCCGACAGCTTTCAGACGGCATCCCCGCTTTGGGAGTGACTCATGGAAGCCCACTGGTGTGAGAGGGCGTCTGGGAAGGCCTTCTGCGCAGCCACCACGGACCAGTAAGTGCCGTTGGCATTCGCAGCGCTGGCGACGTATTCGTCAGCGCTGTAATTGTTGCGCAGTCCGGCATAGTCTGTTGTAACTACAGCGTAACCAGCGAGGAGAAACGTTGTTTGGCTTTGGTATGTCTACTTGTATTCACTAGGGTATTCTTGAGGTCGTCGTTCATCGTCTATCGCCTCCGGGAAAAGGCAATCTTTTTGCCAACGACGATGAGGCTCGGGAGACGGCGCAGGAGCTTTTTGTCATCGACGACGCTGCCATTGCGTCCTCAGCTCGGGCTTTCGTGGCTCATTGCTTGGAGCCTCCTCCCATTGACCATCTTGTGCGGGCCAGTTCCCGTCTGAGGGGCAAGCAGCACCGAGCATTACGCGAGAAGCCTTCATCATATGGAGCCTGAGGTTCCACCGGTATCGTAGATGGACACATCGCTCCTCGTCTCAGCTACGTAGTTGCATCAGGTTGCACTCTGATTACACTAGGCCACCTGGGCCACTTGAGTGAAGATGCGAACTTTCGGTGACCCGGTCCCAATCGAGGACCACGAGGAGATTAGGGCACGGGCAAAATAGGTAATCCTCACTTGGGGGCAACAGGATGAGCCAGTCTTTAGCTTGGGACGGAACGTTATACCCGTGTTGGCATTAATATACGCCTCGTGTGGGGACCGCGACGTTCGCTAGCAAATTGTCTCCACACTCCGGTCTCTGCAAAGGAGAGAGAACTTCTGGGACAGCGGGGAGGTTGCAAATGCCTGTGAGGCACACTTGTTGGCGGGATAATCCGCCAGCGCTCAAATGCTTTTGCCCAAAGGTCTGCAACGAATGTGGCAGTAACAGTGTATATAGCTGCTTAAGTGAAGGACATGGGTGAGATGTATTCACAAATGGAGTATTACAGAAAAACTAATAAGCTGTTACCACTGGGCTTGGGGTGTAAAAGTTTGTATACACTGCCTTATTATGCACTACCCAAACAGCATCAAACATGCACACGGAGATTTTTATTATTATAATTAGCTAAGTATATAGGCTATCCTATCGTCCTGCTGTCTTGTGACGAGTATCAGGTTATAACAACTAGTCAGACGGTGTATGCAGGGTGCATAATCGCATAAATATGCTATGAGAGTCAGTTCATCTCTTACTCGCTCGCAGCAAAGTGCCAGGTCCGCGAAAATGCTAAGCCCGCGGCATATCCATGTCTAAATGTCTTTCGCCGTTCATCGTTTCGTCAACCATGAGCCAGAAAATATGGGAAATCAGGCAGATAAACACAAAAAAGCGACACGGGTCCGATGAATTGTACAAGTGCCGGTTTTATGACACCAATAATATGAGCAGACGCGCAAGACCATAGTGTAAGCAAATTGTATACGACGGCGTCTCAATGGGTGTCATCCCGTTTGATGGCGGCGTGCGTGCGTCTAGTCATTGCAGTGGATCGGCATCCGTGGGCGGACTCGTTTTTGGGGAAGCGCTCACCAATCATGGACAGATTCTACTGTAGACGAAAAGTCTACTACCCTGCTACCATGAAGCCTTGACAAGCACCTTCACGCACCATCCTTCACGTTTCAGTGCCTGAGAAGGTAGCGATGATGCGACTCGGCTGCTTGATAGCCTGATAGGTGCGCCTTACTGCTGCCGCGTCGCGTCCGGATCTCCGGCCCCACCCCTGCGCCAAGTTCTGCACCACACGGCCTGACAGTCTATGGGACCCAAGGGTCTGTGAAAAACAGTCGTTGAGACACAATGCCTAAGGGGGAGATAGGCACGCGCGTCCGATTGTTTGTGATTACTGAGGTCAGATGCTGCGGGCTGCGTGTCCAAAAAGCCAGCAGTGCGGAGTATTACCGTCGGGAGCAACAGCATGGCTCTCTTGACTGTTTCGGGAGGGTGTTTGTCTGGCAGCACATGAAACATGAAACAATGTTTGGACATTCGTGGTTAGTCCCATCCATTATGTGCATTGCACAGTGTGTTTTCACAGTCCGAACCATCCGTGATCCGCTCATTGCCGAAATGTCTTCGCTATGTCGAGTGTCTGCACGTGCAGGTCGAGACAGATGCAGATGATTCAGAACAGGAGTCATTGTCAGGAATGTGGACGTGCCGCAAGACGCACAGGTTCTCATACACAGTTCCCCGCCTTTGAGGAAACCGTTGGGCACCTAGGTAGTTGGAGGCTCGCGACCACTGCCTGGGTAGCATCGCGTGTGGGCAAAGCCAAGGGCGCCAGGAACTCGGCAGCTGGGGAGATGCCTCGACCACCTGAAGTCAAGCATCCGGGGTTCCAAACGACCCAAAGCGCCCGTTTAAAATACGATGAACCTCTAAGTCCGAGCCAATACGATACACGAAAAATCGGACTGCGATAGCTGGCTCTGGCCTCAGACGCAGAAGACCAGGACCAAGACCTCATTCGATGTTCTACTCAGGCTCACGTATCTTCACACGTGTAGTCCAATTTCCTCGATTTAAGATGGTCATGCAGGTCATACATGATGCAACCAGGCGTCAGCACTCAAAGTTTTGCTAATTCTGTCCCTCGTTGCTTGGCTGCCAATGGCATTCCCGTCCAGCGAGCCGAATCCAGTTTCATTGGCGGGGGATCTGGCGTCTCAAGCACTCGAAAAAGGGAGCTCTTGGAACTCGCAGCGAACTTTGCTGATCTTGTCTCAGCGGCAGCCGCACTGATGCGGCAGTGGTTCAGGGACGCTGCGGCAGCGGTGAGGGTTTCCTGGGGTTGCATTTCCGGGGTCGGCTTTAAGGTTAATGAACTTAAACTGCGCCCCCTGGTGCTGTTCGACAACACCACATAGAAATGACGCTGTCCTCTAACATTGCCGTCCGAACTCCCCTCTATACCCGTTGCAGCACCCTCTGTGTTTCAGAAGTACGGCGTAGAGAACCACGCTCATTAATCCTTTTTCGACGGCTGTCCTCCTTCTCCTCCTGCACAACTTGAGCACACACGGACAGAGGACCCGCAACTCGGCACATGACAAGTTCAACATGTCGAACGCGTCCTCGATATTCGACTTGCTGGGTCAAGTCGACAACCTCAGCGAGCCGGTTCCGACGTTGAACCAGCGGCCGGTTGCGTTTGGTCTGCTGATATCATTTCTCGTAAGTCGCCCGAAGACCGGACCCGCCGGCTCGGACATGATCTCACCAGTCAACAGGCCGTGTCATATATCTGTGCGATTTCACGATTATACGTCCGGTTCCGAGTCACCAAATGTCCAGGCTGGGATGACTTGCTGGTTTTCCTATCAATGGTATGGATGAATGTCCTTGTGACACCGGGCGAGGGCTTGATACTGATGCTAGATCCAGATAGCCAGCCTCGCGCTGACTCTTTCGGTATTACTCTGTGCGTTGCCGTCTAATCCTCCGAGGCCAGATCCCGCCTCTAGAGATACCAATCGGAGCTAACAAGTCATCTCTCACAGGTTTCGATCGAGGGCTAGGGAAGCATTTCATCACCTTCGTCTCTGACCAGTCTAGACTGGTCGACTTCACCAAGGTATGTCTTTGACTGTTTCCGAGCACCCCAACTGGCTCAAAATCAGGGTGTTGTGAGAGTTCTAATCATCTGGCAGAACTCATATGTAATGCACGCGTGCTACCCGACGGCGACGGCGCTCATCAAGCTCGCCATCCTCTTCCAGTACCTCCGACTCTTCGACGAGACGAAATCCATCCTGCGGCAGACGACCTTCGTCATGATCGGCATCGTGTCGCTGTGGGGGCTCGCCTTCTCCTTCATAAGCTGGTTCCCCGCCTTCCCGGTGTCGGCCGGGTGGGACTTCAACGACACGTCCGGCGTCAGGTACGGGTTCGGCAGCCTGGACCCGAGCAGCGTCGTGGCCGCCTCCCTCGCGCAGACGTCGACGAACATGGTCCTCGACCTGATCGTCTTGGCCATCCCGGTGTCGTACTATCTGCAGCCGAAACTGAATTGGAAGTCTCAGGCCAGCCTGATGGTGTTGTTTTCTCTTGGCTCAGTGTGAGTCCGCAGAACGGGTCCCACGCAATTCGCGTTGCACTTCTGCATAACCTATTCTGACAACTCTGGATCGCAGTGTAAATGTCCTTTCTCTGTTCCGACTCATCAGCATCGTCGATACCAGAGCTGGAATCTTCCCGACTTACGACCCGAGCTGGTACGGTTGCGGCGCGATCGTGTTAGCCGCTTTGGAGGTCAGCCTTGCGACAGTCTGCGCTTCTTTGCCGGTATTTTGGCCCGTCATGAAGTTCAATTGGGGAGCTATATTCGTCACCTACGAAGTATCAGTCACGCGCGAGGAGAATTACCTCGCGCTCGATGAGGCTCAAGCGCCACGGGACAGGATCGACCCGTGGAACGCGCATCTGAAAGGGCCATACGTGCATGATATTGAGATGGGGGATATGGCACACCGGAAGGACGTCGATTGGAGCGAGGGGTCCTCAGTGGCGGACTCAGGGTTACAGAAGGTCAAGCATTAAGAGGATGACTTCTGCTCTGCAACATTACTATTACACACTGTAGAGCTTAGGTAACAGTCACCTGTAATTGTACAACTAATGAATTAATGCTGCCTTGGTTATCAAGGCTTAAGCAATGGTATAACGGCCCCGAGCCATCCGGTCAAGCCTTACATTATGGAGTATTTAGTTGTAGCATCAACTCGCATGATTCCAAAACTAATATCGAGGCGCTGCAACAACACTGTATCTGATTCACGTTGTGTTCCTTGTAACTGTGGCCGTTTCTGGTATTTCACTCTATGTTTAGTGCATTTAAGTATTGTGGTGATATAAGTACAGACCCAGGTGAAGTGACAGGTTATATGCAGCTAAACCGCAATGTGAAAGCATTATGTCTACGAACAAAAGCGGCACCTGTGCTGAGCCCGTATCTATCGTCGCAAGAAACGATTTTCTCCTCTTGGTTTCATTCGCCCTTTACAACTCTACATCCAGTTCATGCCCTCGCTGCTCCACTGCGCCGAACTATGACCCAGAAACTTGGCACGCAATAGGTTGAAGCCAAACCTTCTGGAGCTCAATAACAGCCACTTTCAATGCTGATGTCAGGTGAAGTGAGCGAAGAGAATGGGTTGAGGAACATTGTATACATCTATCGATAATTTATCCTCGAAGTTAGGTGTTAAAACAAAAGATCTTTCTAGCCTCAAAAGTGTGTAGAATTCAACTGGTGATCTTTGATCAGTTTCTTCCCAATCTCATGTCCCTTTGAAAATGGGACCACGCGGCAGCATACCTCACAGGGTCTAAAACTCGGACAGATGGGATGTTGGCAGTCAGACAGACGACTCGGACAGCGGATAGGGAGGCGATGCAGTGACGAGACAAAGCCATCAGCATGAAGTAGCCGGAGAGAGAATTGAATACAAACATTGAGTATCGCACCCCGGGCACTAAGATTAGATGTCTGCGTTAAAAGAAACCGATCAAGCAGAATTTGGTCGCCAAGGGTTAGCGACAGTATCACTCAGCCCTCGGGGTCCCGGGTTCACCAGACAATTTCAAGTCCTGTCCGTTGTGATGTGATAATTGCAGCTGATATGATTCGTTCAATTAATAGCCGAAGCTGGCCTCAAAGGTGTTGCCAGACGGGCAGGGCTCTCGTCAGCCTTGGGCTGCACATCACAACTCTTAGGCTTGCGTGATCGAGCAATTCAACCTGGATGATAAGTAAAGGACTATTGTTTTTACATAGGGATGGCATGATCAATGTCCATTATTTTAACTGTGATCACTATGCCTGTAGCAAACGGATCATCCAAGGACTGGACACAAGGGCACATCCAGATGCTACATTTGAAGCGAGGACTGTCAGCTGAGCTGTATGGACTCTTTGCCGGCATTTGCCGTTGGCCCTTGCAAAAACTAGGAAAAGGCGACTGCCTCCGAGACTATCATATGAAAGAATGCGTAATTATGATGCATGTAGTGATAACATGAAGGACAGTGCCAATGTTCTAGGCAATGGTCCAAAGGCTATAGATTGGAGTCAACCCTTAAGTCCCATTTTTTATTAAAATCCTCGCTACGGCCTGCTCAGAGAACATGAACTTTAGTCATGGAATCCATCGGGGCTAAATCCGAAAGAAAGCCAGTCCTTGAGTGGTTGCTTCTAGTCAGTGACGACTTGATCACTTGATCAGTCCGGATGAAAACGCCCTACCTAAGACATGGCGAGAACTGGGGGTTGGCATCTGCCATCCTATTCGCGCATCTTAGATGCCTTCAATTTTCGTCAGCAAGTACCGGCATCCGTTGTCAGAACAACACTGCCCAAAGCAGCTAAGCTGGGACTTCCCGACACGAGGTCGTGGCGGTGGCACGCGAGACCCAGTCAAGCTGGGAGGGGAGACGCGTTGTCGAATAGACGCGTAGGAGATCTGGAACGCGTTTGTCTCAGGCGCGTTCGTGCCAGCTGGAGTGATCCATGCCAGCTTTCCTGCCGAGCCGCCTACGAGGCGTGGTGTATGTATCTGTGCGCTCGACTACGCTCCGCCGCTTGTTGATACTGCCGTTGGGGAAGCCGAGTAGACTACTTGCGGTAGCGACCGAGCTGCTGTTTCTGGATGGCTCCTGAACGAACGCCTTGGTCGCACGACTTGGCGGCAACTGAGCACATGCCCGTGTGCGACTGGCCGCTCGCGGGACGCCAGGTAACGCCAGGCAGCCCAGGCCTCCCCAGGTCGACCTTGGACGTTGGTGTGGAGCTAGCCCAGATGGCCGAAACCGCCGGGACTTGCAGTAGGGCGAGTAGTCCCACCCGGCGTGCTGGAAACAAGCTCGATGTGCCGATGCTGTGGAAAGTATAACGTTGTGATTATAAGTTAGTTTGGATGAGGATTAGGGCGGGACGTAGGGCCACTCCGCGGACAGCGTGCAACCCAGATCTCGACCGCGCCTGTCCACATCAAATTTGAGTGGCCCGCCCCAAGGCACGCTACGTTCGCGAATCGAAAGCGGCCAGATTAAGGTTATTCGCGCCCAGAAGTGGGCACGCGTCCTGGTTCGTCCGAAGGTTTGGAGACACGATGGGACCAAGGCGGTATAATATATTGTCAGAACGATATTATCTGTGCAAATGATATGTGGGTACGTCGAGGCAGAGGTCTAGCGTCAGAGGACTCATGTTTTCCAGACCGGTTGACTCGTATTAGTCAATTCTTCTCAAATTTTTGCTTAGTGTTTTCTTTTCTTCGCTGGCATCCTGTCGAAATCTTGGCGTGTGTGCCTCCACAGATCTAGCCGACTTCCATTTGGATGCCAGCTAGGCAGGAAGCCAAACAAGTTGTCATCCGTGAGTTGGAGCCCCGGTGTGATATCTGGGAGTCGCACCATGACCTGTAAACTGCATCATCAAAAGATTGTTTGCGGAGGATGCGGAAATTGCTTCATTCGACCCGTCTCAAGCGAGATTCTGTCGGAACTTGCTATAGAATGTCGAATTAATCCCAGGGCGGGTCCTGTACAGGGTTGTCTCCTGTCGCCGGGAGGGCCCAATCAATTGACGTGTGGGGCGATCGAATTCATCTGTCTGACACCAGGGAGAATCCCGTCAGTCCATGGGATTCGCAGTTCGAGCCTGCTGAAGTGTGCTCGGCTGCAAGCAAGTCCAGCCCTTCGTCACACGGGTGGCGACAGCGGAGTTGTCAGGAAATGGACAGGCATATGTGTGAATCTTCGACAGCATGATCACACGCGTTTTGTGGCCTCCTGTAATCACCATGAGATGATCTTTCAGAGCTTGACGACGATCGAATCAAACTTGTTCGACTGAGGCCCAAGCGTTTCCCGGATCCTTCGTCGGGACTTTTCCACGTGTTGGCTCGGGAAGCAAAAGGCTGAAGCCTCCACCAGGCCGAACCACAATCAGACCGTTGTAATGACTGATTAGATACGGGTTTCCTGTTTTTGAAACCGAACACTGTACGATGAGCACGTCTATAATGGGTTGTACGAGCCGGATCGCCCGCCCTGATACAAGGGAAGGCTTCTCAAAATTGGACATGCACTGGCCATCTTTCGTCTGATATCTGGCCAGCTTGTCCGATGAACCTTGTCGGCACCCACTTGCATTGGGCAGTGGTTCACCTGGCGTACGGGGATCCCCAGCCCGGTGTGCCACGTTTGTCGAGCCGCGACGGCTCCCAGCCGTCCGGCAGCAAACAACCTTTAAATCCGTTAGGTGATCTTCGACGATGGTTTTGCCCACGAACAATGAGTAAGCCCATGGCCGCAGAGATGACTGTCGAATGCTCTAGGCCAGGTGCCCCGCCAGTCCGCCAATCTGTCAGTCCGCGGCATTGTTCTATCGTTGTTGGCTGCGACTATGACAAAAGTGGCTTTCTCCATGCTCAGAAGCTCACACAATACTGTGATTCAAATGTTTTCAATGAGATCTGGATGAAGGCTCCCAAGCACGGAGTCGGCCGATCAAGTCAAACGGAGACGTTCGCAGCCGATTATCAGTGCTGCAGGTGATATGTGACGGGGATGCCGCGACTGCTACGGTCTAGATTGCTTTACTTTCCCCCCCTCCTTTCTTTCTCTTTTGCTTGGTCCATAATGTGCAACGTCGGTTCCCTGTGCTGTTCGAACCACGACTAACTTTTAATTCAGTCTGATTGGCTTTGGCAACAGGAGCGAAAGGGGCCAGAGAGGCAGACCTGTGGTGCAGGGCGTGCCCGCAAGCTTCGCCCATGGCCGCTCCGCGTACCAAAGGAGTTACAGTGGCCCGCGTTGTTTGCCCACGCGCGGCGCTTGTCTGAGTTGGGCAAGGGGATGGGCTCAGGCACAGGCCCATTATTGGCTCGCGGGCCAGAACACTGCAGCCCGGCCTTGGGTCCCTTGCAGACGCACAGATGCAGATCTCAGGGGTTTGCATCTGTTTGAGGCAAGCAGAAGCAGTGGGCGCTTGTCAAGGACTGTATCAACCGCCGTCGGCTCGGCGAACCTAATCAGAGTCGATTCGTTACCTGTGTTTGCAAGTTGTGGCAACAGGTTCATCGGGCTCCGCACGGCATCCGTATAAGCCGTTCTGCTGTCTCGTCCCGTCCACACGCTCAAAGGATCTGATAACGCGGTGCTGCAAGGGGGGAGGATGACAGTGCGATGCGGCACGATACACGGTCGGCCCCGAGACAGACAATCTCCCAAGCACCAGTATGCTGATATGGTGAGGACCCCGCGATGAAGTGGTGCGGGATTGCTTTGACTCGCCTGAGTTGTGAGACGATGCACAGGCTGGATCAGCTCACGGTTCATCGACTGTTGTGCTGTGAGGTAAGTCGCCAATCATCAACAGAAAGAGAAGGGCAAAAAAAAAAAAGCTGCTGGGCCCGGTCAGCCCTGTTGCAAAGACGCTGGTGGGGGGTGGGGGCAGTTTAGCCCAGCGCGTCGTGACTGTCTCGGCGCCAGTCGTCTGAAGCTTAATGAACGGCGGCAGACAGTCAAGTCCGACGAAGGCAGCCGAGCTCGCAGAAGCAGATTGAAGTCAGATCCTCCAGCCGCAGCATGATGTCGATCACGCTCGAGAGGTACAGCGAGCAGGTATACGGCAGAGATGTTCGGCAGGATCTTGACTGCTCTAGTGGCACCGCTACTGCATATGCCGAAATGTGTATGCAGGTCTGTCCTGCAGGAACGCGGGTGTCCTGTCAGCCTGTCCGCCTGTCCAACTGAAGGGTTCGATGGAGGGCCTGCGGCTGCTTGCCTGGTCCAACGTCATCAACCCGTTCTCGTCCCATGTCTCAGCTAGGGTGGGCAGTCTTCTGGAAAGACGGTGCAGGTGCGAGCTCTCGCTCTTGGGACGAAACGAGACAGTGAAGGGGGGAGAGAGAGACGACATGGAGGGCCCGAGTTGGCAGGGACCAATGCAACGCCAGATGCACGCGAGCCGAGGACCACACTGGAACAAACAGAGTTATGCTACGGGTGGACCTAGCAGAGACGATAAGTTTCATCCAGAGTTTATGATAGTAGTGCGTGATATGGTGAGTGATGTGGCTGTGGGGGCAAGGCTTCATGAAATGAAGATGTGTGGGTGGACTTTCTCTGTATGGACAGTAATCCTCCATGTGCGGACAAAGTTTAAGTTAAGCCCTCCAAGGTCTGCCAGGATCGTTCCCACTGCCGACGCCCTGCAGTTCGGACTTCGCACCCTGCCACCCTGGTGCTTGCGTGTGCTACCTGTACCTGCTAGGTGCCCAGCTATGGTACCGAGCACTACCATCTTCAATACTACGATACCATATCATAGCAAATACTTGTTCCTACCTCCTGCCTCCTGCCGTGGCTGGCTGGCTGGCCGGACATAAACCCCTGCCCCTTGCCGCTCTGACACTCAGGTGGCCCCTTCCCCCTCCCAGGCAAGTGCGGCCCCCTGTTCAGCCCCACAACGTTCCCCGAGCCACTCACGTCGACGTCTTCCATAGTGGCAATCCAATGTCCGGTCGCGCCTGCATCTACTCATTTTTCGATTGTCAATCTCTCAGTCTCTCTCAATCTCCCCCGGCCGGTGTACTTGTCTCTCGTCCCCTTCGTCCCTTTTCGTCAATGGGAATTCCCCTGACCTCGTCCCTCTTTTTGTCCTTGTTTGTGCCGCCTCCGTGACACCTGTGTGTGTTCGTCGTCCACTCTCGAACCCCAGCCTTCGTTCTCGTCCGTGCGACTTGTCGGTCCAGGTACTGCTTGCCGCTGCCATTCTCTCCTCCCTCTTTCCAGCGCCTACGGTTACGACTACGACCAAGACCAAGACCACATCAGACAGGCTTTCTTGGTATCTCCCGCCCGTCGAACCGTGTCCCCCGTTGACCTCGACTTGGTCCAGTCGCATTTACTTCGCTCGCTCTCTTGACAAATTACAAATCCTCGTTCCCAATCTTCTTGCGGACCGGCGACTCCAGACGAAATTCCCTTCCGAATCAGAGCGTCGGATCCGATCAGGTCACTGCACGGCAACCGAGACAATCTTTCTCATGCCCCACGGCAAATCAGCCAACGACAGCCCGTCCTGAGCCCTCTCTGGCATGTGAGCATTCCAGCTTGTGATCTCACCAATCTCCATTCTTCACGGCTGCGGATTTTCTGGCGTTCGACAACACGTCTTCTTCTTGTCGCCAGCCTGGTTCGCGGACGACCACCGGCCTATTCGTGCATCTCAACCGCGGGTGCCCAACATCGCCATCTCGCCACCTCTTTCACCAGCCACCAGCATCCTGGGACAATCATTGATCGCTACTCAGCCCTGCTTGACGGCAAGGGGTCACTGATCTTACCCATTTGTCGTCGTGTCCATATTTCTTCGGCTGGATTTTGCAAGGGTCCGCAATCTGAAGCCAGCTGCTTCTGTGCGCACCGTCCTGTCAAACCGGGTTCCCTCCTGTTCTTTTGAAACGCATCCGACACCGGCTACACACAAAGGTGAGCAAACACCCACAGCACACAATATCCCCACGTTTTAGCCTCAACCCCAGGCATTTATCCCCGCCTTGTCTGGGTGGCAGAAAGGGATGGTGCTTGCCAGCCTGGCTGTGTAGAACGAGAAGCTATGCGCCGGAGTTGGACAGTTCCTGCCAAGGCTTGGGGCGCATCATACGAACAGCTACAACTTCAACTCAATTCTTTTGTCTGCCTCCTTTTGAATACCGATCCGCCATTTTGCTGATGTAAAAATTTCGCAGCTCTCCGTATCGCACGGTCACAGCTCGTCGGATTACGTACCTTGACCTTATCTTCGTCTGAAATCCAGTCCCATTTCCGCTCCCCGAGAGGCTGAGCGGCGACATTCCTTGCTCCTACCCTGCGATGCAAACCTTGAATTGATGGAAGGAATCCTGTGAAGACGGCACTCTTCGTCATTCATTAGCCCACAAGGCACCACCAAACCTCTCAGCCACTGCCGTTGACCGAGCAAGCCAGCACATTCACGATGAACCGATTTAAGACCAAGAAGAGAGTCAAGGATGACGCGGCATCCGCTCGCCCGTCTCTCGAGTCCGAGTCCTCTTTTTCTCTTTTTAGCCGAAAAAAGAAATCACATGAGCAGGAAGAGAAGAAGGAGATCGACCTGGCAACCGCGTTGCCTTCCAGCGACGATTTCCGTACGAGCCTGCTGATGTCGGGACTCTCTGCTCGCTTCTCGATGCTCCGCGAACAGGACGACCCAAGCACCAAGATAGGCAAGGCTAGCGACGACAGCGTCTTGCTTCCCAAGCGACACTCAAGGATGAATGATTTCAACTTTGGTACTGGAGCAGGCCTCGGAGATATCGCTGAGGTTGAATCTATCAAGGCACCACCTTTCTTGCGGACCGATTCCACCGCTTCTGAGGAGTCCGGCTCAGTGCTGTCAAGGGCACGGCCCGTAGAAGGTAATGTCATGTTTGGCGGGAGGCAAAAGATTTATAAGATTGCAGTCGGCTCCTCTTCATCTAAGAATTTAGGTGACGGCATGAGTGGCCGAGCCTTGTATGACAACGATGTGTCTATGTCTGCATTCCAGAAATGGAGGCAGACTGCAAAGGAGCAGGACCAAGATAACGAGCTTCACGGCGAGGCGGTAGGCGAGGAGTCAAGACCGGTGGAGGACTCGTCATTCACAAGGGCGGAGTCTCCACTGCCCCAGGGCTACAACAAGAAACGTGAGACATCCTCTACGACTTCTTCGACTCCCTCTGGCGGGCGCAACTCGACTGCTGCAACCTCCGTAATCTCTCAACCTACCACGCTCCACTCCCAACAAACAACTGCAGCATCCTCAGCTACCTCCACGCCCGCTCTAGAACGACATGTCACTCGGACGAGGAGACTTTACGAACAAGGCCTGACACAGGATCTCCAAGAACAGCAACACTCGGTCCTGTCGAGGGTCGACACCCTCACTCGCCGGCCTGGAGGAGTGCGGACTCCAGATCTGGGACGAAACTCGCCGTCCCCGACTATGCATTCGTTTTCCGACCGCTTTGGGGAGCGTCGGACCATCTTGTCCAAGGCTAGTGCCCCAAACTTGAGGTCCATGAGCCCACCAACTACGGGATCCTCAGTCGGCACTTTGGACCTCAACACCAAAGCCACGAATGCCATTGACACAAAGACCTCTTTCCTGGCATCACCGCCCCTGAGCCCCCCGATCAGCGATCACAGCGCGAGTGACCAACCGAATCTTTCCATTCAACCGAAGGATCTTGGCAAGGCAACTGCCATGGGCGTCTTCCAGAGACCGTCCCAGCCATATGACGACTCCCGCTATGCAGAAAGGCAGCTTCAGTTGAAGCAAGGCCGAGAAACTCCGACCCAGCGATCCCGAAAAGACTCGAGCACGTCATTTACCTACTCTCGGTCTCAGTCAGTAGCATCCAACCGACAGCAGGAGTCAGATTCGAAGGCAAACGTTCTGTCGACCCAGGAGGAAGCTTCGGTCGAGAGCTCGCAGCAAAATGATCCACTCGAATCCCCTATCTTGAATGATCTTGTCCATCAACCATCGTACTCGCCACAAGTCAGGGTTCAACGGCCAGCCGATCAAGACCACCCGGCTTTGCGAGGCTCCGCCATCCCAACACCACTTTCCGTTCCACAAGCACCCAACGACTCGCAATCGAATAATGCTGATCTGCTAAACGTCAAACCCAAACAAGTCTTGTTAGGAGACTCGCCCACTCTGGGACCGAACTCGGGACTGGGCGGTTTGGTTCGGCAACACCTGCGGACTGAAAGCGACGTCTCGTCCATTTTCGGCACTCATGACAGCCGGGAGTCTATGGCGGCACCAAAGAACCCGTGGGAGGATCAAGACTGGACAACGTCTAGCGGCCAAGAAAGCGAGCGCAGCCTCCTTGTTCAGCCCAAGGTCTCAGCCCACAATGAGGAACTTCCTAAGTCCAATGATCACACGAAGCCAGACAGTCTCTCAGGATCGCCGCACTCGCCAGACGAGGAAGATGAATTCGCGAGTCAGCTGGCGAACGCACGGCGCCGCGTGAGGGAAAAGCTTACCTCTTTTGTTGAGACCGACAACACTCCGTCCTTGTCACCCCAGTCGCCATCAGACTCAGCTCGGGACCTGCCTCCACCGTCATCTCGCTCTAACCCGCTAGGCATTCTTCGGGGCAAGGGCAGCCGGGGCTCATTGATTGATCGAGGGCGCGACACCACAACCAAGTCCAATAAAATGAACGGAACGAGCGCCACGACGATGCCGACCCCTCCGAGCTCAGTCAAGCTAGAGTTCGATGAGCACGATCGGAGGACGCCAATCGAGATCAAGGAACACCCCGAGGAAGAGAGCGAAGACGCGGAACTGAAGGAGGAAGCCAACGCCCATCCTGGCCTCCGTGCCTTTAGACAAGCGCGGCGCGAACTGCAGAAGCGCAAGGAGCTCGAGGCTCTGGCGAGACACCCGCCACAAAACGGCCTAGTCACGAGCTCACCCGCGTCGGAGAAAGGCGCCCTCGAGCTAAGGCGCACACCCAGTAGAGAACTTCAGCCGGCTGGGTTTGGCCAGCGGCGCAAGGCCAGTGACGAGCACAGTGGAAGAATATCGCAACCACCTCCACTGTCACAGTCAAGAACTGCAAGAGATCGAAGCGGCTCTGAGGACAGCGCTGGCCAAAGTCGATCGCGAAGCAGGCCGACGCAGAGGTCCAGAGAGAACACAATTTCGAACGACGACCAGAAGCTCAATGCTGCAACGCGCAGACCTAAGCTTCGCTCACCCGGCCTGCCAGGTACTGATATCAGACGCTCGCCTCACATGCCCCCATTGAGAGCCGCTACAGGTGGTCCACAGTCGGTCGTGCCCGGCCCGTTCCTCGACAGGACCAACTCTGGAACTAACCTGAGAGTCCTCCCTCTCCGGACAGGCACCGAGCCTTTGTCCGCTGGGGCTTCACCGCTTTCGCCACGAGGCGGGGCCTTTCGAGCAATCTCGTGGCGCCTTCTCGTCCAGCGAGGCTACTGGATCAGCGCCTCCAACACCAACGTACCCACCCCCGCGGAGGCCTTCGGTCGCACACCCAAGCACGACAACGAGCACACTCAATGATTCAATGAAGAGAGTCATCAACAAGAGTGACATTTCGGAGCCAACATTCATTATGTCAACGAGCCGAGTCCCAACAATGTCTGTTACGGACGCTCGTGAGGCCGAGGCCAGGTCCAGGAGCCAGTCTAGGTCAAGGTCAGATAGCAATGCTGGCGGCGGCTCACCACCACCACTGCCGCCTGTCAACCCCCGGCGCAAGCGCGAGAGCTCTCGGACGCGGACGATTATCAATGGGCTGATGGGCCGCAATAATACCGAAGCAGACGAAGCTACTCTTAGCATGAGCACCCCCCATCTGCCACTGGCGAGACCGCCAGTGGCCCCATTCGCGGACTCGTCAGCCGAAGATAGGAGGAGTGCCTTCTCAGTCAGCGATGACGAGAAGCCAGCACCTCGCAAATTGCTGAGGAAAGCCAGCTCCGAGATTAAGCTTGATGCTCGCGCCAGCGTCGCTCCACCCCAGGTGGCGATTGGACCGCCAGCTGGAAGGGCCGTGATCACGTCCAATATGCGTGGCCCCGCGACCCCCGCGGCCAACATTCCCGGTGGAATGTTTTAAGACGATTCGTTGCGGTCCCGACACAGCCATATCCATCAATCAAAAAAAGAATTGAGCGAGGGTGAGAAAAATAAGTGATGTACGGTAGCAAACCGTGGTCCACAAACCAACAGTTGAACCGATTTCTACGACAGGGCATGGCTGGCGTCGATCTTTGCTTTACATAAAAAGAGCTTTCGGGGCTGAGATACCTATTTGTATACTGCGTTATGGCACATCTGGGCCTCGATACTTTATTTCCTTACTATACTTAATGGACACTCGGCTTGTTGTCTCGGGCCGGTTGTAATTTACTCCCGGGACCAGTGGGTCAGGACACAGCACGATGAGGAGCAGCGAAGACATCTGTCTCTCGGATCGGTTTTAGCCCATGTCTTCGGCTCAGGGTGGTGAGTGTCCCAGCCTTGCAGGTGGGGCGGGGCACACATGAGGAAGCGCATATTGATACCACCACCTCACTCTTATTGCTTCGGACAGGCGGCCGAGGTGTGCGTCAAGCCATGAACGTGCTGCGAGGCGAAGATGGAGATAATTCTTATTTAGTAGTTGCTCGGCATATGAATACAGTGAATTTGTGAGCATCGAGGTTGCCTTGTCCCTTTATCTTGCTCCGATTTGAATGGTTAGCATTGACTTCCACCCAGCATATGGATGTTGAACATAATACAATGGCATACTTCTTCGCTGGGGTCAACGCTTCTTATATCCCATTGCAGCTCCGGGGCTGCGCGAACGCCGAGCCGGCCTGTCTTGCTGACCTGCTTTACCAAAACAATGTTAGCCCCGTCCGGTGGTCTCTCCAATTCACCGCTCGTGGGGCAATCAGCTTCTGGCACGAAGCTTACCTAGATTCAGAGGGGTTCCCTCGTCTTTACTGCTCACATAATATAGCTACTGGTTGGTACTCAAGAAAGCAGCCTAGGCTTCCTCTTCCACGGCCGGCCAAGCGAGCCTCAACTCGCTCCCACAGCCGACTCACTCCACAATGGCGGCGGCTGCTTTCATACGTCCCTACAAGCCCTCAGACTTTGCTGCAACGGCGCACATTGTGAGTGGCGCCTTGCCATCCGTCACACAACTCGTGCCTGGGCCCTCTCCCATTTCACCTCCAGCCCCAAGATTACACGCCTCTAGCTGACCGCTCCCTAACCAACAAAGTGCCGGGCGACCCTGCCCCCAGGCCTGGCCGAGTCGGAACCGGCCGTCCGCCTCGCGCCTTATATATGGACTCACCAGTACACGCTGCTCTCGCCTTCGACCTGCTTCGTGCTGGACGACGGGTCGGGCGAGGCGGTGGGCTACGTCATCGGGTGCCCGGACGTGTTCGCCTTCGCGGACGGGTATCAGCGGTACGTGGACGAGGTGCTCCTCAGGCCGGCCGCCGACGGCGATGGCACGGTCTCTGGTGCGGCCGTGCCACCACCGCGGCAGCTCGATCGCCTGGAGCCGTGGTTTGTGTCTGGAGGAGCGGGGGCTGCCGTGAATGAGGAGTGCCTCAAGCAGTTGGCGCATAGCCCGTTTTTGCTGCTCATCGAGGAAGGCGAGGGCAGGGAGGGGCTTGTGAGGAATTATCGGGCGACTATGCATGTCGACCTGCTGGAAGGGTGGCAGGGCCAGGGCTGGGGGCGGAAAATGATCGAGGGGTTCGTGGCGAGCGTGAGGGATGCTGTCCGGGAGGTCGGGGGTGGGTTGGATGGTGGGAGGGGGGTGCATATTGGTGTGGCTTGGGAGAACAAGAAGGTCGTGCCGTTCTATGAGAAGGTCGGGTTCAGGGTGTACGAGGGTGGCGGTCAGAGAGAGGGTGGGACTATCTGGATGGTTTATGAGTTTGTGCAATGAGGCCACTGAAGGTTGGGGTCGTTGCCAGTCACTTCCGTCTTTTGGCAGTGGCGGGACTCAGGAGTCCAAGAAGTTGCCAGCAAGCTGTGAATAGGAATCCTCAAGCCGTGTTAGACCTGTAGCCCAAACGACCCCTTCTGAGGCATGTTCATGGATAGGACTTCTTCTAGACTTGATATGGCATTACTGCGCTTCACATTCAGCATCCCAATGCTATGTTGCGGGACGTTGGACAATTCGCTTGCCGCGACGTTGTACATTGTGTTATTTGAACAGACATATTCATTGGTTAATTAATGAAGAGACTGTCCCAACACTTTTTTGTTTTGCCCCATGTGGGTAGGGACAGTCGAAGAGCCAGACAGCTATTTGCGCACCTACACCGAGATAGAGTACTGGCATCAGTACAACCTAAATGTTTAAAAGCTATGAGATGGTAAACCTGGGTTTATCCATCGTATACTGCTATCTTGTGAAGGAGGACTTCAATGTTATGCTGAAATGTCAGCAGTGTCAGGCTCTCCTAATTCCGATCCAATTCTTCCAGTCAGTGGTACCACCTCCTTCAAGTGTCTTGACTGTTACAACTCATCTGCAGCTTCGAAATGTTGTACTTGGGGGCCTCCTGCAACTCTTGTGCTCATTGTGCCTCGAACAATGGGAAATGATGAGGCTGGTCTTTACGAGATGATTGCCCATGTGCTACTCACCACCAATGTCGACGATGAACATTCGACCGCAAGAAGAAATTGTTTGTCAGACAACGTGAAACATCGTTCGAACTAAGTCACACCAATCTCTCCAAATCACACATAACCAGCGCTGTTGTCAGTAATACCGCCTGGTTCGATCGCAATACGAGTGTGTTTGCCTTCATAGTGTGTATGTAGGACGTCGCTCACATTCAATCACACCAATTTCTGATGGCATAAATATTCAACGCTTCTTCTGTCTAGTCCAGAATGTTGAAGTTTCCATGGACCCCTACGTAAGTTGGGTCCACTGGCAGTTAAGAGCAATCACAGTCCTATTCCACCAAAAGCACAAAGTATCGACAACCTCATCAACATGAGTGGTGCAACCCAGATTTGCCCGGACTGCGGGCTGGTTCACAATGGCGAACACGTCTTCTGTCCGTTCTACAAAGGCGCGCCGATGCCACACGCATACAAGCCCAAGCCTCGGATGAAGCCGAGGCCACAAAAGTCCAAGCCTAAGGAGGAGCAGAGTGGGAATGATGAGAAGCTGACTCAATATCAGGGCCAGAGGAAACCGAGGGAGTGAGGGTGCGCGGGCTGAAACTGTAGCTCAAGTCAGGGACGTTCACGAGGCGGAGATGTTGTACGTGTACTGGCGAGACCTAGGTAGAGGATAGTTGGGCACACGGGTAACGAACAAGATCAAAATTGTAAACGAGTCGTAACAAGTGCCGCTGTGATATCTTGCTTCGTCCTAGTGTGTCGCCCTTTTACCCAGATTATTCATTTACGAACAGGATCAGATTCAGTGTTCACAAGACACGTGTGTACACTACTCTCTGGGACTGATTCGTACCTCAACTAGCAGGCCTACGGAGGCGCTGTACACAGGATTGCACGAGTCGAGGAAATGAGAGACACGGGTCACATATGGGAATTTTAGAGATGCTTTTCTCCGAAGACCCAATAGGCAATGCCGTGGCATGGAATAGACGGGCAACGACATTCCGGGATGGTCGACAATGTCAACCCGGAGCCAAGCCGGCGCTTGACGGCTGGGGGACGGGATGAAGGGCCAGCCCGGCCGGGAGAGAACGCGCCGAAGTCTGCAGTTGTCCGTCAACTGCCGCCGACCCAGAGGCAAGACTGGTACTTTACGGAACGGATCGTCCCGTCGTCCTGATGCCTCGGGGCGCCGTGAAGGGTGGCGAGAATTCTGCGCTCATTTGGTGGCCAAGATTTTATCCAAACCAGGACGGGACAGATAGATTCACACGGCAGCCCGGATATTTGCTTGAACGGTTGCAATGCGAGCTGCCGACGAGATATCGGGTTTTCTCGCCGCACAGGCATATCCTTCCGGATTTCATTTTTATTTCCGCGGCCTTGCACAATCGGCCACGGTTGAAACACGGCGAGTCGAAAGTGAACTTTATCGTGCCGCTCTGATGCAGGTACTCTGCAACCACAAAGTTTCTCAGGGCTTGCGTGGCCGTCATGATTCTCGTTGGACGTCGGGATGGTAGATTTGACGTCGGCTGAAGTCGGACGCGAGGCACGTTTCATGGTCCCAGGCAGGGCCCGACTCCTTCTGCCGGGGGCCGGGTGAGCGGAGTGAAGTGATGGTAGGGGACGCCTGCTTGGTATCTGGGGTTGCCGAGCCAGGGCCTTGGGGAAGATCGACAATGGGGCAGTTTGTCAAGGACTTGGAAGGGTGATGTCAGATAGGGAATATCTCGGCTTGGGAGGTGGATGAAGCGGCCGCGATAGGCCGCGATATCAAGACGAGACGAAACTTGGCAATGCAGCTGTGACAAGTCGGGACGGGGCTGAAGGCAGCCTGAGTGGCCATTGCAGCTTGCAGGATGCGTCCCGGTTCTCTGGACTCACCTGGGCAGCTTGGCGGTGGTTCGCGAGGCCCATGACTGCGTCTCCCTATTACCTACTGCTTACCTACTATTAGTGGTATTAGTGGTAGGTAGACGGTCCCCGTGCCTACATTTCTGTCCACCCCAGCACGGGCCCAGCCAGCCAGCATGAACAGGGCGACTCAAGCCGGTCAAGCCGTGCTCACATGCCGTTCTCATCTCGTAAAAGGCACGACTTATTACGGAACTCATTACTATAGTGCGCCCGTCCAGAAACGGAAGGCCCCCCTTTCTTATTTGGGAGGGACGAAAATTCCTCGGGTTGTGGCTGCCCTGGGGTGCGAGGGTGGGTGGGGCCGCCGTCACCCCCTGGCCAGTGCGGGGTTAGCATGTGTAAGTGACAATGCAGTGGGGCGGTGCACCCGACCTGTGCTCGTGCTTGGTCCCGATTCATTATCGTGGGCGAGTTTCCGGCCGCACGAGGATGTTGCCTGTGATGAGGCCAAACATTGTCCAACTTTTCGCATCGAAATCGGGCCACGGTCTGGTGGAAAACGAGAAAAGAAAGCAGGAGCAGATACAGAGAAATCATCGCGGGGAGTGACGGAGTCAGCAAGCAAGGTGGGTGTGTCTGATAAAATCTGGAATGCCCTGTGGGGGAGAAGGCTTAGCCTTGGCCTTGGGGATTCCTGGGGAAGAGATAGGGCAAGGGGCTAGCCTCTAGCGGGTCCTTCTCTCGTGGGTGTGGGTGTGGTTCTTTTCTGCCCTCTCCCCTTCTCCACGATGCTCCTTCCAGATTGCAACCCCCAGAATTATGTCCGGGAACGGCAAGGCTCGGAAAGTCTTTCCATGCAATCATCGGCCGCCCAAGTCTCGAAATTCAGAATCCCATGAGACGCAACTCGTGGGCTTCCGATAGGACCCGCGGCGCGTCGGCCAAGTTCCGTATCTGGTGGCATTGCATTCCGCTGCATTCAGCCCTGTTCAGGTTGTGCAAGCGAGCAGCGGCCGTGACTGTGATACTGTTACACTGTCGCGGGTGCAGGTCTGTCCGCCCGTCTGTATGTCGTGTCTGAACTGTGTTTCTTTGGAAGATCTCTGTAACACCTCCCGTCTTTGAATTTTGCCGGCCGATGAGGTGCGGCCGGTAGTAGTAAACTGTCGTCACTGACCACTGACGACAGGCAACTGCAGGTCCTTTCTCTGCTCAGCAAGTGGTAGTGCAGTCTAATTCCAAAAGTCAGCATGTGGAAACAAGGGCCGCTCCTACCCGGCCTATTACCTTCGCCATATTACCCTGTGCATGTCAATTACACATGGCCTTGTGTGCGTATCTGAATTTAGAAGGCAACTGCGGCTCGTGGCCCCTGGTATTTGAGTGGCAAGGCGCCAATGGCAGCCGCTCAATTTGATTTGCTGCCGATCATCGATCAGGCCTGCATCGCGATGTCCCGATCGGAAACAACGCCGGCCCAGAAGTCAACCCTGGGACCTGCCTCCGTCTGCCTCCGTCCGTCTCCGTCTGTCTGTCTGTCTGTCTGTCTGTCCATGGGACGGACATGTCCAATACGTATGCAAAGTACACAACGTTTGGTGCCTGCAGGCAGTGGTGAGTGATGAATTGTGTGAGGTCTTTCGAGGGGCCAAGATTTTGGCCGTGTGCCCGCGTTCCCGTGTGCCTGCGTGCCCATTTCCCCATTTCCCCATTCCCTCGACCCGGCCAGACCGTTTCTCCCCCAGTCCCCAAACCTCCCCAGCACACGACTAGACTATCTAGACTCTCACTCCCGTGCGCACCCACGTCCCAGCAGCATCTACTGCCGCCTTCCTTGTCTTGGCCGTCCGCCCCTGACCCGTAGCCAACGCCCGGAGCGACTAGAAATGACGACGCAAGGCCGTCACGCCCCTCCCGAAGCTTGCAGGGGTGTCTGATGGTCTGCTCCGGCTGGTTTTCGTCAGACGGCAACCCAAACAACCCCAATCAACACCCTCAAGGCCTTTCCGGCCAGTGGAATGCTGTCGTCAAGCTTTAAAGGCTCCACCAGGCCAAATCCTATATATCCTCGGCTCCAGGCGCTATCCCATCGTGGACCCTCAGCTGGAATAACTCGGCCCCAGTTTCAACCCGTAACCGTGCTCGACTCGACCAAGATTGGATCCAACCCGCACCCAAGGTGGACTCGTCACTTTCACAAGCGTCCCAAGTCACAGACAACCCTGTCATACCCAGGCCCTAGTCCCTCCTACTCTGATTTACCCATCTGCCCAATTCATACAAGAAGCATGGCTCCCTCCCACGAACCTGTTGCCAGAACTGCCTCTCCCTACACCGATCCCAAAGTTCAAGGCCCTCGAGCTCAGATTCTCTCCTCTGGTACTCAGTCAGATCTTCGCAAAAGTACGTCTTACACATCTGTTGTCACCTCTCGTTCTTACTTGCCCGTTTGGCGCTGACACATGTCTGTAGTGCTCGTCAACACCGTTAACAAAACCGGCCTCCACCCTAGTGGTGTGCAGTAAGTCTATTTCCTGCGGCCTCTGCCCAAAAGTCGGACAGTCAGGCTAACAACTTCTCTCCCCAGGCCACACCGTGAACACACCGAACTTGGTATGATTCCAGCAATCTCGCCAGTCTGCTCCGCGAGCGACAGACCTACGGAGAGGGAGCCAGCGGGCTAACAGTAGCACAGAGGAGGAATTGCACGAGAAGGCACACATTGACTACGATCGCGTTGCAATTGTATGTTGGGAACAATTCCCGGGCACAGAAATATCCTGAGCCAGACGCTAACTAGCGTCACAGATTCCCAACCCTTCAGTTGCCGCTCTCTACGAAGATGCTCTCGTCTACGAGCCCGGCTCTGCCATCTCGTCTTCCGGTGCCCTGACTGCCTACTCAGGCAAGAAGACCGGTCGTTCGCCCCTGGACAAGCGAATTGTGCAGGAGCCCGGCTCAGAAAAGGACATCTGGTGGGGCCCAGTCAACAAGCCCATGAGCACAGACGTACGTTTTCCCTCTTGCGGTTGTCTTTCAGGTTTTCTTTGTTTTGGCAGCACATCCACCGCTGTGGCAGTTTTGCTGCTTGGTCACACGACCGAGCTACTGCCCATAACAAACCCCTGGCATGTGGTCACGAGTCTCGTGAAAATGGTGGCTGCTGCAAAACAGCAGCGGGAATGACTGTCCGTTTGGTGCCCAAATCAATCAGACGTCATTGGCGATCACAGACTCCACCAGGCGTACCCTCTTTCGCCCCCTTGAGTCGCTCAATTGCGGTCGCTGGAGGCAAATGCTGCTGAATGCGACCTTGGAAGGGCGGCTCTTTCCCCACATGCCCCTCGTCACTGAGATCATCGGTGCAACCCCTCGGCCCAGTTCATGCACCCCGCTTATTCCACAGCCGAAACCCGTCTCCACTTCTGCATGGCGCTTCCTGCCTTTCCCGCCCTCATACCCGTACAGCCGGGAATATGGAAACACGCCCGAGACTAACACGTGATTCACCCTACAGGTCTGGAAAATCAACCGCGAGCGCGCTGTCGACTACCTCAACACCAGAAGCCGCATTTACGTTGTTGATGGGTTCGCAGGATGGGACGAGAAGTACAGGATCCGCGTGCGGGTCGTCTGTGCCCGCGCCTACCATGCTCTCTTCATGCGCAACATGCTCATCCGCCCTTCGCGTGAGGAGCTGGAGAACTTCCACCCCGACTACACAATCTACAACGCCGGATCCTTCCCGGCAAACCGATACACCGAGGGTATGACTTCTGGAACCTCCGTTGCCATCAACTTCGCCGAGAAGGAGATGGTCATCCTCGGCACCGAGTACGCCGGCGAGATGAAGAAGGGTATCTTCACCGTTCTCTTCTACGAGATGCCCATTAAGCACAACGTCCTGACGCTGCACTCGTCCGCCAATGAGGGCAAGAAGGGCGATGTTACCCTCTTCTTCGGCCTGTCTGGCACTGGCAAGACCACTCTCTCTGCCGACCCCAATCGGGCCCTGATTGGCGACGACGAGCACTGCTGGAGCGAGAACGGTGTTTTCAACATCGAGGGCGGCTGCTACGCCAAGTGTATTGGACTTTCGGCAGAGAAGGAGCCTGATATCTATGGTGCCATCAAGTTCGGCTCTGTTCTCGAGAACGTTGTCTTCGACCCAGATACCAGACTGGTCGACTACGATGACTCCACTCTGACGGAGAACACTCGTTGTGCTTACCCCATCGAGTACATCGAGAACGCCAAGATCCCGTGCCTGTCGCCAAGCCACCCGAGCAACATCATTCTGCTCACCTGCGACGCGCGTGGTGTGCTGCCACCAATCTCCAAGTTGAACAGGGACCAGATTATGTTCCACTTCATCTCCGGTTACACTTCCAAGATGGCTGGGACTGAGGACGGTGTCACCGAGCCACAAGCCACCTTCTCGTCCTGCTTTGCCCAGCCCTTCCTGGCTCTGCACCCCATGCGCTACGCCAAGATGCTGGCAGACAAGATCGAGCACCACAACGCCAACGCTTGGCTGCTCAACACCGGCTGGGTTGGCGCTGGTGCCCTCCAGGGTGGCAAGCGTTGCCCTCTGAAGTACACCCGTGCCATCCTCGATGCCATCCACTCTGGCGAGCTCGCGAAGGTTGAGTATGAGAACTACGACATTTTCAACCTTCAGGTGCCCAAGACCTGCCCCAACGTCCCGTCGGAGCTGCTCAACCCAGCGAAGGCATGGACCGCCGGTGGAGACAGCTTCACGCAGGAGGTTACCAAGCTCGGCAAGCTCTTCAACGAGAACTTCAAGAAGTACGAGTCTGAGGCTACCGAGGATGTCATCAAGGCCGGACCTGTGGTCTAAGGCACCTCGTCGACTACTTTAACTGGTTTCTTCTGAACTTCGACCTGTTCATATTTCTTGCTTCCTACTTCCTGTGTGGTAATGACGGTTCAAGCACGCGCACCCACTACAGCATATGGCTTTGGCTTTTTGATTAGAACGAGCGAACACCTATCAGAGACCCGCAACGAGCACACGCGCTCCACGCGATAGGTCCAATGATACCACAACCGGGTTAAACATGGGATGAGTGTACTTATACACTGCATTTTTCCGAGGCGCAGCAACGAGCACACGCGCTCCGCGCATTGAGGCTGCATTACCGGCAGACAAGAATGCCAGTATGGTTTTGAGGATTGATAGCACTCAAAGGGATCGGGAACCGAGACCTAAGTAGCTAAGAAGGAGACTGAGAATGAGAATGATCCGTACATCATAATCGCAAATATTCCCACTGTGAACTTGATCCTACCTTCCCGTGCAATGGCTTTGAGTCCCTTATACCATCGAAGCAGCGATGTGCAAAGATGAATTTGGACTGACTAGACCTTAGAATAATGAAGCAGGCGGCTGGGTAGGTTTCCCATTGGCGAGTGTCTGCAGATATCAGGCAGAGGAGGTGGTGGGTGGCACTTCTAGCGCTTACATAGTAGTATGCATGTGCGAAGATGTCGTGTAACATTATCGAGTGGTTTGTCGGATGTGTTACCACACCTCTTCAACAGAAACGTCTACCAATATTTACAGTCATGTTGTGATCAACAAGTGGCTGTCCGTACTGCGGGTTCTCATGACCGACTATGATGCAGTGCACTCTTGGGCAGCGGAACGTCGTTTTCTATTCTCGACGCGGGCTCTGACGGCTAGATTACGAACACTTATCCTCTCCCCATGCGTATATCCCGATTACCAACCCTCCGCAACCAAGCAGGCGCCTCATCCACGGGTCTTCTTGGTACATATGATCCAGTTCAGGTCCGCCACGGGCGGCAGGTGGCACTCCCTCCCGCTGCGCAGCTCCCACGCGGCCAGCTCCTTCTCGTCGAGGCCGCACGTGCGCATCAGGGCCTCGACCTCGTCCGGGGTGCGGGTGCGCAGCGACGAGACCCAGCCGTCAAACACCAGCACGAAGGGCAGCACGGGGACGGCCCAGCACCAGAACAGCGTGGCGGGGCTGCGCCAGCGCCAGGCGAACAGGGGCGCCGACAGCAGCACGCCGACGCCGAGCATACAGCAGGCGAGGAAGGCGCGCAGGGAGCGGTCCTGCAGCTCGAAGATGGCGAAGCCGTCGGACGCGCGCAGCGTGTTGGCCAGGATCCGCCGGGCGAGGGCGTCGTCGAAGTGGTGGAAGGCGAGGTTGAAGAGGCGGAAGTGCTTCTTGTTCTCGACGGGAAGGTTGGTGGTGTTGAGGTGGTTGGTTAGCAAATCTGCCGGGGCGTCGGACGCGTCTACCGGGTCCGGGGAGAAGTGGACGTTTGGGGAGCGGGAGGCGGCCTCGGTCCAGTTGGCGATGTGGGGGTGCAGGTCGGTCAGGACGAACTGGGCCGGCTCCTTTGGCCTCGCTGATGATGCGCCTTGCTGCTGCTTGATGTCCCGGTTGATGTGCCTCTCGATGCTCGGCGTGGGCCCGCCGCCGCCGGCGCAGAAGTCGATGAAGACATGGTCCGAGAGGCTGTCGCCGAGGTGGGCCTCCAGGAGGCGCGAGACTATACGGGCCGGCGAGACTGGCTGGATGTAGGGGATCTTGGAGTTCCAGGTCTGAGTGAGAGCGGCTTGGACCTTGCCGCGGAACCAGGGAGGAAACCTGAGGGGCCTGTCAGCTGGCTGGTCTTGTGGCGCAGGCGCGTACGAGGGCGTGAGCAGGAGTGAGTGAGATTCAGGGGGTTTACCATGGCTGGTCATCGATCTCGAAGAGATGCAGTCGTGGGACCCAGGGCGCCATGTTGATGAGAACACGGGAGCCGTGTTAATGTATGTGAGTTGTCTGGTGCTTGTCTCACACTTGCCCTCGTTCTCGCTCTTACTGAGGCTGTCGTCAAGAGTATGAGTGTGCGATATGACGGAATTGACTTTGATCGTCCCGGAGGAGCCAGGAGTATGTATGTGTTCGCTTAAAAGTGCTCGACAGGATGAAGTGTTGAGGTGACGAGGATATTCTGTTGTGACCTCGGGAGGAAGCAGAGTACGTACCCTACCAATGGTCTCTTGCATCTGATCTGTTACCTCTCAACGTGCTGTGCAAGCCTGTCTCAAGAGTTGCAGGGGGTCGGGCAAGGAGAGTCGCAGCTGCGCAGGGGCCGCCCAATCGGCACCGTTCCAAAACGCCGCAGGATAATCCCAAGCAGCTGGACGGGTGTTACCAGGGCCTGCAGGGACGGTCAGCACTCAATGGCAACTGCCAAACATCATTCCATGCCCACACCTGCGTCGTGGCGGAGTGCTGTGTTACAGACGCATCATGACGTCCCACCTCAAATGGCAGATCTAGGCTCATTCTCCCCTTGAGCTGGTCTGCACCGCACTGCACTCACTAGCCTTCATGTCCCTTGGAATGGGCTCAATCCCACCGAATACTGCATCGCGATCATGTCGTTCCTCCCTTGGGCTGTCGGATTCGCCGTGGTCGCTCTGATCCTGCAGTCCGTCTTCAGAAAGAGTGGCATCACGAGAGGTGGGGCTCCACTGAGGTAAGACGGGCTGACTCCATTCCTCATCCTTCTCCCGTCTCTCTCTCTCTCTGTCCAGTACTGTTCTCGCTGACCACCCCAACCGTAGGAAGCCTCCCAACACGCTGCCCCTTGTCGGCAACGGAATCCTGTTCTTGCAGGCCCGGCAGAAGCTGTTCTCATGGTTTGTCAAGTGCGAGCGCATCTTCGGCCACGAGACCTTCGAGCTGTACGTCCCCAGCCTGCCGCCGGGCGTGGTCATCAATGATCCCGCCAACCTGGACTATGTCTTCAGGAACGAGGCAATCTTCTCCAAAGGAGATTTTGTCAAGAAGCCCCTGTGGGACCTTTTCGGTTAGTGTACGAATTGCTGACAGGCTACCGGCCCGGAGTCCTCGGCCTTGGGCTCACCCGCGTCGGGCCCGAGATGACGCGACGGGCATCATGCCGGTCTCCGTCTCCGTCCCCGTCCCCGTGCCAACTCCCGTGTCCGCCGGCCTTTGCGTTCTTGTGGAATAGTCGCTAACCACGTATGTGCCCCACTCAACAGGCCACGGCATCATCAACTCGGATGGCGAGCTGTGGAAGGTCCAGCGCAAGGCCGGCCTGGCCTTCCTCAACACCAAGAACCTGCAGGTACTCACTGATGTCGCTCTGCCCCAGTATCTGGCCCAGAGCGTCGAGTTCCTCAAGTCCAGGTCTCGAGATGTGCGGGAGGCAGACTTGCAGTCTGTCTTCCATGAGATCACCACCCAGCTGATGGGCAAGCTGGCCTACAATGTATGCTGCCACCCGACTTTACCACGGCCGGGGCTGATTGCTTTGGTAGATGGAAATGCATGCCGACGACGACTTCACCCTTGCCTTTGACTACGCCTCAGGCGCAACGGCAGAGAGGGTGCAGAACCCGCTCTGGCGGGTCACGGAGATCATTTTCGGTGCGAGACTGCGCAAGTCGATTGCCATCGTGAAGACGTACGGTAAGCAGATCGTAGACACTGCCATACAGAACCGTGAACGGGGAACAAAGGACACCAGAGGCTCCTCCAACCACCCAGAGAGCGATGAGAAGCTCGACAAAATCTCTGGGAGCTTGATTCAGTCGCTGCTTGATTCCATAGGCGACCGTGAAATGGTCGCAGATGCCGCACTCAACTATCTCTCCGCAGGTAACTTGCCTCCCCTCCCGGACTCCGAGCAGCACCCCGATGCTGACTTTGCCCCCTTAGGTCGAGACACAACTGCGCAAGCCCTGACGTGGACGTTCCACCTGCTCATGCACCACCGCTACACGCTAGCCAAGATCCGGCAGGAGGTCCAGCAGGCCCTCCAGAGCCAACCCGCGCAGCGTGGCGACGGCTCCGCTATGCCCACCCTCCTCCCCGTGGACCCAACCCTCTTCACGCCGGCCTCGATGCCCTACACCCTCGCCATCTTCAACGAGGCGCTGCGGCTATTCCCGCCCATCCCGTTCGAGATCAAGCAGGCCCAGTCGTCCACGACCCTGCCCGACGGGACCGTCCTGCCCAGTGGCTCGGTCGTGGTCTGGTGCCCCTGGGCCATGAACCGCTCCAAGCTGACCTGGGGCGACGACGCCGACGAATTCCGGCCCGAGAGGTGGCTGGTGGCCGCCGACATCGAGGAGAAGGGCGCCGGCTTGCCGCTACTGAAGATGGCGGTGACGCAGAAGAGCGCGAGCGAGTTCCCCGTCTTCAACGGCGGGCCTCGCACGTGCCTGGGCAAGAAGATGGCCGAGCTTATCGCCGTGCAGGTCATCGCCACCGTAGCGTGGACTTTTGAGTTCGTGCCGGCGTACGAGGGCCGCGAGAGGGCGAGCAAGAGCAGCCTGACGCTGCCGATGGAGGGGGGCCTGCCTGTGTTTGTCAAGGTGAGATCTCGGGGCGGCCGGGACGGGGACGACGGTCTTGTGTCATGATGCGTGGCTGCCCCTGAAAAGGTTTACTTGGGTTCACATGTAATTGCGAGTTTGCCGCGATAGTCGTACGAGAGTGAACTCAATGTATTAGCGTGTGATCATTCTGAGTGCCTCCGCAGGCAAATAGGTACATCTTTTTCTATTCATCCATGTACAAATGGCCAACCCACTTTCCACTGTGCGTCCCCCTCCTGCCTGCTCATGATCGTATAAAGACTTTTTTTACTGTGCAGACGTGACCGCATGATGCATCAAATCAAATTCTATGGGACATTAACCGTAGTCCGTGCAAAATCCAACTCGCAATTACCAACACCAGCGCATTAGCTTATATAAACCAACCGTAATTCAGTCGGGGAATGACTCTGGGCCGAATTATCCGGTCCAGGAAGAAGAAGATGGTGTGATGTGGAGTGCGATCATCGCTTGTTGTAGTTGAGGAAGCGGCCCTGCCGGAAAAAGAAAATGTCAGCCGACCAGCGTTCCCCACAGTTTTCGGGCTCCTCACGGGGGCCGAGGGCTTCGGGGCACAACAACTTACCGCCAAAAACAGGATGATCAGGTTGCTCCCGACGAAGGCGAGATAAATACCCAGCTCCCTCCAGCGGTTGTCGAAGCTCATGCCCAGGGGCTCGTAGAACTGGTCGCCGACCTTGTAGGCGCAGTACCCGCAGTCGCTGGTGTCGTTGCTGACGATGTAGCCAGGGCCACCCGAGGCGAAGTAGGGCTCCATGTACTGGCCGCAGGTCTGGCCCGCGGGCGCCGTGAAGCGGTTGAGCTCGACGTCGGTGCAGCGGACCTCGAGGCCGTGCAGGGCGGTGGTGACCATGCCGCCGATGAGGCGGGTGAAGGGGTCGAGCTCGTACAGCCACGCGCGCCAGAATCCCGGCATCTGGGGCCCGGGGATGGTGACGCCGCAGAAGAGGGCGAAGGTGATGACGATGAAGGGGTCGAACTGCGACGAGATGAACATTGAGGGCGTCAGCGCCGCCAGGCCCTGGCCTAGGGTGACGGCGAAGAGCTCCGTGATGAGGATCATGAAGAACTGGTAGCCCGCGCGGGACGACTCGGTCTGCAGGCCAGGCATGTAGTACAAGGGCAGGAAGGTGGCGACGGCGCAGAGGACCGAGTAGGGCATCTCGGCCAGCACGATGGAGGTGGTGAAGGTGAAGGCCGAGTACATCTTGGACGACTGCTCGCGGAAGAAGATGGAGCGCTGGAAGTGGTACATGCCCTCGACCTGCGACATGATCAGACCGGGCAGCACCGTCACCTGGAACATGACGAAGACCTTGTTCTGCAGCGACGAGCGCGAGTCGTCCAGGTTCAGGAAGGTCAGGCCGGTGAGCAGGGCGATGATGACGTGGTTGAACAGCCGCGTGAAGAGGTAGTTGGGCGACCGCCAGTACGACAGGCTGGTGCGCTTGATGACCACCTGCAGCTGGTGCGACAGCGTCGACGCGTACTCCTTCTGCAGCGTCGGGTCGACCTGCTCGCCGGCCGCCTTCCGGGACTCCTTGAGCTGCGAGATGTGGTCCTTCACGTTGGCCAGCTCGCTGCTGTCCTCCCAGATGTCGGCCCAGTCCTTGTCGCCGATCCGCGGCGACGATCCCGCTCCTATCGCGTCCAGCATGAACTCGGCCACGTTGTCGGTCTCTCCGGCGACGGCGCCGTGACGCGCCAGGTACTCACGCAGGACGCGGGCGTCCCTGCCAATGTCTCCAAAGTAGATACAGCGACCTCCGGACTTCAGGAGGAGCAGGCGGTCGAAGTTCTCGAAGAGCGCGGCGTTGGGCTGGTGGATGGTGCAGAGAATGGCCTGGCCGGCGCGGGCAAGCTTCTGGAGGAAACGGACGATGTTGTACGCGCTCTGGCTGTCGAGACCGGAGGTGGGCTCGTCGAGGAAGAGCAGAAGCTGGGGTTTCGCCGCCAGCTCGACTCCGATCGTCACACGCTTGCGCTGCTCGACGGTCAAGCCGGCCTCGGGGGACCCGATGATGGCGTCGGCGATGCTCTCCATTTCCAGCAGGGCAATGACATCTTCGACGTATGTGTACTTCTCCTCTTGGGGAGTCTCAACGGGCTGACGCAGATCGGCTGAGAATCGCAGTGCCTCTCGGACAGTTTGGGACGGGTCGTGCATATCGAGTTGCTCGGCGTAACTGGTGGATCGCTGGAACTCCTTGCCGGGCTTGATACCATCAACCAGGATATCACCCCCGATGACACCGATGTTCTTGCGCCCGGCAAGCACGTCCAGCAGGGTCGTCTTTCCGGCGCCTGAAGCACCCATCAGAGCCGTCAACTCACCAGGCTTGACGTAGCCAAACACATTGTTGAGGAGTCGTCGGGTTCCACCGGGAACTGGGACATCATAGACAAGGTTCTCCCACGTGAGGACACTCTTGGACTCGATCTTCATGTCGCCACCCGCATCGACCTCGGTCTTGTTCTTCTGGCGCTCCTCCAGCTTCTTGGCCAGGGCTTCGTTCAGGGCCTTCCTCTCGGCGTTGGGCTTCTGGAAGATCCTGAAGGTGTTGCCGCCCATTCCGAACTTGACGAGCTCACCCAACAGGACGTTCAGGAACAGGAAGGCGACGATCAAAGCTATGATGATGCCGAAGTTTCTCCACAGGTCCTCTGGGTGGTACGAAAACCCCTCGACGATGTAGTCGCTCCCAGAGACCTGATCAGTGCCTGGTCGGGACCCAGCCAGGGTGCAGACCTGGTGGTTAATGTCGTCGTAGCCCGGGCCAGACGGGATGAGCTGCGGGCCCGAGCATGTCATTTCGATCCTGCTGAACTCGTTCTCCATCATGGCGCTGAAGGCCAGGCCAAGCGCATTGATCCAGTAGATCCACCGCAACCAGACCTTCTCAGCCTGGTACTGGATCATATAGCCTGCGGTTGTCACGAAGAAGGTGATGATGACGACGGCGAACTTGATGGCATAGTCAAAGTCGGGACTGATGCAGCCGAGGATTCGGAAGAACAACGTCATGGCGATGTTGCCAACCAGGACCATGAGGTAGAACGTGAAGAATGCGCCGGCGCTCCGGGAGAGATTCGCCATGAAGTAGACGATGATCGAGAAGACGAGAATCTGCGAAGCGGCAAAGGCTTGGTCGACAATGATCTGTGCTATCCACAGGGCCGAAGGCCGATGGAAGGCATATGCTTTGTGCTTGTTGACCACAGCCCGGCCTGTCATGACACCGCCGAGCTCCGAGAAGGCCTGGAAGGCGTTGAACAGGAGCGAGATGAACATCAGACCACCCTTGCTGAAAGCACTGGCTGACGTCTGGCCGAGATTGAGGTACAGGGTTCCGAGGACGATGGCAATGATGATACTCCTCAGCCACCCGAGGATAAGTGCGAGCCGGTCCTGCATCTTGAGGACGAACTGCCGCTTCATCAGAGCCCAGACTTGCAGGTGGAAACCAACCGCGTAGACAGACTTCTTGGCACCGGTCCGCTTGCTCTCCTGCACCGCTATCCTGAAGTCGTCGTGCTGCTGCTGGGCCTCCTTGAGGCGCGCCTTGTACTCCGTCATCTCCTGGGCCAGGTCTTTCGACAGCTGTGAGGCCTTGAACGCCTCGGCCAGGGACTCGGGGTCGTGCGGTGCGTTCTCCTCGGAGTATCCCTCCGCGTACTGGCGTTCGAACTCATCCGTGCAACCCGTCACGTAATCCGGTGTCGTCTGTCGCGGACGAGGGGCGAAACCGAGGCCTTCGAAGTAGGCTCTCGCTGTGTTGGAGGGGCCGAAGTAGACTTGCTTTCCACCGTCGATGACGAGCACCTTGTCGAACTCCTTGTAGATGTTCTCGGAGGCCTGGTACAGAGAGACAAAAGTCGTCGTCCGGTACAAGTCCGTCTGGATCCGGAGCGACTTGACAAAGTCCAGTGCCGTCGATGCATCCAAGCCACGAGTTGAGTTGTCCCAGGACAGGATGCAAGCATTTGTGATCAACATCTCCGCAATGGAGACACGCTTGCGTTCACCTCCAGAGACACCACGCACGAAATGCCCACCAACAATGGTGTTGCGCGTGTGCTCAATGTTGAACATCTTGAGCAGCATGTCGATGACTGATTTCTTGTACTGGTTCTTCGTCAGACCGGCCGGAAGCTTCTTGGGAGTCTTGGTGTCCAGAGCGAAGCCGAGGGTCTGCTCCACGGTAAGGGTTGGGTGGTGCAGGTCGTCCTCGGCGTTATAGACTGCCTCCCCTCGGTACAGGTTGAAGTCCTTGGCCTCGTACGGTCCATAAAGGACCTCGCCAGAGATGCTCGTGTATCCATACCGCTGGTTCGCAATGGTCTTCAAGAAGGTCGTGCATCCAGAACCAGGCCTACCCAGAACCAGGATCATCTCTCCAGGTTGACAGACGCCGCGGAAGTTGTCCAGGAGCGTGGCCTCGGTGCCCTTCCTGCCGAGTCCAAGGATGTTCTTGAAGGGGGAGATGACGTCGAAAAAGTCGATGAATGCGTCCGGGAAGGTCTTGACAAAGTTGGAGAAGCCACCCATTCCCTTGACAGTGAATTGGTCCCAGTAAACACCGATGTGCTTCGGCCGGATGCCGGCCTGCTGCTCGGCGTCCAGGCCCGTCCGCAGGGCCCCCTCCAGGTCGAACTGCTCATCGTCGGAGAGTGTGGTCGATGTTCCGCCGGATTCGGCTACGTCGATGGCCTCGTGGGTTTTCTCCTGCTTGATGTCATGCCTGCTGCCCTTGCGACTTGCCTCGCGGCTGGCCCTGGATGCCCTCGAGAGACTGGAAATCTCACGACGCAGCTGCTGGAAGTCGTCTCGGGCCTGTTCGACTGAGACGCCGGACTTGGTCCTGGTCAGGCCCAGGGGGTTGTTGCGACGGGCCTCTTCCCGCTCGTCTTCAGGATCGCGGGTGGTGTCGCTGTCGGTAGAAGTCCTTCGTGGTGGCTCCTCGACCTCGCGATGTGCAAGGAACTCGGAGTGCTCCTGGTCCCGAGCTTCGAGCGCGGCCTTCTCCACATCTGGATCCATGCTTTCTTTTTGACTTCCGCAAAAAAAGATAAACACAAGTGCTCCTGCCAAGCGATCTGGGCGCGATTGTGGGAACACGCGCAGAAGGTTTCGCGGGGCAGGGCCAAGGTTGAGCCTGGAGATCCCGATGCAACGCGACTTGCTCGGTTGGAAGGTGGGTGAGAGTCAGACAAAGATATTGAGGGCTTTGAGGTCTGATATCGATATTGATATCGGTTTACAAATGGACAGGGAGGGATAGGGTCTGGGTCTGGTCTGGGTCCCGGTCAAAAGTAGGTGTAGTGTGCGGGCCTCTGGAAATTAGAGACTGGAAACGGGTCCGTCCAGTCCTGAAGGAGTGATGGGAGAGGGCACGCAAGAGCGGGGAAATAAAAAGGGGGGGCATCGAAGGTCAAAGAGTTAAATGTTTGTAGACTATGAAACACAGCTCTCTCTCTCCTCCCACGAAGGCAGGGTGAATGCCAGGGCTTCGAGTGCGAAGTGAGTTGATGCCAGCCGCTGGGAGAAAGGAGAGAGGCGCAACAACAAAGTTTGTCAAGCAGCAGGGCTTCAAAAGTCAATGCGGCTCAGATAGATGGGATGGGATGGCATAGATACATGTACGTCGACACAACCTGGGGTCGGCAGTCCGAGGATCGGCTCGGTAGCTGGGCCGGGACCAACACCGCCCTGGAATTATAAATCAGCTTTCTGGAACAGCGCCAGTGGACGATTTTGAGTTTGTGTTTCCTCCCACTTGCATGTCCACCCGCCTGGGTTTAGTCGTTTCAACGGTTCCAAGTCCCAAGTCCCAAGTCCAAGGGCCCTCGGGAGCTTGGGAGAGCTAGGGCAGGGCCCAAGGAGTGCCATAGGATGGGGCGACTGGGGTGACATGGGACTAAAGGGGCATGGGGTCGAGCCGGACCAGAACCATTCACGCCCCCACATCGGCCCTGCTTTCGATCTGGCCGCCCGAATTGACTTCTACCCCCTTCCCTCCTGCTGTGTACATGCCTGGTATCCCGTACAGTACGCGGCAGACACCGCTTCCCTTGGAGTGTAGATGTCGCTGCATGAAATATTGCTTTCTTGTACTGGCGCAGTGCACTAGCATTCACTCTGCTTATCAAGGAGGAGGGACGCCATTAGCTGGGCAAACAGACGCCGGAGATACGGCATTACCGCGTGCCTCAAAACTACTCGACGTCTGCTTGCGCGCTTTCGCAAACGTGGACGTGAGCAATGCTACGTACTAGACAAGGGCAACGGCAGCGCCAAGGAAGACCCCGGCGTGACTCACAGGAACTAACAAGAACGCACGCGCCGCTGTGGTGTTCCGTATGAGCCATCGTGAGCCACCTTGACCGAAGGAAAAGTGCTCACGATTAATCGCGAAAACTCTATCCACTCGATCTTATTAACCAGCCAGCAGATCCAAAATTGACTTGTTACAGTACAGTAGCATGCCAGGACAGCAAGGGCCGAAAGCCACTCCGCAGGAATACCAGCATCTCGGCCCCATCCCAGGAGATGGCCGGTGGGTCTGTCTGAGATCGACAGAAGCTTCGCGCGTCTCGGTGAGGAATCATGCCGGCCCAGCACTCCAGCCGGTAAGTTGCTAGTCCCCGAGATGGGCTCCCCTGCCGGGCCATCACTGCCATCACCTGCCTTGCAGGCTTCTGAGCTTGTGCGTGCCTTTGCACTGCACTAGGACGGCAAATAGACGTGTCAGTGAAACTCTAAAAGATAACAGGCCAGGGGCTGGAATCGACTTGTCCATCTTTGAGATGGTGATGCGCTGCTGCATTGCCAGCTCAGCGGCCTTGAATATTGACGAGGCAACAGATCTTAAGGCTAGGAAGCATACATACATACATACATACAGTAGGCGTCGTGCTACGATGCTGGTATCCTGTCAAGCTTCGAGCCCGGATTTAGGGCTCTTGTTCGGACGTAACCCAACGGCCAACAAGACAGGGCTCGAGCTTTAGTTCGTCTTGTACCTCGAGATCGACCCTGGGCCCAGATATTCTGTCTGATCGCTCTCAGGCTCACATCACACACAGTGCTCCGAACGCCTCCAATTGCACTAGTAGTGGCTTCCGCCATCGTATTGGCCCCCAAGTTGTCCGTCCTGTCACACCCCTCGGCACGACCGTTGGTCGCACCTGTCCCAACTCGCCACCAACAAACCACAACGGCCCCACACTGACACAGTCGTCCCGTCGGCGGCACGTTCCCCTGACTCAGTGAGACAGTGAGACAGTGAGACGGATGTTGCCCCCCAGCCGACAATTACCCGAGACAGAATCCCCAGCCTCAAGTGCTGACGGTGACAGCTTTCCGGGCGGGCGCGTGTGTGCTAGGCCGGATTCGTGGCCTTGTGGCAGGGGAGGGGGGGACAGGGCAGGGTTCGTTGACGTTCCAAAGAACCTTCGGCGAGATATACACAGTACGCAACAAGTAGAAAAACCAGATGAGCCTCAGAATGTCTCCGTCCCGACAGGCTACCAGGCTGCCACGGCGAGAAAGAAGAAAGGGCACCTAGACACGAAAGAGAATGTCTCCGATTGGAGCATCTTCCTCCGCGGATCGCACGGCGAGGGGCCCAGTCACAGGATTTGATTGATTACTATGGTGTCCCCTGGAAATAAAACCCCCCTGCCAAGTCACTCGGGCCCCATACTATCAATTACTACCCAATTTATATGTAATTTTACAGTGAACTATCCGGCTAGCCCAAAGGGGCACTTAATGCAACACTTAACGCAACACTTTAAATACTTACATGCAATTACCCTTTAAAATTATTAATTTAAGCAATAAAAAAAACTCTTATTTTATTATATTTCTAAGGGCTATAATACTTTAAAGCTTATTAAAGCCCTTAATTATTATCACTATTACTAGCTACTATTTAATATATCATTCCTTAGTTATAATTACGTTTTTACAGCGCTTAAGCATATCAGCTATTACGGTTTAGGCTTTGCCCATTGTAATTAGTTAGCGGGCTTTAGCCTTATAAAAATAGGCTTTGGCGCGGGTGCAAATGGGGAGCAGATCTCTTCCTCTACACTTTAAATATAAACCTTATTTAGGCATCTTACGGCAAACAACCCAAGGTTAACTTATAATATATATTTAAAGTTCTTTTGCATTATAAACTTATAATGCAATTATATAAAACTTAATATAGCAAGACTTAAAAAAAATAATAGCAGCTTATTAAGCTTTTTTTTATTTTAAAAAACTTTTATCTTAAAAATACTTAGCAACTTAATTAATAAAGATAAAGATTAAGTTTATAATAAATAAAAAAGCAATTAATATTAAAGGGGCTTAATTTTTTTATATATTTAATTAATTAAAAGATTTTTATAATTAATTCTTACTTTATATTAATTTTATAAAAATATATAAGGAGCAGCTAAAAAGCTTTTTAAAGAAGGTTTACTTTATATTTAAGGACTTTTTTAAATAAAGGTATGTTAAGCTTAGCTTAATTACGTTATAATAGCGTTATAAAAAGAAAATAACAAAATTTTTTACTTAATTTAATTAATTAACTTATATAATAAAGGCTTAAAATTAGCTAAATAAATATAAAATATTATAAATAATTAATAACTTAACCTTTATAATAAAAGCTTAACTTAATTAAAAAGAGTAATTAAATATATTTAAGGCTTTTTACTTTGCTTTATAATAATATAAAGGTATTTTTAATATTATAATAAAAAAGATAATATTTAACCTTAAAATAGCAAAGTAATAAATATTAATATTATAATAATTTTAATAAGTAAAGTTAAATATTTTATATATAATTAACTTAGCTATTATAAGTATAATTACTTTAATTATTATAAGAAAATAAAAATATAACTTTTATTAATTAAGGTTAATAAAGGAAAAGAGTTTATTTAAGGGGGTATAAATTTTTTTTATAAGGTGGGGCTTAAAACTTGCTAGCTTAATGCTAGCTTAAGCTTAAAGTAAGCTAGTTATATATTAATTAATTTAACATTATAAAATGCTTAAAATTTAAGAATTTCTTATTAATAAAGTAAATTACTTATAATTAAGCGTTAATTAATTATAAATTATATAATAAATTTATAATTTTAAAGTTTTAAGTAAAAAAGCTTATATAAAAGGCTTAAATTAAAGGATTATAAAAATATCGTTAATTTAACTGTTAATTTACGCTTAAATAATTATCTTTTATTAACTTGCTTTAATTAATATATTAAATTATAAGGGTTAAAGATATATTAATTATAAAAAATAAGTTAGGCCTTTAATATATTTAAAAGGCATTAAAGTATAATTAAATAACTAAGTAAAAGGTAATATTTAATTTATAATTAAATTATAATATTCTTTATTTTTTATTATATAGCTGCCCTTTAAGGCCCGTTATAAGGACTTAAAAAAGGAGGATATATTACGGTTTAAGCTTTATTTATTATAATTAATTAACGGGCTTTAACTTTATAAGAATAAGCTTTAACATAAATATAAATAAGGAGCAAATTTCTTTCTTTACACTTTAAATATAAACCTTATTTAAGCACCTTATAATAAATAACCTAGGGTTAGCTTATAATATTAACAAGTAAGTTTTTAATAAAGTTTTTATTAATTTACTCTTAAGCTTCTTATACTTATTATTATAGCTAATTATATAAAAGCTTTTTAATATATTTATATTAATCTTTAATATAATTTTTTATGCAATATTAAATTATCTTAATAAGGTTAAGGTTAAGGTTAAAAGTTAATATTATATTATAATTACTTTTTATTTATAAAGCTTCTTATAAGTACTTATTGCTATATAAATACTAATATTATTATATATAAAGATAAGCTTTATTTGCTTTTATTGCTAATATATTATAATTTAGCTATTTGTTATGGGCTGGCCCCAGAGGGGCTGCAGGCTGGCTAGCGCCTTCTTCCATAAGCTGCAAAAGCAGCAACCAATTAAGCCAAAAGGTACGTAATAATCCAAGCTCCCTTGGATTACCTAGCCAGCCACTATAAGGCTTGGGCTTCCAGCCCAAGCCCATTACATAGCCCCCTTCCCCAACTACTAGTGGCACACAATTACCCCCAAGGCTTACCCACGATATCGCCTTTTCAAGCTAAGGTTCTTCTTCACGAAAGGGGTGCCTGCATATTGCGGCAAACGTAACTCAAACCTTCAACCCTAGAGCTTGGATTATTTGTTATGGGCTGGCCCCAGAGGGGCTGCAGGCTGGCTAGCGCCTTCTTCTATAAGCTGCAAAAGCAGCAACCAATTAAGCCAAAAGGTACGTAATAATCCAAGCTCCCTTGGATTACCTAGCCAGCTACTATAAGGCTTGGGCTTCCAGCCCAAGCCCATTACACTATTAATAAGAAGAATTATATAAGCATAATATATTTCCTTTATAATTATGCTTTATTCCTTTTCCTAAAAAAAGCAAGAATTCTTTTAATGATTAGGAATGTTAAAAAAGCAGCCTTAAAATATTTACTTACCTTTTCATTAATATTTCTTAATAATATAATTAAGCAGCTAAATTTTATTGCTTTTATAAGTAATGTATTACTTATAATAAAGGCCTTTAATTACTTATATTTCATTAATTTAAAAAACCTTTACTTATTATTTAATAATTTAATTCTTATAATCTTTAACTTATTAAAAGCATGCTTTTTAAGTATTTTTAATAATAAGTAGCTTTTAATAAGCAATATAATATTTATAACTTAAATAATAAAGCATTAATTATATATAATAATAGCTAATATAAATACTTAAAATTATAATTTAGAAAAGAAAAAAACGAGTTTATAAGGCTTAATAATTAATCTTTAAGTTAGTAATATATATAAGGAGGCGGTTAACTTGCTCTTTAAATAAAAAGGGGGGCTTGTTATGCTTTTTAAAGTAAGTATTATTATTTTTTGCTTAAAGTATATAGCGAATTTAAAAGAGTGTAAATTACTTCTTATAATAATAATAAATTTTAATTTGCAATAGCTTTTCATTAATATAAAGGGTATAAATAAGCTTTTTATTATTAAAAGTTAATTAATATATAAAAACACCCTTAAGGCGCGCCATTTTAAGGGCGAAAAAGTTAGTAATAAAGGCAAGTTAAACCTTTTTTTTAAGTGCTAATGAGAAGTTTTTTTGGCTTTAGGGGTAAAGAATAAAGTTTGTATTATACTAGAATTAGTATGATGGTGGGAACAGGGGCCACAGAGGTATAAAGCAGGGGGGTAATAATTACGCCTGGTACCACAGTAGTCTTGCCAAGGGCCCAAGGGCGCTGTTGTCCGCGGGATACACGTTTACCCATCAAGTTCGTATTTGCGTGCGGCCGCCCGCCCGCCTGCCAGCAGCAGCCAGGCCAGGCAGGCAGGCAAGGCAGGCAGGCAAGGCAGGCAGGCAGGCAGGCATGCAGTTTCATCCCTCCAGCTGTCCGGGGCCCACCCCAACAAGACATTTATGGCGCCGGATGGGCCGCCGAGCCGGCTCCCTTGGGGGTAAGCCCCGGCTTGTTGCTTACAGGAACGCGTGCTGACCCGGCTGGCCGGGGGCCGGATCCTAATCGGCGCCAACGGAAAAAAGCGGAGGACTCCGTTGGCCTGTACTACTCCCTCCGCCTGACTCTCACAAAGGGGACCGATAGGCGCGAGTAAGAACATACGCAGGTTCGGATGGTAAATTTGACTTTGAGTCGTGTTGCTAAAAAAAATTAAAAAAAAATAAAAAAAATTAAAAATTCCCCAGTTACAATGTACACTTTTTACATATCAATCATCAAGAATTCCTGCATGATCCAAGGTCGATGAATATGGAGACCAAGTAAGATCAACACCTCGAGCCGCGTAGCTCGCCCTTGTGAGAGACAGAGAGAGTTCGATGGGACGAACGCCTACGCCATAAACAGTAAGCAATACCAAGAGCCGCAGGTCGTAATCATCCCGGTCTATGGACCTAGGTATGTATGTAGTAAGCGCAGATGTTAATTGCTGGTACCTGAGATCCATCCTGGCCTGCACCACAGACACTGTGACCGTAAGCAATGCAATGCCATGCGGGCTTATCTATGCATCGGTGCAGATGACGTTCCGAGATCTCAGGAGTATGGGCGGTACACTGTTGTAACAGTGTCATTCATACGCTCGGTGTCTATTGGGTAATCTTGCATCTGAAGGTTGCCTTTGCTGCCTAAGGTGTGGTTGTGAAGATATCCACGATACTCTAACTGACTTCATTCTGACTCACTCTAGCCTTGCAGCATGCAAAAGCCTAGCAGCGTACAAAGCAAAATAGAGTGATGAGAGAGGCCAAGGTCGGCGAGTGACACGCGAGGCAGGCGAGAATACCAATACTCGGCGGGACACGGCTGTTCGAGCCCAAGGTGCGCTGGGGGACGGGAAGACAGAGACCAGTTAGTGTGTTGCCGGTCCAAAAGAATATCCAGGAAGACATGCGAGCGCGGGTTTCATATTAGTCTATTCATGCAACGATATTCTGCTCCACCGAACCGTTCCTCTCCCTCCCCACTAAGATGAAGACGCTGACGGCAGTGACAATAGGTGGCAGCAGCACTCCTGGAGGCGGTCAGGAAGAGAAGAAAAGGTTGTGGATTGTACCATCTGCTGCTTGCTGAATGCTACAGCAGAACCATCGTCAAGCGGCCGCGGCCACGGCCACCATCACCCCACGGCCCACACGAACGTATATGTCAAAATTCCATGATGTGAAGGGGAAGAAACAACGCCGACCGCATGCAAGTAATGTGTAGCTTGAAGCATCCTGCCCAACACCTCGCTCCTCCAACACTGTTCCCGTTGCCCCTTCTCATGCCGATCAATCCTTACACCCCTCTCTGCCTTGCTCGTTGCTCTCGGGTAAATTTCGCCGGTTTCTGCGTTCCTGACGGACCCTCACTGTTCATTGCTCAAAAGGGATAGCCGACGCCTTGCAAGCTCCGAATCCCCGGCCCGTCTCGGGTGGATTTATGGTTTTAGAAAGCTTGTAGCCCAGGACAGTGTCAAAGAAGGCGCCAGTCATGATAGTTCGTCCCAGAAAGGATCCATCAGAATCATGTCCTCGCCTCTTTCGAATGCACTGCTGTTTGCTCCGACACCAGATCCAGGCGATTCGGCAGTCTTCGTGTCGTTGTTGACATCGTCCTGAAGAGGATTACGTGTGTCAGAAACATCGGCCGCCGTGGGCTCGGGTGGTGGGACTGGCTCGGCTGGCAAGGTTGTTTGTGGTTGCTGATGTTGTTGGCGCTTCCCCGGTCTCAGAGCACCAGGTAGAGTACGCGTCAGGATGGCCCTTAGTTCTTGGATCTCGGCCTTGTACAACAATTCGATTTCAGGTCTATGAGCCATCGGCCTCTAGAGCTCTGACTCGGCACCGTTTGCCTCGACGGCCATGGGGCTTCCGTTTTGTTGTTGTCTCTGGCGCAGACGGGCAGTTCCACGAGGCCTCCTCCGGGACGGTTTGGAGTTGCCTGTCATGCTCTCGTCGTCATCCGTGTTTTCTTCCGCGTAACGGCGTGCCTCGTCCAGCTCGGACAGGTCCGCAGGCTTGTCGCGCAGCCATTGCATCCGGGGGCCAGAACGCGCCAGTTCCGATACCTTAAAGCCGTAAATCTTTGGCTGGTATATCTTGCCCGGACCTAGACTCGGGGCAATGTTCCTGGCATGCATACCGTTGACCATCCAGTCATCGTCGCCCGACCGGCGACTGATGTGCAGGGAGTTAGATGACATCAGGTCGGAGCCGTGCTTCGAGTAATCGTAGTCGGGGAAGGTGAGGAGGAATAGGGCGCCAAACGTCCGGCCGAAGAACGCGCCATCAACAGTCTGGAAACGACTGTTGGGAGGCACGTAGACATCCTGGCACGAGGGACAGAAAAGCTTGACAGTGTCCTCGCCCGGTATGTCTGACAGCCCGACCGGCAACGTTCTTGCTTGGGAGCAGTTCGTGCGAGGACAGCAGCCGAAGTGGCCCATCTCGTACTTTTCCGACATTTGCTGTATGCCTGCGCGCGAGCAGATATATCGCTGGTGTATGAGGCCGTAGAGCATCTCGGCGGAGGACTCGATCACGGAAAGGTCGCTGGCCATCCTGCTATGATGTCGCCGCTCTCCGGGAAGCCTTCGGTCGAGGCCGTCGCCACTAACGTCTTCCTCGTCCTCGTCTTCATCATCCTCCTCATCCTCGTCGTCTTCTGGCTCGACGTCGAGTATCATCTGCCCGTATCATCTGTTAGAAAAGGCTCGCCCCGCCTTGAGGTGTGTGGAATTGGGGGGCACGGCTCACCTCAAGTGCCTCCTTGTACATGGGCACCTGTGACTGTAGCCCCGTAAGATTGAAGTCATCTTCGATGAACTCCTCCGAGACCTCTGCAAAGTACTCGTGGCCGAGCAGGGAGCAGAAGGAGGCTATCCAGGACTCTGGAGGTCCTGAGGAGGTCGACATGTTGACTCAGCCAACAGAAGCAGAGCGGCACCCGCGAGCGAGAAACAAGGGCGAGCCTCCAGGGAGCACGACCTGCGAAGGGGATCGCGGAATGGGAGGGGGGATGCGCCGGGCAAAGAGACGCGTTGGTGGGGGGTTTGTGTGCCAAGGTCGCGGCGTTGCGTTGCGTTGTGATGGGATGCAAAGTGGGATGGGCCTAGTGCCGAGGGGTCGCTGGCATGTCCACGGTCGCCCAGATACCAGATAAGCCGATCGGATCAGGAGCGCTTTCCCGGAGCCAGGGTATAGGCGACGTTGGTAGACAGCTGATGGCGTGGAGACGATAATGCTGGTTTGCGATATCCTGTTTTTGCGGTCTTTCAAGGCTGGAGGTCAAAGACGCAGATCGGTTGCTGGAATTGCGGCCTGGGCTGGCTGGCGGGATGGCGGAGGTGGCCCGTGCATCACCACCAAGGTACTTCGCCTTGGTAGGACACCAACTAAGGTAGTAGACTCAGCCTTGCAGCGTCCCCAGGCCAGAGTCCTGAAGCCTGCTTAACGACGGTATGCAACTCAATTACCTCGAGCCGTTTATCGCACGCATTTCGGTTGCCTGATCTGCGATCTCAGCACCATGTCACATCGCACCAGTCCATGTACCGTACGGATGACTGACTACTACCCAGTCACAAGCAGCCATGCCGGCAGGAATTCAGAACAAGACTCCGGATGAAGACGATGCTTAGCAGGGCGGCGAGGCTCTATCAGCCCACGTTGCGGAAGTCTGTTCAGGTTCGAGGTTATAGCAGCAGCGACTCATTCATTCAGCATGTCACCAAAGTAGACACCTCTCACGGGAGCATCGACGTGCAGCGCTTCAGGGAGCTGGCCTTCGACGCAGGCAAGCCTTTACTTCTGAAAGGACCCCAGGATGGGCATAATTGCATGCCGGCTATGGAGAAATGGTTCCAGCCCGTGGATGATGCCCACAAACCTCCCGTCACAGTTACAATTTCCCCTTACTTTCAGGGCTTCTCCATGGCTCATGTGCCTTACGAGCTCATGTACCCGCAGCTGCGCGACGGCGCGGGAGACGTTGTCAGCCAATTCGTGGACTTTCTCGAGTCCGGCAGCGATAACACCGCAGGCGAGAGACTCGAGCGAGCTCTCGCCAGCCACCTGCGCCAGCAGCTCCTGATGGTGGGCGCAGAGCCTCGAGGCGCGGGCGGCGCCGCCCACCAACAGCGCCTCCTCCGCTTCGATGCCCCTCTGGCCCTACTCATCGCCGCCCTAAGGTACAACTCCCAGACAGAGGAGCCGTCCCGCCTGCGGCAGCTCTACATAGCCCAGTCTTCCCTGGACGACCTGCCCGCGGAGCTGTCACGGGACCTGCCCGCCCCCCGCGTCGTGGCGGAGGCCGGCGGGGGCGACATCTACGCCTCGTCGGTCTGGCTTGGCCTGGAGCCGACGTACACGCCCCTCCACCGTGACCCGAACCCGAACCTGTTCGTCCAGCTCCGGGGCTCCAAGGCCGTCCGGCTGCTCCCGCCGCAGGATGGGGACACCGTCTTCCGGCAGGTGCAGGCGCGCCTGGGGCGTTGGGGCGGCAACTCTCGGATCAGGGGCGCCGAGATGATGGAGGGCCCGGAGAGGGAGCTGCTGCGCGATATTGTTTGGAAGGAGCCGGGCTTGCCGCTCCAGGAGACGCAACTGGGGCCTGGAGATGCGCTGTTTATCCCGAAGGGCTGGTGGCATAGTGTGAGGAGTCGATTTGAGGACGGGCGGCTGAACGGGTCTGTGAACTGGTGGTTTCGGTGACGGCCTGATTGTTACCACACTGGGACCATGTATCACGACCATCGACGGTGGTTTGACAGCCTTCGCGCATCAGACAGAGCTCCAGGTCGTGTGTTTCCAGGCCGGATTGCCTAGGATCGAATATCTGTCACACTGCCGCTTTCCAGGAATGTCTCATGTGCTGACTTGGTGCGCCTGGACACGCTATACATAGATCAAGGTCCGCGGGGATTTTAGTCGCAAGACGAATGATCGGGGCTCATACCAGGGTCTTCGTCGTACACGATATTGACTTTGACCAATCGATCTCGACACGTCTTTTGGGAAACGTGAGGTGTTGTGAATGCAAGTGATAACATGCACGTTTCATCAGCGGTATAGGTGGGTTCCGCGGGCCAAGTGCCGATATAGTTGGGGAACAAAATCCAGCATGACGGTGGTAGATATAGCGATGGCAGCCCAAATTGATGTGGCATATAATCACACTGTCAAAAGATTTTGAGTTGAATTTAGGAACTATCTGCTATTTCGCCTTCATGAACAATCATTGCGAAAGCACCAACGGGTCGGGGTATTCATGTGTCAGGGCCTTCATTCTAAAAGGGGTCGTATCGTGCAGTGTCATAACGTCGCATGCAATTCTCCCAGCTCAGTACCACTAAAAAGCGGCTTACTCGTCCCGGTGATATCTCACTGTGCCATCGCTAATCGCTTCTTGCTAAGCGGCCTCATCGCTGTCCTAACCGGATTTCTCGGGCTGGGGAATAGTAGCGGACTCCTGGGTGCCGATGCCGCCCTCGGCAGGCTTTACGGGCTGGGTTGTCTCGGTCGTGGTGGTAGCACCAGGGGCGGCGGGGGCGCCAGGACCGGAGGCCGGAGGCTCATTCTTGGGCTTCTCAGCACCAAACACGCGCTCCAAACCGGAAGCCTTGTACGCAGAACCACCGTGCTCATTCTTCTTGAGATCGGCAAGACGGCGGGCCTCAGTGTGAATGTCCGTGACCTGCCTCTGGCTTTGTGTGTCTGCAACGGGAAAGGCATGGTTAGCACCGTGTTCGGCTGTTTCGTTGGTGGGACGAGGAGGTACTGTTGGAACTTACAGAAATCGACCAGCTTCTTGCCGGTGGGGGTGTTGGTAGCCTTCTCGAAGTACGAGTTCAAGCCGGACCAGAGGGTGTTCGCCCGCTGGGAAATGCCATAGCTCTGATCGGCGGTCACGGCTCGGTCGGTGGCGTGGTACTTCTTGTCGAGACCGGTCAAAGTATTCAGGAACCGGGATGAGACGCCGTGTGTGTGGTCAAGCTCGATTGCCCGCTGGATCGCAGCATCACCCACGACGTAGCCATGGGCGAGGTACTCAGCAACAATGCGGGCACGGGGCTTCTCCTCTTGTGTGATCTCGTCGGTATCCCGCTCAGCGTTAGTGGTGGGGTGCTCAGCATCGACAGGGGACGAGCCGCCGGCAGACTCGACGGAGATGTGGGTCGAGCCGAGCTGGGTGTTGTTCAGGAGGAGGGCGGTCTTGGCGGCAGTCTCCTTCTCGAAGGTGACGGTCGCAGACTTGGTCTCGCCCTCGGCCTTGACGTCGAGGCTGGTAATCTTGCCGCTGGAAGGGCCGTTAGGTACCTACGGTAGGCGGGGCACCCCAAGGAGGGACAGCTACTTACCAGAAGCTGAAGAAGTCGCGGATCTCCTTGTCGTCGGTGCTACCGGCGATGTTCTTGACATTCACAGTTGTGGCAGACATGGTGAAGATGTTGAGGGGTCGAGTAGTGGTGTGAGGACTGTCAAAGGTGGGTAAACCTATGGCTGATGCGTGCTTGTTGGAGGATGATGCTCAGAGGAAAATACGTGGATACCTGGCTTTTTAAGAGAAGACAGCAACTGAGAACAAATCGGTATTGCTTGTGATGGGTTACGCGTAGCTGCCAAGAATCGAGCGAGGGAGGGAGCTTAGGGGGCAAGAATGACTCTGGCTGGCGATGATGGGGGGAAAGTACGTCATTCGCTGGTAGCGCCCAGGTGGAGTACATTCGCTAAGCATACGAGCAGATGGCGAAAAGGCCCGCGGGGTAGGTAAAGAGCTCCCCAGAATAATCTAGGCCGAGAGGAGGGCGCAGATGGCCTCTCAGCCCAGGCCGTCGTCGAGCTTCCCAATCTGCGCCACACTTGATACGACAGCTCTTGTCTCATCGGTTGAATCTGCCTCTGCCCTTGCCACAAGCTAATGTTACTTTGCTGGCCAGGGATGGAAAGAAAGTCGATTGCATTGGGCAACCCTCTCCGTTATGGCCTCACTCCGTGCTTCTGAAAGCGACCCCACCAACCTTGGTGCGTTGCTCCGGGGTATTTTTTTATGTGTACAATGGCACAGCAGCTCAAGGGGAGTATATGCCCCGCGGTTGTGAGACGTAGCTAATTAAATGGCTCACACGAGCATAGCAATTAACCTCGTCTAACCCATCTCTGACCAGATACGTGTGCACTGAGCACAAATCACGTATTAACTTGGAACAAGATTGAGGATTTGGGTCAAAAGATCATCTCATTTTGGCTCATTAAGCTACCATCGCAGCTGTCTCTATTGTGTGCGCTTCCAAGCGGGATCTCATCCATTCTCCCTAGAACCTCCTCGACCGGGTTGCACTCTTACTTCTGCTTTGTGCCCTCGCTGTAGGAAGTTTTTGAAAACTTGTCCTTGACGGCGTCGTCCAGAACGCCCTTGGGGTTGGATGACAGGTTCTAACAAGTGTCTCGTTAGCGGGCCACTCGCAGCACTGTATAGCTATGTGTCTCGACAGTCATACCTCAAGTCCGGAGCTGTTGGTTTGCTCCTTGTTGGTGGCGTCGTCGGTACCCTGACCCTGTCCTGGGACGGACTTGAGCTGAGCTCCGCTCTGCTGCTCAGGCGGAGGAGACTGGCGGCCCTCGGTGCTCGACATGTTGACTTGTATTGGGGATATGGGAGACTTTTGGTTCTGAGCAATAGCAAGAATGCTGATTAGCTTTTTTGTTCTCTTCGATGGCCACTATTGATCGGTCGTCAAGGAGAGGTCGAGTACTGAGCTCGTCAGGTGGGGCTTGGGCAGCGCCTGACTTACACGGCAGGTATTGGGTTGGATTCTGCTTCTTGAGAGGTGACGGTGAGCTTGGAGTTTGGAGTGTTTGTTTGTTTGGTTTGTCTGGTTCAAGAATTGCAATTCGAGGGAAAGAGGATGATTCTTAAAAGAAGCAAAACCAGCTCTGAGATTCTGTCGTTGCTCACTCACCACCTGCGCGTCGATTTGGAAACATAGACGTCAGAGGGGTTGGGACATCACCATGATATCATATCTCGCTCCTGGAGGGACGCACATCGAAAGGACACTCACTACTCGCTAAAGGGGACCACCTGCACTTGCTCACGCTTGTATCTTAAGTGACTGCCGTCCGCACTTGCTGGACTTGTCCTACTGCAAGGGCGGATTTGAAGTCTTCTTCTGTACCTGGATTCAATGTAGATTATGCCATACCCAGGCACTGACGGTACTTGTCGGGTACGTACCTGATGCGTTGAGAGGCCCATTGCAGGTGTAGCACATGCAACTACGCTCCCAGCTCTTCAGCCTGAGCTTCCAGATGCCAAGTCGAGAGAGAATAGCCTGGTTGCTGCATGAATGTTCAATCTAAACCCCTGCAGCCGCCGCAGCAGCATCAAATGCTCCAACAGCTGTTGCTACACCACTTCACTTCTACTCGAATGTTTGTTTGTTTTGTATGCCTGTCCAGGAGAGACGGCTGTTTCAATGTGATCTCTCCTCTCCTCCCTCCCTTGCATGGGTGATCTTCGACGGCTTTTCTTCTGCCCATCTTCCCACGATCGCCGACCACAAAGTGGCTCTACCTGCTCAAACCCCACCCCGCCTCGAGCTGTCGCGACGCGATCACCACCACGACCAGCAAAGACCAGCACCAGCACCGCCAGAAGCAGGCTGCAGGACCCACATCTGCATCATCCTCGCGTATCGGACCACCGTCTTCCAAGGTCTCCAGAACCTTTGGCAATGGCCCCGGACCTCAACTCGGTCCCTCCATCACCTCGCGTTCTAGCTCTATCCAGGCGGGCCTCAACTCAGCAAATGCCTCCACCACCAGCCCCCAGCTCCGGCCAAGGCCATGCGCCCTCAACCTCAGACCCAGCCCTCAATATCCTGCCGTCGAACCAGAATGCCGTAAATACCGGTGCTCCCACGACTGCTTCTCTTCCTTCGCCCCGCCTTGTCGCAACTGGCAGTACGGCGCACCCACCCGCAGATGCGTCGTCTCTGGCCTCTGGCCCTGGGCCAACGCGCCACCCACACCCACTTACAGCTGCTGAGCTTCACCAGCAGGTCGAGAAAGAGCAGGAGGCTGTGGTACGTAACTACTTCAGCGCCGCACGAGAGCTTGAACGAACATATTCCCACTGACACCATACCCATCACAGGTCAACCGTCTCACACGAGAACTCGAGATCTTGAGACAGCATAACGATGCGTCCTCGGCCTCGGCCAGTGACTCTGGCACCGAACCCTCCACCTCTACGATTCCCATGATTCCGGATGGCAGACAACATTGTAAGCAGCACAGATGATGCACTGCACTATTGTTATCCCTTTGTTGCAGGCGGTACCATTGTGTACCTAGTTACTGCAATCCCAACCAACAACCTACGGGTTGGATTCTGGGCAGAAAGGACAGTGCTGCACTAGCATGGCACTACACCTGATATATCCTACAAAAAACCTGTTTCATAGGTCTTTGCTAACTCTGGTTGCTGTAGTGCTCTCCGGGTCCGGCTTTAGCATACCATCTCAGACGAGCGGACGTGAGAGACGGCACACCAGAAGCGGGTCAAGTGCGAGCGCACGAAGCATAGCAGCGACGACGGGAAGCACATCCGTGGTTAATATCACTTCACCAGCACCCATCAGGCCAGGTGCTACCGCTTTGAGCCGTCAGAATAGCACCCAAAGCCATTCGCGGCAGAGCCTGAGCAGCTCCCCTGCGCATGCCAGCTCGTTTGCGAGCTCGCACATGGCGGATGCCGCGCATGGTGGCTACTTCCACTTGCGGTCAGCAACGGGCGCATCCTCACAAGCCCCGTCACACACACAGGCAACACCAGGCTCCGGCTCCACGGAGATGATGTCCCCCAGCATGATGTCTGTTACATCAAGGTATGAAGAGACCGCATTCCACCGCCAGGAGTTGGAGACAGTGAAGCGCGAGAACGACGCCTTGAAGAGGAGGATCAGGGAGTTGGAGCGCCAGGTTCGTGAACGCAGGGCGAGTGATGCGAACACCAGACCTCGCAGTGAGAGTGTTAGTACCACAGCGAGTGTGAACGTTTCTGGTGGAGGAGCAGGCATTGCACCACCTAGGGGTGATAGAGTGACGAGCGTGCTGAGCACTGCTGGGAGCACCGCAGGGAGCGTGGCTGTGGGAGTGCCTGAGGATGAACTCAGGGTTGGGGAGAGCGCCGCAAGTGCCGGCCAGCAGAACCCAGCCTCAGGTGACCAGGCTGCTTGAGCGCCTGGAGTTGACGACGGGCGTGACGGCCGGAGAAAGCCCATTTTGAACAACTCCGTCGCGGGTATGAGCACTACTAGCGGAAGATTCCTGGCAAAGAACGAGGGACTGCACACACATCCCCCCCCCCCTCGCCCCCGTTTCTTTTAATCCTACAAGCGTCACATCAACTTTAAACACAAGGGTTTTGCCGGGCTAGGAGTTTAGGATTTGATAGAGAGAATTCTGGATCGAGGATTCAGATGGACAGGCCACCATGCAGGCTCACACAACGTTTCAGGTCGGCACAGATTTCCTAAATGCAAACCACTCTTCCTTCTGGTTACACTCTCGCGTCCATATCAGTACCCCGAGACGCAAAGCGCTTGTTGGTGGGCAGGCAGAACAAATTGTTAAGATCAATAGAGCGATTTCATTTGTAGAACTAGCAGATTCGAACGCTAGACTCACTTCCTGTCACCACTCGGGCTCGAACAATTCAACCGTATGTGCTCGTCCCGTAGGACTTGGGCTCGCCCCCTTCGATATCATTCTCTCCATCAGTGAAGTCGACCACCTTGATATGCGTATCGACATTGCCATGCGTGGCCCTCGAATAAGGACACACCTCCTCCGCCTTCCGCACGACCTTCTCCAGCTCCGCGCGGCCCAGGCCCTTGACCTTCACGACCATATTGACCCTTAAACCAATGTCGAGTCCCTTCATGTTCCCGACGAGGTGCACCGTCGACTCGACGACCGAGTCCTCCTGGCGCGTGGGCATCTTGACGCCCATCCCCGCGGCGGCCGCGTTCATCGCCGACTGGAAGCACGCCCCGTAACCCGCAGCGAACAGCTCCTCCGGGTTCGTCTTGCCCCGGTCGCCCGGACCGCCTAGTGCCTTCGCCATCGTGAGCTCGACGTTGAGATTCTCGCCTTGTACGCGGCCGGACCGCGCCCCGATGACCCGTGCGTGGGCTGAGTATAAGGTTGGTGCGCTTGAGGTGTCGAGGCGGCGCTTTTGTTGCTGCTGGATTGCTGGTGTGGATGATACTCTTGGGCGGACCTGTCGTGCTGCGCCTGCTTGGCGGGCGAGAGGTCGGAGGGCGCGCAGGGAGGAAGACATGTTGGGGGAGGGAGTGTAGGTATTAATTGTTGTTCTTGTCTTTTTTTTTTGTTTCAACTAACAAAGTCTTAAAAATCCAATTGATAAATCTGAAGGCTCAATTGATATACTACACGTGAAATATGAGTATCAATATGGGCGTGCCTGTCACTTTTGTAGCCAGGCCGTCTCTGCTCTTTCACCTTTAAGATGGAGCTGTCAACGTGACGTAGACGACTATCTCGAGCTGCTCGGTCCGCGATCAACTGCGCGTCACAGCTGGGCTGGGCCCAGAGATCGCGCACGCACATCTCTCACTAACACCCACTAGCGGCCGTTTCCCAAAAGGTCTTTGTCAAAACTTCACGAGGAAAAGTCAACGACCCTGACAGACTGTGTGCCCAGGAAGCCGTCGACCCGGGTTTGGCCTTCCTCCTGGGCCGCCCGGTGCTCGGATGTGTCCGTGGGCGTCGGCGGGAAAACGACGACGACATCTCATTCCAGACGTGGGATGGCCGACTGCAACAGGCTGTCGGCCAATAGGCCAGGCGGAATTTGACAGCAATTCTACCTGGCACAAAGTACACACTGCGTGCTGCATTGCGAGGTGTTGTTGATGACAGTACTCAGCTCACGTGAAAATCTCGGTGGCTATGCATCAATCAACACAGGGATGCCACACGTTGGCATGAAAGTTTAAGTTTTGGAGACAAATCGACTCGGCCGAGTGACTTCATATTTGAAACCTCCTAAGCCTTACAAGACAATATGTGTTCTGGCATGATCCGTCACGAGGTTTTCCACTTCTGACCTCATGTGTAGGCTCTGAGCTGTTTTGGACATCTGCGTCGATGGGCCGGAGGGAGACCTTGATACGTTGAGAACTTGACGCGAGGCAACATAAGCCGCGGTCTTCACAGTGCAAGCCTCTCTTTTTTCAGTATCAATCCTCGGGGAGGGTTTAGGCAGGGCTGATTTGCATTTCTCAGGAATGCCACAATGCTCCATCCCTTCGCAAGCCGCGGCGCGCCTGCCGGATCCCCACTATCAGTCACATTCAGAGAGCATCTGTGATAACAGACAGCGTTCATATTAATGAATTAATGTCATGTACGTAAGTCTGGATATCAAAGTATTTTTCATGGAAAACATATGTACGTGCCGACAGTAGCAACATGTGCACACGCAAGAGTGTAAAGTTCACGACCACCACCCCTTTCCTCCACCAGCCATCACCGCCACACGCGACGAAGCATCAAGCACGAAGCATCACGCAGTCAAGACATGAAAAACAGCCCTAGAGAGCCCAACCAGTCGGAAATTTTGAAAAATCGACAAACAAAACACGCTCCCCCGTCTACAGCAGCATCATGATCGATGCGGCGGCGGCGGTGAAGACCACGGCGATGCTGCTCGTCAGGCCCGAGGCGGCGCCCTCCTTGGAGGCGGTCTCGGCGTCCGTGGTGGTGTTGCACACGCCGGGCATCTCGGCCAGAAGGCTCTGCAGGACGTAGGCCTTGGGCTGGCCGCGGTTCATGTACATGGTGACGTTGCCGGTGTCATCGGCGGTGCTGGTGCCGCAGCTCAGGAGCTCGACGACCTGGTCGCCCGCCGTGAAGCCGCCAATGGACAGGCCGTACTCCGGGCCCGAGGACGAGTGGTTGACGATGCAGCTGACGATCTGGTAGCCCTCGGGGCCCTTGACCTGGCACAGGTGGTTGTCGTTGGCCATGAGCGTCTGCGCCTTGGAGTCGACGTAGGTGTTGTCGGTGGTGTTGGTCAGGCCGATCAGCGTGTTGCGGGCCTTGTTGAGCTTCTGCGCCGTCACGTACAGCTCGGAGGTCGTGTTGAAGCCGGACAGCCACACGGCCTCACGGTTCTGGGGCGTGTCGCCGCCGGAGAAGTGCTGCTCTTGGCCCTGGTAGACTGTGGGGGTGGGGGTCACATGTTAGCAAGACTGTCGTTGGTCCAGCGATGATCGACCTGGGGGGGTTCCAGTGTTATCCGGAACTCTCAAGTGAGCTCAATGACCCAGTGGGGACTCACCAAGGGGCATGCCGTCGTTGAGGATGATGTATGCCATAGCGTTCTTGGCGATAGCCATGTCGGAGTTGTAGTGAGCAAAACGAGGCATATCGTGGTTCTCAACGAAGGAGCCGAGGGCCAGGGTGTCGTTGCAGGCTGAACGTGCTTGCTCACGAATGTCGTCAATCATGGTCATGGCACCGTCGTTGAAGGCTTCGATGATCTTGTAGTACTCGAGGTAGTTGGGCATGCCGGGCAGGTAGCCTTGGGTCTGGTACGGGCAGAAGTCCGAGGGCTCGCCAGTGAGGACCTCGCCAAGGGCGAAGACACCGGACTCGGCCACAAACTTTGGCAGGAAGTCGGGGTTGACGTGCTTGGCGGCGTCGATACGCAGGCCGTCAATGGAGTAGTTTGAAACGAGTTCCTTGATCCAGGTGCTGAACATGTCGACGACCTCATCGTCCTCGGTCTTCAGATCAGCAAGGGCGACACCGTAAGGGTAGAGCCAGCAGTCCTGGTAGTTTGTTGCATTGGTCCACTCAGTCACGTTGCAGTAGGGGTGGAAGTAGTCCTGGTTGTCAAAGGGCTCAAACTTGGAGTAGTCGACAGCTGGCGGGACGGTGTTGTTGAACTTTTGGACCATGTTGTTGACGACAACATCAACCAGAAGGTACATGTCACGGTTGTGGAGCTCGTCGGACAGCTTCTTGAGCTCATCAGCTGTGCCGAAGTGCTCGTTGATGGCGTAGAGGTCCTCTGACCAGTAGCCATGGTATGCCTCACCGACGGCGGTGTCGTCCTCAATGTTCTTTACAACGGGGCTGATCTGAACGGCAGTGAAGCCCATGTCTGTAATTTGAATTTCCCGTCAGCCAACCTTTCAGCAGCCACCCCGGCTAAGGGTGCCAAGGTTTCGGTCGGACTCAGGAATACTGACCATGGATGTAATCCAGACCGTTGATAAGACCGGTCCATGTGCCGTTACAGAAGAGAAAGAGTTCATCGCAGGCTGCCGTTGTGGACCCGTCGGTTCGGGCGAAGCGGTCGACGACGACCTGGTAGATGGAGCGAGACTTCCACTGCTCCAGAGTAGCAGCATCGGAGACGCTGAGGAGGGCCGAAGCCGTTGTCAAAGCGAGCGAAACAGCACGCATGGTGCCCGTGAGATTTTGCGAGATGAAAACGATTGACTGGACTCTGTGGATTCAGGACTGGACGCGTAATGTTGAGCGCGTAGTGCGAGTATATTTCCAGAGTCCGGAACTATACACAACAAGTCACCAAATAGGGGTTCAAACGAATGTGGTTCAAGGCACGGCGAGGCAGCAGGACCAAGACTACTTGATCGCAAAGAAGAGGATCATGTAAGGGAAAGAACTGGAGTAGGGATGGAGGAAACCTAATCAGACTTACAGGCTACGGCCTGTGGAGGAGTGTCTGTGTTGGTAAATTGCTTGTTCAGTCTCGTGGCCCTGGGGGCCCGAGGTCCGCCCCAGATCACCAGGGGGGAGGGACAACAGCCTTGGTAACCTGACGCGCCCCCGTATTCCGAATAAAGGCCAGCACCAGCGTCCCACAATTGCCCAGTGATCTTTCCCCTTCTTGCACGACGGCGCATTTGCGGTTACTCGGCAGCTCGGACAAAGCGAGAGACATGCCCTGCCAAGAAGCAGAGAGGGGCGTTACCAGGAGGGTCAAAGAAATCAAAGGCTCGAGTGATGATTTGTTGTGATTGCCCCGAACGGCCGGCAGAGATTTCCAGAAGCGTCCGGGATGGGGCCGTCACGTTGCAGCATCGAGGAACCCCTGTTTATTCTTTTTGCCCCCTTCGAGTGAGAAGAGACAGGCAATAGAAAGTAATATGGCTTGTGAGATGGTGGAAGAGGGTACTATAGGTGGTCTACTATGTGCTGGGTGCACTGGTGCTGTGTACGGGGGAGTCCACTCATCCATCCCTGTCTGCTCCTCCTACAGGAAAAAAAAAAAAGAGGACGGGGAGAGAGACAGAGCGAGAGACATACAGACTTCCAAAAACAGCAACGAGGCTAGTCTGCCGGCCCCTTTACTGTACTGCGCCGATGCTAGTGCTAGTGAGAAGCTGGAGAGTGGACATTGGTTTGGGGGAGCAGACCGGTGGTTATCCGTATCGTATCCAGAGATTGCCAGGAAGCGCCTGAGTGGTTGGTCTGATTTGAGCGGCGATGTGACCCGTCGGGGCCCCATAGCCGGATTTCGTGCATGGCATGGCATTCGCCAGGAGGGCGCGATGGAGCGCGGGCTGGCGGCCGGCGTTGGAGGGTGGTGTGTGTACCGAGCATCTCCTGTTATTAGTCTCGCACCCAGACCACCTCGTGATAAGACAGCGAGATAGCCGTGTGATTGTGATCAGCGAGTGCAGAGAGCGTCTAAGCAAAGTTTTTGTTAAAGTTTGCCGATCGATGGCTGACAGACTGGTGATTGACTGATTGACGGACAGACGTGTCCAGAACACACACACATACACACACACACAGTGACACACCGTGTGTATGTCTGTGTGTGGGTGTGTGGGTAAGCCCGGTACGCGGGCGGAAAGGGGATCAACGCTCGTTCGTCTGATGTTATTTTTCCCACTGTCATTGTCGCATAAACTTCTGGGCCCCTTTCGGCCAGGGGAAGAGGCTTGGTACCAGCTACTAGGTCCCAATAAGCAAACTGACTCGACTCTCATCTCAGGAGAAGAAGGGGGGGGGGAGGCGGACGACGTAGGCGGCTTGCGGGCGCCAGACAGAGATGAGCAGGCACTGACGGGTAGGAGGGCAAGGCCCATCGGCGAGTCAACACAGTGGCAGAGTGGTAGCGCGGTGGGCAGGCCATGATGGAGCCTGATACCAAGTATAGAAATAAAAGAAAAGAGACTCAGTTCTGAGGGAAAAGAAGCGACTGTGCGGTGGTGGACGCGGTTCCACGGTAGGGGACAGGGATGAGATTTAAAACCTTAATGCGCTGATAGGGCCGTCCTCGCTGATTCGGGAAGGGTCCGTCTGAGTGGCTGCAACCCCTGACGAGGTACCGCTTTCTCCTCGTATCGTCTGCACACCAGCAGGGGGGTCCCTGAGATGCGCAGCGCGCCTGCAGCACGCCCATCTTGCTGCCCTGACACCTTACCCAAAGCGATGCCTCTGTCCCTCGAGGGTGCCACACGGCCTTGGGCGCCGGCCCCGGCACCCCTGTCGCCCTGCCCTGTCGCCTGCTTTTTTCAAGGCATGATCATCATCTCTCTCGCAGCTGGGGGCCCGGGGCCCCTGGCTCCCTGCCGCTTTTCATTTGGCGATTTTGCTGCGAGCTGCCGCCTGCCATCTGCCATTCTGCTATCTTCCGAGCCGCTGCGGCCGTGCCTGCGCAGATTGGCCACCCACTCGCACTCGGTGCACTCGGTCACCAGGTACGTATCTACGTACCCACGCACCTGCAAACCGCCAATCCGGGACTGTACCGCTGTTGCTGTACTGTCCTGAAGGCTGTCCTGACTGTACGGAGCACACGATGCAGCTGTCAGACTGCCCGTCCACGCGAGCTGGCCGATCGACTGACTGGCTGACTGACTGCTTAATCTGCTACGTACTGTGTTCACGCGGTGGTCGACCGCGATCGTCACTCATCCTGATCAGCATCACCAATCTGTGCGGGTGTTGGCGGGTTGATTTGCTTCTTGATGGCCGAAGGTCTCTGGCCAACGCGGTCCACGGTCCACGGTGGGAGGATTCGTGCAGGAGGATCCGTCCCGACATCATCACCCTGTCTTGGCTGATCTGATCAGAACCCAAATCCTCCAATGAGCCCCTGGCCCCCAATGCAAGGAGACAAGACTCACACTCAGCACCCAAGACTTCAGCCTCACGGCAGACTGGGAGGATGAAAATCACGACGTCCATCATTGATTGCGACCTCACTGCTCATTGCTGCACCGCGGCACTGCATGTAAGCTGGGAGATCCGGTGGTCAGCACTTGGGAATGCCGGCAGGTCCAGCACCACCGACAAGGCTCAGGCTCGGACTGCTCGCGATGGGGACCCAGGGACCCGTTGAATTGGATTGCAGCTGAACCTACCACATTACAAGCATGCAGCCCAGCTGTCCCACAGCATGCTCGGATTGGCTTCTGTGGAACCCTCCACAAATTGCCCCAACCGAAAACGCGACGAAACGACAGCGAATAACGCTGGACGGTCCGCCCGCCCTCGTCCGGTACCTGGTCCTGGTCCTGGAGAAAGAAGTGAGAACAGACAAAGGAGAATGAGACACCCTCCCCGCCCACAGTGCGCGTCCTCGAAGTGCCCCGATGCCGCGCACCGTAGGGTTCGATCCATGCTGGGGCCTAGCCTGTTCGGTCCCACGCTTGACAGCAGAGATGTTCCCGGTACTTCTCCGGGCCATCCAGTCATTCCACCTCGACCGTTCACCCGTTCAACCGCACCCATCAACGGGCGCGCCTCTCATCAGGCCTCAGTGCTCAGGAACCACTAGGGGTTCCGACGACACGTCCAGACTGCCGGACAGGTCTGTTCTGTATTCACCTCCACCGCCCAAAAATGTCACTGGCGGTGGTCGTCAATCGCCACGCCATTCCCACCCTGCGAGGTGATGTGAAATCTGCCTCAGACGCAGGAATACCCTGGTCCTCTACCCCCCGCCCCCCTTTCTCGCGTCCGCGTTTGTATTCCAGTGTGGCTGAAAATGGATGCTCTCACTCGCCTGACAAGTCACAACACGCTCTCTCGGGAACTTCTGCGGACCTGGGTACCATGGGTTCCTTCTGTTGCAGCCTCGTGTGGATACCGCCTGCTCACAAGCGAGTGCTTGGCCGGGTTTAGCTCGGCCCAGCCGGAGGCGGAGGCAGAGGCAGAGGCAAAGTCTCGAATCCTCCTCCTCCTCCTGCGCCTGGCTGCTGGACCGGTCAGGGGTCGCACTGTCAACATGGGGCCCGTCAAGGGTTCCCCTTGAGTGCCAGAGTGGGAGGGCCCGACGGTAGGGTTGTGCGAGGGTGGGATATTGTGGCTCGCCGAAAGCTTCCATTGTCTTCCCTTTTTCTTTTCGGCATCTTCACCTTTGTCACTCGCTGATAGTCGTCGTCACTCGCTCTTGTTGGAGGATAGACTCTGGTTGTGCTACTCTCAGCACCCTGCCATTCTTTTTTCGCCGTTGTTCTCATCACCACCCCAGACGCTCACCACGGCTCACACCACCGTGAGCTGTGCGTTGTTGTTGTGTGGTGATGATGTTTTCTCTCGCGTGGCTTTCCGCCATTGCTCTTTTCTCGTCTTCCAATACCTTCGTTCACGGCCTCAAATACACTCTTTCTGAAGTAGATTATAATCTTAATGTGAACAAGACAGCTACGAATCCCCTCGACTACAGCGTAGAAGAACGAGCAAACTACACAGCCTCCCCGGAAAACTGGAGGTTTCCCTTCTATACCGTCTTCCTAGATCGTTTCGTCAATGGCGACCCAACGAACGACAATGCGAACGAGACGCTTTTCGAGACCGATATGAGGAGCACTCAGATCCGCAACGGCGGTGACCTCCAGGGACTGGTGGACTCTTTGGACTATATCGCCGGCATGGGCATCAAGGTAATACACGGCCAGAACGCCCAACATCCTCCTCCTCGGTCTTTTTTTTTTTTCTCTGTCGCAGGAGGTTGCCCTTTGCCTTGGAGCTCTATGTTCTGACCACGCGGACAGGGTATCTATATCGCCGGCTCGCCTTTCATCAACCAGCCATGGGGCGCAGACGCATATTCAGTAAGTCACCACTCACGTATTGATCCCTAATCGCGTGCTCTCACGGCCGTGATCACACGCGCTGACATCAACGGCTAGCCGCTTGATCTCACCCTTCTCGACAAGCATTTCGGCAATATCACAATGTGGCAGAAGGTCGTAGACGAGATCCACGAACGAGACATGTATGTCCTTCTGGACAACACCATGGCAACGTAAGCAACTGGAAAGGCCCCGAACCTCGGCGGCGACGATCAATCACTCACAGTCTTGAAATGCAGCCTGGGTGATCTTATCGGTTTTGAGGGTTACCTGAACACAAGTACGCCATTCCTGGAGGAAGAGCACAAGGTTTCGTGGAAGTCATCCCGACGATACCCTGACTTCGACATCGGCAACACCTATAACAGTTCTTGTGAATACCCCACCTTTTGGTATGAAGATGGCAAGTTGGTACCGTCGTCCGAGACCTCGGGCCTCAAGGGCTGCTACGACAGCGATTTCGACCAGTATGGTGACATTGAAGCTTTCGGTGTCTTCCCCGACTGGAAACGTCAACTTTCGAAGTTCGCCTCCGTGCAAGACCGTCTGCGCGAGTGGAACCCTTCGGTGCTTGCTCGTCTGGAGCATTTCTCGTGCATGACCATCGCCGCACTTGATATTGATGGCTTCCGTGTGGACAAGGCCATGCAGGTGACAGTGGATGCGCAAGCCTCCTTCACCACCAAGATGCGCGAGTGTGCCAAACAATACGACAAGAAGAACTTCATGGTGGTTGGTGAGATCACATCTGGTAACACACTCGGATCCATCTGGCTGGGACGTGGCCGCTCGAAGGACATGTGGCTGGACGACATCAACACTGCCCAGACCCTCGAAGATGTCTGGGACGACGCTTCCACTGATTCCATGTTCCTTCGTCCGGCAGGAAATTCTGGTCTCGACGCAGGAGCATTCCACTACTCGGTGTATCGATTCCTGACTCGCTTTCTGGGCATGACCGGAAACCTCGAGGCTGGCTACGATCTGCCAACAAACTGGGTTGAAATGTGGAACGAGATGCTGTTGTCAAACGACTTCTACAACGCCAACGATGGTCACTTCGACCCTCGACATCTCTACGGTGTCACGAACCAGGACGTTTTCCGCTGGCCAGGAATCGAGAAGGGAACACAGCGCATGATGCTTGGCTACATGGTCACGACCTTTTTGTTGCCAGGCATCCCGCTCGTCTACTATGGGGAGGAGCAGGAACTGTACCTGGTTGACAGTACCGCAGGCAACTACGTTTACGGTCGTCAGGCCTTCTCGCCATCCCAGGCCTTCATGAGACATGGCTGCTATACTCTGGGAAGCACAATTTACAACGACTGGCCCGCAACGAAGGCCACCCAAGGATGTCATGACCCAGCCCAGGCGTTGGATCATCGCGATCCATCTGCCCCAATTCGGAACACCATGAAGCACATGTTCGCCATGCGCAAGGAATTCCCAGTTCTCGATGAGGGCTGGCTTCTGGTCTCGCTCGCCAACCAGACATCCTTCAAGTATCCCAACGGCACTGCTTCTCAAACCGAATTTGGCATCTGGAGTGTTGCCCGAGCTTACAACACGGAAACACAAAAGAACGTCTCTGCTACTGCCGATTCCAGCAAGCCTGTGTGGCTGGTCTACCACAACCAGCCTAACGAGACCACCTACGAGTTCGACTGCAATGATGCCGACACCGCCTTCATCTCTCCATTTGATGCTGACACCAAGCTCCGGAACCTGATGGACTCCACCGACACCTTGACTCTCGAGTCTTCTGCCATCTCCAACACAAACTGGACCGGAACCAAAGCCTCAGCGGGCTGCCTCAGCAGCATTACCATGAAGCCGTACGAGTTCAAGGTCCTTGTCGCCGATTCTCGATATGTATCTCCAGGACCCATGATCACCAGGTTCTCACCTGGCCACGACCACCAGATCGACTCGTCGGTCAACACCGCAAACGAGGTGGATATTGAGATTGGCTTCTCAACCGAGATGGATTGCGACTCGGTCTCCAAGTCCATCTCCGTGGTCTCATATATCGATGGCACAGGACCGCAGGAACTTACCACTATGGGAACCGCAACCTGTACAAGCGTTGACGAGGGCATCACCGGAGATTTCACTGGCTACATCCCTACGATATGGGTCTGGTCCGCTACCCTTTCCGGTGTCGTTGACGGAGTCCACAAGCTCACAGTCAAGGAGCCCGAGAGCACGGGTGGGGACTCAACTGCCAGCACCGACCACTTCCTCCTGAGACGAGGTCTGCCCAACAACCCTATCGTTTTCCCTGAGATTGCGAACCACTCATCTACCCTCCTCCACGTGGCCAATGATGTTATGTACGTCAACCACAGTGCCGCTGGTGCTTCCATGTGGCGGTACAGCACAAACTTCGGGTCAAGCTGGAGCGACTGGACGGACTACACAGGCGAATTCGAAAAGATCACATCTCAGACCTGGTCTGGAACCCTTGATCAGGCATGGTATGGCAAGCACCTTATGGTCCAGTACTGGAGTAAGCCACTGGGATCATCCGCCTTTATCCAACATGGAGACAGCACCGACGTCAAGTATGCGCGACAGTTCCCGCACGTGTTCATGCATGGTGATTACAACATGTGGGGATTTGACCGTGGAGCGGCGAGCGCCATGACTCTCGTTGCTGACCACACCTGGGAAATGCATTTCATGCGAGAGTGGCCCGCGTCGGTGCAAGTGAACATCTGGGGTGTCAACCCCGACGGCCAGCCTGACACGACATTCATCTTCGGTGACGTTGATCAGGACGGCATCCTTGACAGGTTGTCTCCAAGCAGTCTTTCAACCAACGTCTTCAACATGTCGGTTCCTGACTGGCCAGGCTTGTCCTACAAGTTGGTCGTCACCGATTCAAGCTGGAAGATCGAGGCCAAGCCAACTGGTACTGTCTACCTGCAAATTTTCCTCTTCTTCCTGCTCGGAATCCTCCCCATCGTCTTGGCTGCCCTTGCCGGTTGGGTGTACGTCCGTGGCTTTTACCAGGTCAAGGTCAACAAGAGGGGTTTCAAGACAAGCCCCAAGAACTGGCTCTCCCTTGGCGCCATCCTCAAGGGCGATTCGAATTCGGGCGAGAAGAAGGAGAAGTACAGCATCGCCCTGCGGGCCATGTCGCCCTCACCATCCTCAACCCCAGTGCCTGCCATCAGGGCCACCGGCGAGAAGAGGACGGTTTTGATCGCAACCATGGAGTACAACATCGACGACTGGAAGATTGGCATCAAAATTGGTGGTCTCGGTGTCATGGCCAAGTTGATGAGCACGGCACTGGACCACGTCAACCTGATCTGGGTGGTGCCGTGCATCGGTGGCATTGATTACCCCATGGACGAGCCGGCAGAGTCGATGTTCGTGCAAATCATGGGCGAGTCCTACGAGGTGCACGTCCAGTACCACAGGTATAAGAACATCACCTACGTTCTCCTCGACGCACCGATCTTCCGTCAACAGACCAAGGCTGAGCCCTACATCGCAAGAATGGACGACGTCGAATCTGGTATCCTTTATGCAGCTTGGAACAGCTGTATCGCTGAAACCATCCGCCGATTCCCTGTTGACATCTACCACATTAACGACTACCACGGTGCTATTGCTCCTCTATACCTGCTTCCTCAGACCATTCCCGTGTGTCTCTCTGCACAACGCCGAGTTCCAAGGACTCTGGCCCATGCGCAGCCCTGAAGAGACCAAGGAGGTCTGCGATGTGTTCGGCCTGCCCATGGACGTTGTGAAGAAATACGTCCAATACGGTTCCGTTTTCAACCTTCTGCACGCCGGTGCAAGCTACTTGCGGTACCACCAACGTGGCTTTGGTGCTGTGGGTGTGTCTAAGAAGTACGGTGACCGGTCACTGGCTCGATACCCTATCTTCTGGAGTTTGAAAACAATTGGACAGCTTCCCAACCCGGACCCTTCAGACACGGCTGCATGGGAGCCCGAGAAGGACGAGGGAAGCAGCAAGAAGGACGGCATCGAGGTCGACGCCGAGTTCGAGGCCGCGCGAGGAGATCTCCGAATGAAGGCTCAAGAATGGGCCGGTCTTGAAATCGACCCCACAGCCGATCTGTTCGTCTTTGTCGGCCGTTGGTCTCTCCAGAAGGGTGTGGATTTGATTGCCGATATCTTCCCCAGCATCCTGGAGAAGTACCCCAAGACACAACTTATTTGTATCGGTCCCGTTATTGACTTGTACGGAAAGTTTGCTGCCCTGAAGCTTGCTAAACTCATGGAGGTTTACCCCAAGCGGGTGTTCTCAAAGCCCGAGTTCACGCAGCTACCGCCTTATATCTTCAGCGGTGCCGAATTCGCACTTATTCCGTCGCGTGACGAGCCCTTCGGCCTCGTTGCCGTCGAATTCGGTAGGAAGGGTGCGCTGGGTGTCGGTGCAAGAGTTGGTGGTCTTGGTCAGATGCCCGGTTTCTGGTTTACTGTCGAGTCCATGTCTCCTGCTCACTTGCTCGATCAATTCAGACACGCTCTCAAGGAAGCTCTGGACTCGAAGCAGCCTAAGCGAGCACTCATGCGTGCATGGAGCGCAAAGCAACGTTTCCCAGTCAAGCAGTGGATTCACCAGATCGACAGTCTCTACGACGAGTCGATCCGTATCTCGAACAAGGAGGCAAGCAAGAAGAAGAAGCTGACAAGCAGGTCAATGTTATCACTTAACACCGCGTCCCACCAGGAGGGACCCGACACGCCTGGCACATCCAGGCCAACCACACCCAACACTGCCAGTGGGCTCCAAATATCAATATCCTCGCCACAAGCAGTGCGAAGCTCGCTGCTGCACAACGTCTCCCCCGATATTTCGACCGCTGGACTTCCCTCTCCCGGCCTGCGGTCGCCGAGCGGTGTTTCCTCTCCAAATCTCAACACCCCCAAGTTCCCATGGACCAACCTTGAGCCGGGATCCGCGCGAAACTCGGCCATCAGCGTGGCCAGTTTCGACAGCTTCGCCATGCGCGCACAGGCCGATGGCCCCATGAGCCCCGGCCTGCCCGACTCGCGCGACTCTATCGCGGGCCTACCCCTCCCACAGCCAAGTTTCTACCAACAGGGCAACCGCAACAGCAGTCAACTCTCCCTGTCGGATGTCGTCGGCGAGCGGCAGGACATGAAGCTGCAGAAGGTGGACCTGACCTTCAACGACACCAACGGCGAGTTCTACGCGGAATTCGAGCAGAAGCTGTCAGCAATCACGGCCAAGAACTCGCACACCGAGCTCTGCATCGAGGAGTTCCTCAAGAAGAGCGAGAAGGAATGGTTCCGGCGGTACCGGGACGCGAAGCTGGGCCGGCGCGACGTGAGCAGGGCGCGCAGCCCCAACGGCCTGGGTCTCAAGAGGCCCGAGAGCAAGGATGGGAAGAGCAGAAATTCGTCGATTGTTAGCCGGGGAAGGCAGCGACATCGCAGTATTACTCCCCACAGCACCATGACCTATATGAGTACGGAAGCGGGCTCACCCAGCGGACCAGATGTTGATGATGAATTCTTGCTGGGCAACGGCTACAAGGCGCCCACAGGTCTAAGGAAGTAAGTTGTGAAACCCTGCCGTCACCAATCGAGAAAGCAGAGAGCTAACGCAGATGTCTACCAGAATCCTCTCAATCAGGATTGGCGACTGGCCCGTCTACGCGTTCCTGATGGCGCTGGGCCAGATCATGTCGGTCAACTCGTACCAGATCGTCTTGCTCACGGGCGAGTCATCGCAGACTTCAGAGCAGCTGTACATTATCGGCTCCGTCTACCTGGTGGCGTCGCTCATGTACTGGTTCATGATACGGAACCTGAAGTCTCTGTACGCCATCTCTCTGCCGTGGTTGTTCTTCGGCCTGGCCTTCATGCTGCTGGGTATTGCGCCTTTCCTCGGTGACGGCACGGTACAAGGGGTGGTGCGGACTACCGCAACTGCTTTCTATGCCGCCGGAGCGAGCAGTGGAGCCGTGATGTTTGCGCTCAACTTCGGTGACGAGGGTAAGGCTATCCTGTTCCCCTCTACCATGGCTCACATGGTTCACCCCCCCCCCCCCTCTGGGCAAGCTGCTGACACAATGTGTTTTCAGGTGGCTCGCCAACACGTCAATGGATCATTCGCGCCATCATCGTTGCCGGCATCGCGTCCGTCTACTCGCTGATGCTCTGGTACTGGGGTTCGCTGGTGGCCATGTCCGCGGCCTCTGTGAACGCCTACGTCGTCAACACAAGCATCCCCATCGCCCTCGTGGTCTGTGTGCCCGTAGCTGTCATGCTGTGGGCCGTCGGCATCATCCTCTTCCTCGGCCTGCCTGACTACTACCGCCAGTCCCCCGAGTCTATCCCCGGCCTGTACATCTCGCTCCTCCACCGAAAGCTCGTCCCCTGGTTCTTCGTCGCCATCATCATCCAGAACTACTGGCTGTCTGCGCCGTACGGCCGCAACTGGCAGTTCCTCTTCGGCTCGCAGTACGTCCCCGGATGGGCCATCTTCATACTCGCGCTGGGCTTCTTCATCGTCCTGTGGACCATCATCCTGTACATCTTCTCCCTCTTCTCGGACGAGCACACCTGGCTCCTGCCCATCTTCGCCATCGGCCTCGGCGCCCCCCGCTGGGCCCAGATGTTCTGGGGTGTCTCCGGCATTGGCTGGTACCTCCCCTGGGTCGCCTCGCCCGTCGGCTCGGCCATCCTGTCGCGCTGCATCTGGCTGTGGCTCGGCCTCCTCGACTCGATCCAAGGTGTGGGTCTGGGCATGATGCTGCTCGCCACCCTGACGCGGCAGCACGTGCTGGCGGTGCTCATCGGCTCCCAGGCCATCGGAGCCGCCGTCACCATGTTGGCTAGGGCGACGTGCCCCAATGCCAAGTACGCGACCGTCACCTTCCCCGACTTCAGCCAGGGCGTCCTGCCCGGTGCTGCCGAGAAGTGGTTCTGGATATGCCTGGCGTTCCAGCTGGTCATCCCGTTCGGCTTCTTCAAGTTCTTCCGGAAGGAGCAGGTTTCGAAGCCATAATCCGCATACACCAGACACATGTGTGCGGCATACATTTTCCTCAAGGCTTATTATCTACTTTAGTCCATAAAACTTGGCTGGCTTTTACATACACATTTTTCAGCATCAGCGTCGGGATGCCTTGTTTGGCGCATAATATGGTGTCTCTGTGGTTACTTTTCCTTCATGTCATTCTTTTCCCTTTAAACTAAATATTGGATACCTCTTTTCAATTGAGCGTGAACAGAACAGTGTAACCACTCGGTTCAGTCAGTCGGTGTCGCGGGTATTGGGGAGTATCTGGGTAAGGAACACAAGGGACAAAATCTGTGTGTGATGTTTACTTGAAACGAGATACCGTACTTACTCATGGCAAATCGAACATTTACCTGTTGCACGCCAAATATCCTCAAATGAAATCCATCTGTGCCTGCCTGTCTGTGAATATCTGTGAGGATGTGTTGTTGATATGTAGTTCTTACATATGGAATGCTATGTCGCTCCGAGAGACTTTCAAAGTGGGCTCTCGAGGGCGAGGTAGCCCAGAAGAGGGCCATTACAGACAGTGCCGTATCTGGTCGGCCCTGTTCCCATGTTTGCCCGGTCTAGGGTAAAACATGTCACACGACATTATGTAGGCAGGCGACGCGAGATAAGGTCGCCACGTGCAGACCTGGCTACATGGGCGCAGGCTCGCAAAATAGGGCACATGGCTCCTGGGGAGGACATGGGCTTTATACAGCCTTGTCTGGTAGATATCGGCCAATCGCCACGAAGTCAAGTCTATTAGGCACTCTTGGACATTACGGGCGGAGCTGCTCACCACCTCCTGACGCCGGGGCTGAGGTACTCATTCACTTGCTCACTTGCAATATGTGGCAACAATTTTTCGCTGGAAAGTTGATTATATTGTTCATCCTTGAGTTCTCGGCTGTAAATGATGACCATAGGGCTTCAAAGCCCAATCATGCCGTCTTTGGGTCCCTTTTCCATGCCTTGCTGAATGCCTGAGCAGTGACGCTATGACCCCAACGCCGAACAACCTGAGCCAGCGTGATCGCAGTGTCCGAAAAGACAGAGACTGCGTACATGATCTCCTGGAACAATACATAACAAAGCAAAACATCAATCCGTGCCGAGTGGCCGTCGTATCGGGTGATACTACTGGCTTGCGGCCAAGTCTAAAGTGCTCTTGTCCCACATACTCCGCAGTATCGCCTGGATCCCGTCGTCGTCGTCGCCGTTGACAAGGCTGGCCCCACTGAGGCCTTGCCCTTCGTGTAGTCTGCTGGCGCCACCATCATCCGTGTCCAAGCTAGAGCCGGTGCCGCTATGTCTGACCGAGGTATTGGCCCGCCTAGGAGTCGCCGGTCTGCGCGCCCCATTGGCGCCATCCCGGACGTCTCTGAAGCTCTGGCTCAGACCGAACTGCCCGCCACCAGTCAAGTTCACAGAGCTACGATTACCAGCACCGCCGGACGTTCCTGGCCGTGGTATCCTCCTCGCACTGTCATTGCCAGGGAGCTGTGCCAGCCGTGCTAGGCTGCGGGCGACGGGGTTCTGGTAGCGACGTACTATGTTGTACTCCACCCCAGTGCGCTCAAGAAGCCTGTTTACCCTCGGATCCTGCGACTCGTACCCTGCGCCACCCAGCAAGGGACCCGCCACCTCGGCCACCTCAGCCGCGAAGCCGCCAATCCCGGAGTGCCGGTGACGAACCGGCTCCATGACCGAGCTGGCCCGCTGGAGGTTTATCTTCTGCTGTGTGCGGCTCTTCTCAGATGGTGCTGCTGCCACTGTGCCCACCTCCCTGGACCGAGCCGTGGTTGCTATTGCACTGCTTGTCACACCCGTGTCCTCTTCGTCTGTCAAGTCATCGTCATCATCGCGCACTTCGGTGGTGCCGGACAGTCCATTGTTGGTTGACGAGGGGAAGTTGCCTATGGACCTGGGCCTCCTGGGACCCGAGCCTGAGAACGAGCTAGCCGCGGTCTGTGAGACGAAGCGTGACGTGACCTCCTCCTGACCATTGCTGCCGACAACGCCCTGGGGCTGTGCCGGCGTCACGGACAGCGTACTGGCAGAATGCCGACTATCGGGTGATCTTGCCCGGGCCATTGCCATTGTGTTGGACATGCCGGTGGTTGCGCTATGCGATGGTGTCCGCTGAAGCAGTCTTGAGGTCAAGGTCCGACTGTGTTCCTTGTCCCCGGCAAAGAGGAGCTTCTGCGGCTCCGCCAGAGGGGTGGGTTCCTCGTCGCCGTTGACGCCTCCTGATGGACTCCCGGCGGCGCTCCCTTGTGCATTCCCCGAAGACTGCCCACTGGTATTGATGGATCCGCGTCTCGACAGGTAGGGGGACGCGGAACTGCTAGCATCAATCCACTCGTCTTCTTGGCCGTCGTTGCCGAGGTCGAAATGTACCGCCGACTTTGAAGACTTGAACTTGTTGACAGCCTTCTCCGAGGAGGAGCGCTTCAGTTGGCCCGAGGGCTTGGTACGTTTGGCGACCTCGACTTGGGAGCGGTTGCGCTTCAAGCTCGTCTGGGAGTGGTTCTTCTTGAGACTTGTGGTAGAGGGGTCGCGGGATAGTTTGACCTCGGACGAGTGATTTCGGCGGTGGATCGTTGGTCGCTCTGGTGAGGGAGAGGTGACTCGGCGGTTGAGTTTTGTGGATGATGCGGAGGTGTTGTGCTTGGAGAGCCCTTTGGATGACGGGACTCTTGCATGTAAGCGGGCGCCTCCACCTCCGACATGGTGTCTCTGTGGTTTGTGATGCGACCGCTGCTGCTGCTGATGATGCTGTTGACTGTGATGTGTCTGGTCGCTGTCCAATGAATCGCTGTCATGCTGGTTTGCAGGCCGTTTTGATTGGCCGGCAGACGGCGAGATGCTGCTGTCTCCCCGTTCCCTGTCCCTGGCCATGGCTGCTTGTTCCCCGGATGGCTGACTGCTGCTGTGCTCTGCCGCCAGATAGGCTCTCCTCTGTCTTGCACTGTCTCTCGAGCTCTCCAGAGCTCTGCCCACTCACTGCTCGTCTTCTTCCACCGCCCCGGGATGTGTATGCGGGCGAGCCCGCGTGGAACGGTCGAGCAACGGCGTCGGTGTGCGCCCCGGTGAAGGAGATTCCTTGCAGATTTGGAGAAGGACTGGGCAGAAGCGCGCGGATTGGAGGTGGCCAGGCTCTAGGTGGGCGCGAACTTTTGCTTTTTGCGCCGACGGACTGGTCCTGGCGGAGGGGTAGGAGGGAAGGGGAAGGGGGGTGGGCAGCGACGTGGAGGCGCAACGAAGAGAGACTACGGTCAATGACAGCGCTGTCGGAGTCTTGAGCAGCAGAGAATAATGGGTGGTGGTGGTGGTGTCGCAGGGACGAACTGGGGTGGCTCAATGGGTGCAGGAGACGGACCATACGAAGACAAGAGTGAGTGAATGAGTGAATGAGCTTGTGCCACGTCAAGATGATGGCCAATTGTTCCCTCCTGCGGGAGAAGGGAGATTATTGATTGACCCGACTGTCGGCGACGTAATGAGACGAAGTCAATCCAATTTGCGCAAACTAGCCGTGTGGACGTCGATTCGAATCGAATCTAGCCCTCCACGGTGCCTACCTACCAGTACCTGCCGTTCCGAAGTGCGGATACACAGACACACACACACTATGGCCCGTACGTACCTGCCTACTGGGTAGGTGCCGTTGCTAGTCACCATCGGCCGTGACCGCCTCTTCAGAGAACAACTGTCAAGGGGTTCTGCAATAAGAGGGTTGTATTCGGTTTCTGGTTGTGGTTCAGTCTAAGTTTGTGCCGAAGGGCCGAGGGGCCGAGGACTACCTATCAATGCCCATAAGGGGTCTGTGCGGTGCTCCTTCCTCACAATCTGCCCCCTCCAAAAAATAGCGGCGCCCTCGCAGCTAATGAACAATTCCGAGAGGTGCGTCCGACAGATCAGTCATCCTGTGTTCCGTCTTCCGGGCAAAGTATTGGGCCTGGACTATCTCCGTCTTCCTCACAGTCTCCGTTTCCGTCCTCCGGAGCGTCGGGGTCATTTCGGGGTTCGTCCCGTGATCCGTCGTGTTCCTTGTAGTTGGCTGCTTTCGCATCTCCACCTGATCCGGAGTCGTCCGTGAAAAGTTCCAACTCGAGAGTGCATCCGTTGTTGAGTGATTTGATGATGACATCCATGACATCTCGGACGGCGAGGAAGGCGTCGGATCCGTCCGCAATCGTTTTGGTGAACAGGGTGTGGTGGCTGCCTTCCAGGGTGTCGATCTGTTTGTCCTTCTCAGTCAACTGGTCTTTCAAGCTGGTGACGTATGCGGTGCTGAGGTTAAGTCGCGTCTGGAGTGAGTTCCGCTGGGTGTCCAATTTGGTGTTTTCCGACTGTAATTTTGCGATTTGGGCTCGCTGTTCGTTGACTTTGGCGGCGAACTTGGCGTTTTCCGTCTTGTATCGCTCGTACTTTTGCTGTTTTGTCAAAGGCGGGGGCGCTGTCGATGGGGAACACGAACGGGTATCGGCGTGTTCCGTCGCGGGCAAGGAAGGTAGCACGGACTGACGGGTCGTCGCGTCGTCGGTGGGAGACATGGTGGGTTGCAGGGACATGTCAAACTTCGTCTTCTTCGGGTTGCGTTGCGGACTCGCCGTAGGCGTTGTGTCGGATTTTTTTCGATTGGTTTTCTTCAACGGACTGTATTCTCCGGTTCGGGACGACATGACAAAGACGTCGGAATCGCTGTCGGAGGAGCAATCACCAGGGGGAGGTGGTTTTTCGAGCAGGTTTTCTTCGATTTCGTCGCGCACGGATTCAGCGGCTCTGGCGTTTTCGTCGGAATCGCTTTCGCCTGAGGATCCTTCGGATTCGGATTGGGATTCGGCCTGAGAAGAAGAAGTGTCGTAATCCGCTGTGTCGAACAAGTGTCGCAAAGGATGTGGCAGAGTTGGGCTTTTTTGGTTGGTTGGTTCGTCTTTGCGTTTGCGTAGAAAAGATATCGACCGAATTTTCCGTCAGCAATGTCCTGCAGTTCGTCGCAAATGTATGTCCACCACTCGTATTCCTTCTTCTTGTGCCTTTTGACGGATCGCGGGAGCTTTCTGTCGTGTTCCCACTCTCGCATCAAGTGGATGAGGGTAAGGAGATCCGTAGCCCTGTCGAGTTCGTCGATTTTGACCCTGTCGGAATCAAGAATCGTTTGTAGTGTAGTGTGCAAGTCTCTCGCGGTAGTCGTCGAGCCGACTTGGTCGTCCCAGCGCGTGATGTCGTCAATGTTTTTGATCCAGGGCTCCGGATTTTGAAAAAGATCCGCGGCTCGGCGCTTTGCTTTGAATTTGCGCCGTTTGAGTTCGTTTTCGGACAGCTTTCTGCTCTTATCTCCTTCCGCCATCGCCGTCGGCGACGGGCTCGGATTGCAAGGCCGTCTTGAGTGTGTCTTCCGTTGAACAAAAACGAATGGAAAAATAAAAGGGAGGAAGAAGTTTGTAGTTCCTGAGAGAGAACCAAAATTGTGCTTTAAGTAGTGCTGTGTTCATCCCATTTTTTCGTCCGAAGTTTTTAGGCAGATGTCGTTGTGAGTCACTGTGGCAGTCACTGGTGGCAGTCACTGGTGGTAGTTACTGTGTCAAGTTTGTAATGGACAGTCGTTTGCGGGCGAATTCGTCAAGCAGCGATTGTGCGTCGGGTCCCAGTTGCGGCAAGGTCATCCATTCTCGGAATTCAGGTCCCAGTCCGACGTATTCGACGAGATATTTTGTGTCCTTCGGTCCTGAGTGTCGTTGGTCGATTATGCGCTTTGCGTGATCTTCGATTCGGATGGGTCCGATCCGAGGTATGTCTCGACCGAACGGATCCAGAGGGTACGGCTCGAGGTGGTCGACGGAAACGACATCATGCTTCAACTTCCATGCGCGCGGAAAGTCGAGTCGGTATGCAGAACGGCCGATCCTTTCCGTGACTCTGAAAGGGCCCGCATATTGTGGTCCGTATTTGCGGCCGACATCTTGTGGAATTCCGTATCCTTTGTGTAGTCGGAGTAACACCCGTGCTCCGACTTCAAAGAATTGTGCGAGATGTCGTCTATCAAAGTGTGCTTTTACCGTCATCGCCGCAAGTGCCAGGGCGTCGTGTACGCGGATACGGCTTTGAGGAAGGTCTGGCAGTCGATGAGGCACTCGGTCCGCAATGATGTCCAGGACGTCGTTCGGGGTGAAGCCTTTGACGATTTCGTTCGGGGAAGTCCCGGTTGCTTGGGATTTGCTGTTGCAGTATTCGAATTGTATCCGTGGCAAAGTGTCCAACCATTTTCGCGGATCGTCAAGGCCGTGGATGAAGTGGCGGAGCGCGGATTCAATGGTCTGTACCGTCCTTTCTGACTGGCCGTCGGTTTGTGGATGGTACGCAGTTGTGTAAAGCAGCTTTGTTCCGGATAGTTTCCATATTGATGACCAGATGCTTGACAGGAATTTGGGGTCTCGGTCTGAGAGGATGACTTTTGGATAGCCCCAGTTACTTTGAAGCAAGTATCGTAGCAAAGAGGAGGCCCATTCCGTGGCTTTCCATGTTGATTTTCCGGGCACCAGCAACAGGTCCTTCGAGAATTTGCAGATTACCAAGAGGATACAGTCGTAGCCTTCTGTCGAGGGAAGTCCGAGGATAAAGTCCATCGTAATCCAGTAGTAGTATGGACACGGTGGGCCGAGCAGCGGTTGCAAGCTCCCGTGGGCTTTATGTCTTCTAATGTCAAAGACTTGGCAATCAGGGCAGCGGCGGGTAAATTTGCGCAGCTCGGAATGCGGTCTTCCGATGCAGAAGGGCCGGAGGAATTCGCTGAGTCGGGCATAACCATGGTGGCTGCCTGCATGGGCGAGTTCCAAGATTTCGACTACACACGATCGAGGGATGCAAAGACGAGGAGTTCCGTCTTCGTTTGATGTTTTCCAGATGAGGCCGAAGCGGATTTCGAACGGAAGGACGGCTTTGTTCTCACGGAGAGCATCGTTTCGCCGTATCATGTCCAGAATTCTTGCCCATCGGGGGTCTGTTCGATAGCCATCTTGGAGGCGCTTGCGAAAGTCGGGAGACATTTCAACGTGCACATTTCCGTTTCGCAGATTTGGTTCCGAAGGTATCGGAGGGGCTACTGGGCGCATTTCCGAGAAAAACGACCAATGTTCGTCTCGATCATCCGGGAGAACATCCAGTCCACCATCTTCAGTTGGCGGCGACACGTTCGGTGACGGCATACGCGACAGTGCATCCGGCACGACATTCTCTCTTCCCGGTTTGTGCAGTAGATCGATTTCGAAGGCGCTGACATATTCAAGGGCACGGATCAATCTCTTGTTGTCTATCGAGGCTGCGGTGGAGTTGACAATGTCAGGTTGTTTGGAAAGGGCGAGGATTGCTGAGTGGTCTGTGCAAATCGTAGGACGGTGCTTAGTGACGTTGATCCAGTGTCGACATTTTTTGAGTACCCATACGTAGCCGAGAAGTTCCATTTCCGTAGCCCAGTACCGGCGTTCCGCGGAGGACAGAGTGCGGCTAAGGTACGCAATTGTTTCGACTGAAGTTCGCGGTGGGTATGTGACGACACGGCCGTCTTTCATGAGTTTCCTTGCGGCTGAGTCCGCCACGTGGTAGACTTGCACTCCGATTCCGGACGCGGATACATCGAAATCGATGAATAGACGCCTTTCCGAATTGAAGTGTACGACGGATGTGAACTTGGTTAGGTCTTGTTTCACGGTGTCGAAGGCAGCTTTCTCTGCGTCGCTGGGCAGGGCGAACATAATTCGTTTTGTCCAATTCTCTCGAGCTGTTTTGCCCTTTGGCTTTGTCGAGGCATTCAGTCGATGGAGATTCGTCTTTCGTTGTTCGAGAGGCTCGATCTTCATTGCGAAACGCGGGACGTTGTGTCTCATGTAGCCCGCAAGGCCGATGAAATGTTCCAAATCCTTCAATGAGCGGGGAAATTCCAAGGCTTTGACAGCCTTCAAGCGTTCTTCGGTCGTGGAGAGGCCGAAAGAGTCGACATAACGGCCGAGCACGACAGCTGTCGGTGCTGCGAAATAGGATTTTTTTGGGCCCATTGAAATGTTCTTCTGTCGCAGTCGGTTGAAAACCAGACGAACATCGTCAATATGGTCTTGCAAGGAGCCGTCCGTGGCAATGACTATGTCGTCGGTATATGCTTCAGCGGGTGTGTCTTCGAGGAGCCGATCCATTTGTCGTTGTACATAGGCTGGGCTGCTGTGATATCCCATGATAGCGCAGTTGAATGTGAATTGTCCGCGAGCTGTTGTGATAGTGAACATCCATCGAGATTCGGGATGGATTCGCCACTGGTAGAAGAAAGCGGTGGCGTCGAGAACCGTGATGTGTTTTGCATTTGTGATCTTTGAGAGAATTTGGTCCTGGCTTTTCATGGGGTATGCGTCGGGGACCGACATGCGGTTCAGTCCTCGGACATCAATCACCATGCGACCTTTCCGGGTACCGTCTGGCATAGTTCGCCAAACAACGAATACGGGGAAAGAGAAGGGAACGGATTGAGTTGTCCGTTCGATTTTTTCGGCAGCTTGCAGTTTGTTTAAAGTTTTGTCAACGACCTCAGCGTCCTTCGAGGTCATGGGGTAGACTCTGCACTTTTTCGGAATCATGTCTTGCCAGTTTTGCCTAAGGCGAACCTTGAGCCATTCGTCTTGTGGAGCTTTGGCCCAACCTTTGTCTTCAAAGATGTCCGCATTTTCATCGAGGAAACTTGAGAGCTTGTCTCGGTCGACAGGGTTCAGGTTGGAAAATACATTAGTGCCTGTCGAGGTGTGCGTTTGGAAGTCGTCTGACGGCATCGTTTTCGGACGCTGGGAATTCGAGGATCCGTGAAAGGCTGCGAATGTGGCCTCGTCGTCTTTGTCGACGGCATGAATTTGGCATTGTGGGTCCAAAGAACACAGGTGTCCCACGAATGTTCTATTGGGTACGATGATAGGCTTGTCCGTTTCGTTCTCGACGACCACGTGAGCCAGATGGACATCCGTGAGGAGAGCGTAAGCGCCGAATCGGGTTGATGCAGGGGTAAACACCAAGTCTTGAACGTCGTCAGTGTGCAGGCGATGTTCAACGGGGAGATAAACAGCTGATCTAGGTGGTATAATAGTATGTTGCGCGGCGAGTACCCTGGCCTTCACCGGGCGGCCACGATTTCTCGTTTCCATGGGAATTCGGACACGGCAGGAGTCGATGTCGACGTATCCTTTCGAATTAACAATGTCGAAGCCCTCTGGTCCCATGGCGTCCATGCCGACGAGCATGTTGGCCTTCAGGTCTTCAACCACGGAGACTTCGCGAGTAAACGAAGCGACTGCTGCGGTCCCGCGGTCGATGTGTTTTCCCAGGAATTGCAATGGCATAAGTACATAGTCGTACGACTCGTGAATTTTCGTTCCGAGTCCGCGTAACTGTAGCGGAGATGCGCGTTTGCGAATTGGCAGGAGGGGATAATTTTGTTGTAACCATTGTCTATCTGCCATCGTTCGGTTGCAGCCGGTATCGCCGCAAACATCTGACGACAATCCGGACGGCAGTTGAATGAAAAGACGCAAATAAGTCCAAGAGCGAAAACCGAATCCTGTCCCAAGTTCCGAGTCGACCCTCACCGGCGACTGGATTATCTCCACGCCCCCTGTAGTATCCGATGGGACACCGGGGCCTTTCAGTTTTTTGCCGGCTGCTCCGGGGCATCTTTCGACGCGCCGTCCAAGCCTTGATCGTCTGGTGGGCTGGCAGTCTCCGCCTCAGCTGCGAAAGCCGTCGACGTCTGTCTCCGTCGGGGCCGAGGCTTTTTGAAATGGACGGAGTAGACATGATCCATCAGCGAATTGTTGCTATGAAAATGCTTGGTGCAATAGCGGCAGACGGATGGTGACGACGCTGATGTGCCGAAAAAGGCAACGTCTGGGTAGTCGTCATGGTCGTCGACGGGAAACGCTTCCTCGAAGGGATAGTCGAAAGCCTCAGCGGCTGCATCCATGGAGAACTCTTCGTCCGGGACTTCCTCAACCGAAGGTGGTTGATATGCGGGCGTATCGGGTTGCTCCACAAAGTCCGCAGACTCGCCATGATAGGCCTGATGGGGCTGATTTCGTTGATATGGTCCGACGGCGGATGGGGCTTGCGGGGCGGGCAGGCGACGGTTCTCTGGGACGAGCTGTTGTCGGCGATCTCCCGGCTGTGGCTGTTGTTGAGCGGGTTGTCGCTGCTCGTCCTGTTGTCGACGCCACGCGGCGTACTGGTCTGGTGGCAGCCAAGGTCGACTGTATCCAGCATTCCAGATCTGGCCTCGACCAGCCGATCGGACCGGCAGTTGAAACTGATTCTGGGTTTGGTTAGCCGTGTACGGTCGATTGTACTGCGGAAGAGCTTGGGGTAGCTGCGCCTGAAAGCGTTGCTGTGGTTGCCATCGCTGGGGCTGCGAAGGCGGATACCGTGGGGCGTAGGGGACGTTCGACCTGCCTCCGTAGGCGGGTGTGGGCTGACGAGGACGGACAACATTCCGAGCAGACGGATATCGTTGTCGGGCCAGGTCGAGAATCACACTCTCGCGGTTTCGGACGTCGTCCAAAAAGCTTTCCAATGTCGTCGCTTCGTTGGGTTTTCGGAGTTCAGACTTGATCTCGGGAGCGAGCGATTCGAACGCAGCAATCAGCTGTGCGGGAAGCTCCATGTTGCAAGCCTTCGCGTTCGCAATGACGGTTTGAAGGAACGAAGTAATGTCCCGTCCCTCTGCGACCTGGTAGAGAGACAAGTGATCCGTCTTGAGACCGGCCATGGCATCCGAGAAGGACTTGGCGAAACGCGATTTCAACTTGTCACAAATCGCTTGAACTGTCGCCGTCTCGAGCAGCTGGCGATCGTTGTCGGTCAAGACATGGGAGTGCCATTCGAGTGCATCCTCCAAGAGACACTGAGACCAAACTCGACGGACGTCGTCCGCGGAATGGACTCGTTCGATGTGCTTCAAACGCTCGATGAAATGGAAGACGTCGAAATACTTCGTGATCTTCCCGTCAGACCAAACGCCTGAACCGGCATGCTTGCGAGGGCAGAAATAGCCAACATCCGCTGGCCGGATGCCAGAACGTCCGTCGACGCCATTCTGCGCGGGCCCGGCTTGAACATGGACTTGAGGGACTGGTGCATTTGCGAACGCTGTGGCAATCAGATGTGCGAAGTCTTGGTTCTGCTGGTTACGGAGCTGTGCCATTGCCTGTGTGATGAGGTTGGCGGCGTCTTCAGCCGTGAGTGGTGCCATATCGTCGTCGTCAGATTCAGGGCCTTCCGATTCCGTTCTGTCGTTCCTCTTCGGACGCGAGGGAGAGCCGAGGTCTCGATTATATGTTGATGTGGGCGGCGTATTTCCGAGGGAAACTCTTGAGGATGATGGCAAACTTGGCAAACTCACTGTTCGGCGGTGCTCGAGTGTTCGAGGAGATTGCGTTCCGGTCGATGCATGTGATGAATCACCAGGAAGCGGCGTCCGGCTAACTGGGGAAGTGGCTTGGGGATCAGACGCTGGAGGGGATCCGAGCGGCAGGAGCGCCCGCCAGCGGGCGAGAAATGCGGGAAGGCTCTTCCGCTTTGTTGACCAATTCTGCGGCCAACAAGTCTCGCCTTGAGGAATCGGATCGTTTTCGTCGAAGGTAGGCTGCAAGAGACGGGCGTATTCGAGCTCGTCGTTCTGAATCTTCGTGATATACGGAGACCCGGATAGGCAGTGGAACCGTAAGAGCTGTCGAGCACGCAGTCGTCTGAGTTCAGCCGTGGAGTCTCGCGGAGCCATACGACTGAATAGTCTAGACGAATGAGTGTCGAGACGGTCGTGCGAGAGCGAAGCAAGCAGTTGGAAATCGATGGTAAATCTGCGGTGGTGCTCTCGTCGTCTCGTCGGACGAGGCTATGTCTGTGGTGGTCACCGGCTGGCGTTCGATTCCCGTAATCCGAGCCAAGTTGTCAAGGGGTTCTGCAATAAGAGGGTTGTATTCGGTTTCTGGTTGTGGTTCAGTCTAAGTTTGTGCCGAAGGGCCGAGGGGCCGAGGACTACCTATCAATGCCCATAAGGGGTCTGTGCGGTGCTCCTTCCTCACAACAACCCAGGCCCTTGGTGCCTTGGAACCTTAGCAGGCAGGAAGACAAGAGACGGTTTTCCGAACTTAGGCCCGGGCACCACCGGAAGGAACCACCACCCCCCTCCCGCTTCACTTTCCCCTCCGCATCTAGTCTAGACTAGTTTCCTTTCGAGTCACGTCAGTCGGCAGGCAACAACCCACTCTCCCGTAATCTCCGTTATCATTTGGCCCGAGGCTGGTTAACCTTCAACGTCCACTCCTCTCTCACTCCAGTAGCCAGTAGCACCGTCTCCATCATCACCATCCATCACCGCAACCCTACGCCACTGTCTCGACACCGCCGTGGTTCTACTCTCCAGCTCAGGTACTCTCGGATAGCTTCTCCAATACCGCGGGGGAAACATTACTCAAAATGAGTGCACAGCTTACACAATTCGAAGAGGAGAGGAAGGCCTACCAGGAACAGGTATGTCGTCTTTGCCTTTGCGTCATCAGGTCCAGTTTCGCAGCTTCGTCTCGAGACACACATGCTGACCATACTTCAGCTGGACATTGTCTCCACATCCCTCAACGATGACCCCGAAAATGCCGAGCTGCTCGCCCTCAGGGCTGAGCTGGAGGAGATGATCAATATGATCAACGAGTCCATCGCCGACATCCAGCCGAAACGAGCTGCAGCAGCACCTGCAGCAGCCGTCCCGAGCAAGGCTCCCAGACCGGCAGAGACCGCGCCCGAGAAGTGGTCACGCGAGAATCACCCAGCCTTCAAAAAGGCCGCACAGGAGGAGAAGGACAGGCAAGAAGCAGCTGCGGCCGCAGCAGCAGAGTCGGCTATCCCCATCTCCTACCAGGTCAATGATACAGTTCTTGCTAAGTGGGTCTCGGGTGACAAGGGATTCTACCCAGCACGCATCACCGCCGTCACCGGCTCCTCCACACAGCCCATTTATACCGTCAAGTTCAAGAGCTACGATACGAGCGAGACCCTGCGCGCAAACAACATCCGCCCAATCAGCAACAAGCGCAAGGCAGATGGCAGCAACCCGACTGCAGGCCCTTCGGCCGCAAGCGGCAGCGTAAACAGCCCGACCACGTCTGGAGCAACGACACCGGGCGGATCAACGAGTGTAAACAACGGGATTGTCCTTACGTCCGCCCCAAGTGTGTACCCACAGGCCGACAAGAACGCCGCTGCTGATGGAGAGAAGCCGGTCAAGAAGTTTAAGAAGATCAAGGCGAACAAGGAGCTTGAGAAAGGCAAGAGCAAGTGGCAAGACTTCAACGCCAAGTCCAAGTTCGGAAAAACACAAAAGAAGGACAGCATGTTCCGCACACCTGACGGCGTTCACGGTCGAGGTTAGTACTTCTTCTTCTGCCCGCCACGAGAAAGCTATTACTAACTTGGTGTGACAGTCGGGTTCACCGGGTCTGGCCAGACCATGCGCAAGGATCCCACTCGAAGTCGTCATGTTTACCAACCAAATGAGGACATTGACTAAGTTCATTTTCTGCTGCAGGACCTTCCGTGCCTTGGACAGACCTCTTCGAGCTCATCGAACTTGGAATTATGGCGCAGGCGGGCGGGACCGGCACCTTGCCGTGGGCTTTTGGTGGGCGTTGGGTCTGGGTGGACTTTCTACTACACGGTAAAACACCTCTGACTTTTTATATGGAGGCTAACTTGGCGTTTCTTCTCCTACGGCAACAAGGCAGCATGTACCAGTCTCTGGTGAAGCTTAGCGTACTCTGTTCATAGGAACGGGCTTGCTGTATGTTTCGGCATACCAGCTGGGCTCGCCGCAGGGCCAGTCGCACATATTGAAACACCGTGATTTCCCCAGATCACCAGTCTTTGGATCGATGCTAAGCTCCCACAGGCTTTTGGCAGCTATGTCACCTCACGTGCCAGGGCTGCTTCCGTTGACTGCTCCATTCCGGCAGGCATACGCACAACCACGTAATCGGGCATTAGTCTCATACTTGTTTAGGAGGTTGTGCGTCGACAGCGAGCTCTCTTGCGTCCTCACGGACTAACTCCGCATGTGAGAACGCGGTGTTCGGGTTACCTCGGCATGTCTTGGCAAGGCGTTCCATGACCTCTTGCACACTCGCTTCTCCCTACCTGCTGAGGGGTCGCCATACCTCTGTGGGCGGCGTCGTCACCGTAAGGACCTCATTCGATGACTATCTTCGTAGCCCTGTAGCTTGCTCGGTTTCGCGACTCCGATGTGAGAGGCGACTGAACGTGTGTATGTTTCCTGTCTACTCTCGTTTGACAAAGTGAAGGACAAGAGGCGATCATGTGTCCAAGATCATGCCAGGTTTGTTGAGGTATGGCGTGCACCGTTATGTCTTCGGGACTTATCCACCGGCATTTCGACTGGTGTTATAAAGAGTCTGGATAATCCGGGAAATAAAACATGTGGTGATTATCAGTAGAGCAGCGAGATTTGGGGCCAAAAAATACAACGAGATGCCTGTGGGACGCTTCTACAGACGTGACGGACGGGTCCAGCTTTGCCGACATCTGCGCTAACACGCGATCCCCGGCCGGGTACTCACCCCGGGATCACGGCCAGGATCTCTAGATTGAACAAATGCTTTCCTTTGGTATTGTGATGTAGCCGCTGGAAAGATACTTCATTAGATTTGGTGAGGTCGGAGGTCACCAGACGTGGTCAGGGACCCTCGCTGCAGACACGCGGAGGAACCCAATCTCCAAAGTTCACACTGTCACGAGGTGCTTCACTTGCGAGGGATAGCGCGTGCTTGGTATCTGTCTGTCTCTCTAACACGTATTTGACACCACGAACCAAACCGGAAATGCCCAATATACTGTGCCCAAAATTGTTGTTGATGCGACCCGTCTATACCCGTATTTAGTCTTTTTGAAGCTTCCTGAAGAAGTCCGTGACGCCCTGGAAGACCACGAGAAGAATTCCACCTCCCTGTTTTTTTCCACCGTCAGCAACCAACACTTGCATTTCGGGAGGCCGCGTGTCGGAGTGTTCAGCAGTTGATCACTTACCGGTCCTAACCTCAGCACCTTGGGCAGGAAACCCTTGTACAGGGCCGCGAAACCCTCCTCCTTCAGCACCGTTCCGACGGCCGGGAAGGCCCAGTTGTACTTGGGGGTGACGCCGGGGACCTTGACGGCGTTCTGGATGCGCGACTTGACGACGTCGAGGGGCGTGTTGAGGATCGTGCCGACAGTGCCGCCGACGGTTCCGGCCATGATGTCGTTGACCATCTGGCCCGACTTATCCTTCGCCTTGGGGAGCAGCTGGCGGACCTGGAAGATGCAGCCGAAGTAGCCCGCGTTCCACAGGATGTGCCTCCACAGGGTGCTCTCGAGGCCCTGGTACATGGCGAGCACGCCCTCCTGCTTGACCGTCTTGGCGACCACGTCCAGCATGCCGTTGTACTTGCTCGCGTTGGCCTTGTCCTGCAGGCGGATCTTGACGAGCTCGAAGGGGACGACCACGAAGGACTCGGTCGCGCCGGCGGTGGCGCCCGTCAGGACTGACAGCGGCTGGGTCATCTTTTCGGCGCCGAAGGCCTTGCGGTAGAACTTGCCCCACTCGTCGTTGGCTGCGAACTTGGTGGCTCGCTTGGGCGCCTCCATCAGGATCGGGGCGGTGATGCCGCGGTACAGCCGGGAGAAACTGCTCCGTGTGTCTTGTCAGTGCCTGCTTGCGAAGCCTTTCTCATGCCCTGCAGCATTGCATATGATCTGTCCGGGTGTATGATCGTTGTGGGAATAGGATCGCGTACGCACCCCTCATGTCGGATAATCTTCTGGAAGCAGTCGAACATGCCATTGTAAGAGTCCGCACCGACTCCCTTGCCGGTCTGCAGCTGTCTGTTGAGCCTGTCAGCAGTGCCAACTTGTCCAGTGGGTCGAAGACCTTACACTCTGGTCTTGACGACGTCCAGCGGGTACCTAGGTAGCACGATCAGCATTTGGCAAACAAACACAACCCGGCAAGCCTTGCGCCCTTAATGTGGACATACATGACCAGAATCTACAGGAAGAGACATGTTAGCAAGTCAATTGCACCCGGGAAACGGCGGAGCATACTTCAGACACACCGGCGACAGCGCCTACGAGGACGAATTGTCAGCCATGGACTCTCACAACATCTTGCGACAATCCCGAGTCGTCGGAGCGCGAGTCGGCAATGTGTTTACGCACCGGCGGCAAACTGGTATATGAACGGCAGGGGCTTATCGGAAGACATCTTGACAGCTGCTATGTGGACATGTTAGCCGGGATATAAACCTGGGCCTTCCGAGAGACGACTTGCCTGGACCGAAGGCTGGACGTGGATGGAGTTGGAAAGGAGGGACGGGGAGCAAGCACCTCAGCTACGGAAGAGGCAGAATGAATCTTGTCAGCGCGGCCGGCGCACACAAATCCTCCCAGGTCCCCTAGCGGCATCGGACTGCCGCAAGCCTACCACAAACCAAGCATTGTAATGGACCCTTGTCAGTTCCCCACGTTTATCCGCACATGCACGCACGGTTGGGGGACTTCTGGTAACCGAGAAGCCGATTATTACGGGCGATACTTGGACCACCTACTTAAGTAGGAAGGTATTTATTATCACACACGCAAGCATGGACGCATCTTGTGGAGCCAGCCACTATTCCTAAATAAACCCAGCTTTTGATTCTCCTCATGCCATGGTTAGGCTATAGCTTGCGTGCTGCACCGGCATTTGACCCCGGTGCATTGGCCGGCGACCAGAATGCGAGACCTTCCTGAGTGGCCAAGATCTATCTACCTTACAGACAAGTATTAGACCTGCTCACTGGTCCTGAATATAAATCTCCATGGCGTCCATGGCCATCCATGGTCCTCAGAAAGTATTTGGCTCCTTGCCATGTTTGGCAAGCTGCTTAGGCAGCATCCTCGGTGTTGAGTTTGATGATCTTTCCAATAGCGATCGTCTGACCTTGGTCACGCTGCGAGACAGTCAGTAAGGCATCGGGAAATAGTTGATCTCGCGAACAAGTACTTACCAGAGTAAAGCGACCCATCTGAGGATAATCCTCGAATCTCTCCACGCAAACTGCGCCTGAGGCGCCAGTAACTTCCATTCGTGCAATAATGCTGTCACCCTTCTTTGCGTGTGTAGGCGGCCGCTTGCTCTTGCGGTTGGTGCCCTTCTGCAGGCTGTGCAACAGAGCCGCAAATGTGACCTCTTCGATGGCTGCGTGAACATGGAGCACACAGTTGAAACCAGCCGAAAGGATGGACTTCAGGTCCAGAATTCGGATCTGGGCGTCAAAGGACTTGACACAGTGGACCAGGCGCTTTGGCGAGCAGAGCACGAATCCTGGGAGGATGTCGTCCTCCTCAATACCTCGCAGCCGCATTCGTACTTGGTCGCCGCACTGTGCGTGGGGGATTTCATCTTCTTGCTCGCCATAGATTGCAGAAATGTCGATCTTGGCCTTGTTAGGCATCATAGTCAAGGTCATGCCCTTCTTCACCACACCAGCCTCGACACGGCCCTCGACCATGGTGCCCATGTCGCGGTACTTGCCAGACACGGCCATCATGAAAGGCGCGTTGATCTTGCGCTCCAGAGCCTGCATGTTGTCCAGGTACTCCAGCAGTGATGGCCCATCGTACCATGGTGCGACTCCTTCCGGTAGCCTGTCCTTGATGTTGAGCAGTGACTGGGCTGCGGCGGGCATGAAGAACACATCCGTCTTCAGATTGTACCCGGTACCCTTGAGGAAAGTGGCCAGTTTAGTCGTGCACTCCTTGTAACGGTCATGCGACCATTCCACCGTCGGGTCGTCCATCTTGTTGATCACCACCACCAACTTGTTGACACCTTGGGTTTTGGCCAGCATGGCGTGCTCACGTGTCTGGCCACCCTTCTCGAATCCAGTTTCGTACTCGCCCTTTCGTGCACTGTGCTCTTGTCAGCCTTGATGTTGCACGTACGAGAACCAAGGCCGCTCATCTTCTCGCGGTGAGATGTTCATCCTTACCTAATGACGAGAATACCAACGTCTGCTTGTGAGGCTCCGCCAATCATGTTTGGCACGTATGTCTTGTGGCCGGGAGCATCCAGAACACTGTACTTCCGCTTTTCCGTCTCGAAAAACCCTCGACCAACTTCGACAGTCTTACCCTTTGACCTTTCTTCGTTTGTAAGATCCAAAACCCACGAGAGGTACCATGACGGGTTACCCTAGGAACATAGTCAGTATGTTGGGATCATTCGACGATAAAGGGTACGTACCATATCCTTGGCCTCCTTCTTGTACTTGTCCAATGTCCTTTGATCTACCATGCCTGTGACGACGAGAATAGAGCCACCAAGAGTGGACTTTCCGGCGTCGACGTGACCGATGAAGATAATGTTGACGTGCTCCTTACCGTACATATCCTTCAACGTCTCCTCGTCGACATCAGCAGTCTGCTCCTGCTCGACAGCCACCGCATCACGACTGGCGCCCTTAGGGCCGGCCCGTGAGGGGCTGGATCGCCCAGAGGATGGTGTAGGGGACGTCTTGCCGGAGGACGCCTTCTCCGAGCCGGCCTTCTCGCCAGTCTTCTCGATCGCTTTTGCCGCTGTCACCTTGGCTCCCTCGTCGGCGGCGGCCTCCTTGGATTCTGACGCAGCCTCCTCGGTCTTTGGTTCCTCCTTGGGAGGCGCCGTGCCACCAATCGAAAGGACCTTAGCCTTGGGCATGGGGGCGTCGCCTCCGATGCTCAGAACCTTGGTACCGCCCTCCTTCTGAACGGTAGGCTTTGGTGCGGATTCGGAAGAAGCAGCGGCAGGGTCGTTCGGTCGCTTGGCGATGGTGGGAGTCTGTCTGGGAGCTTGTGCTTGTTGCTGTTGCGGGGCTTGTTGTCCTTGAAAGCCTTGTCCCTGGTATTGGCCTGAGGTCCAAGTCAGTCAGTAGTCCCGCGAGAAGCTGCGGATTGGTTCAGCAGGCGTACCATATGCTTGGTTGTACTGGCCCTGGCCGTAGACATTGCCGTAACCACCCTGCCCATACTGCGCGTAGCCTTGGCCCTGACCGCCATACTGTGGGTAGTAGCCTTGCTGACCGCCATAGTATCCTTGCTGGTACTGAGGGCCGCCATAGCCTCCTGGAACAAAGGGTTGTCCGGGCTGGAATGCAGCAGCTCCAGGGGAGAAGGTCGCAGCGCCAGGGCGGAAGCCGCCTTGCGATTGGGCCTGGGGCTGGTTGCCCAGGTTCATCTGCTGGGCCTGCTGGGCCAGGTTCTCTTCCTGGGCCGCAGGGTCGTCTTCCCAAGAGTTAAGGTTCGACATAATGGTTGTTGCTGGGTTGTTGCCCGGTGTGGAATACGGCGATACGGCGGAGGGTGGGCGTGGTGTCGGGTGGTGTCTGCGAGGGTATTTCTATGCTCGCAACAGCTTGCCCGGGGAGCCACAAAATGCAGGGGTTGGGTTTGATTCTCCTGGCTGGAAAAGCTGCCCGTTGATCAGGTTTTGGATGGGCAAGCTGTTGGGTATTGCTCTGCCTCTCCTTTCAATATGACTCCTTGGTCTTATTGCTGCCTGACTGCGCCCAGTGTCTGGAACTCTGGGAATTACTGATGGCAGGGAGAGCAGTCGGGTCAAAAGAGCAGCACAGCAGGTAGACTCCGTGAAGGATTTGGTGCATACTCTGGGCGGCGGGGTGAATGATCTGGATGATTTTTGCCCCACCATGACGCCTGGGTGGGCTGGCTTTAGGCTGCTGCCCCTGTGGAGAGTCACACAGTTCCAGGCTAAGGAATGGACACGGTCGAGGCTGTCCAGAAGGCTGAATCCACTTACAGTGCGAATATGCATCCCCACACCTCGCCCTTTCAACGCAGCACAGTTCACTTCGACCAGTCAACCAAAAGACAGTGTCTGCCAGTATTGGTTCCCCGTTCAGGAGAAACTTTGTTTAAGAGCCTTAGTTGTGGCTCCTTCATCAAACAAATTATTCCGTCAGGCTCGTACTGGTGCAAGGCCATGAACCAGCTTGCACTTGCCTCCCAATACGGCCAAGTCGGGTGAGGTATGGTGCGTGGTGGTCCTCGCATAACTCGACCTAACCATGGACGCCCTACTAGGGCGGCTCGGGGCGCAACTAACGAACTATGCCATACGAACTGGCATAACCCTTACATCCACCTATGCCGTTGGGCAGTGCTCGAGACTGCTCAAGACCATCGATGACAGAAGCGTCCGCGCCGAGCTCAAGAGCCTGCAAGACCAGCTCAACGGCAAGGTCAAGATCCTGTCGCCCATCATAGACTTGATAGAGTTTAAGTCAGTCGCATTTGATCCGCGGGAAGATATTCACTAACACATCGCTAGGTCTGGACGGGGCAACGTCTTTCTTGAATCCGCCGTCCCGTTGGCAAAGTCTCTGCACCGCGACATTGTTTCTCTAGGCACTAGACTTGAAAATGCCGCCATCGCAGAAGAGGGCTCTCAGAGGTCAGGGACCAAAGCCAAGACCGCCGAAGCTCACCATGCGGAACTGTTGAGCATCATCCGCGACATCAAGGCGCTGTTGGCACGTATTGACAGAGAGATCCCCTCCCTGCAAATCGCCATCACTGCCTCCGGAGAAACCTTGTCATCGACCATGCCCACGGGCATATCACCGTCACGATTCCTCCAGGCCAGCTTCTTCTTGAACCTCGGGGACACACAGTTTGCCAGTGATCCCTCGCGCCCGGTTCAAATCGGCCCCAACTTCAACCTTTCCCTTTACATGCTCTTCGTGGGACACACCCAGGCCGCCACGCAACCCGGCTCCCGTGGACTTGCAAGACCGGCTACCCCAGACCCATCCCGAGCAGGCTCCCCACAGAAGGATGAGCCGTACGGGTTTGGAGAGGGCGAGAGGAGACCTATTTGGCAGGAGGTCTTGCACAAGGCTCGAGTGCGGCTATGCAGAACCCCGATCCAGTGGAAATTTGACCATAATCAAGGGTACGTCCCCGACGGCTTCTCAATGCCAGGCCAGGAGTCTGGCTACCCAGGAGACGGGGCCTTCGGGCGGCCCGACGAATACGCGTACCATTTCGAGCTCGTGGAGGACTTGAACGATGGTAGAGTGCATGAAGGCGGCGACACCAAGACTCGCCCGTATGACACAATCACTCAAGCAGGAATACGCGAATCGATCCCCATCCATCAGATCTCCCGTATCTTCTACACAGACAGTGGCAGAATTCTCAATATCGGAAACTCTGACGAGGCCGGCAACAACCCTATACTTCTCCTGAAGAGAGAGGTGAACGCTGCAGGTAACATTGAGGTCGAAGAGGAGACTGTGGAAGCTCATCAATTCAACCCGATCAAGGTTATCAGCGCCTCGGGCGGTGATGATGCCGACTATGAACAAGACGAAATCGACCGGCAGTTGCGTGAGGAAACTGGGGTGCCGGACTTGAAAGCCGTGGCGAAGCCACACCCACTAGGCCTGCATTTGCCGCCTCACCTTGATCCCGAATGGCTCGCTTTTGAGGTCTTTTCAGAGGACAGTAACTGCGACTCATCAGACTCGGAAGATGAAGCAGACGAGGACAGCGAGGGCGAGCAGACAGTGCCCACCGTCAAAGCAAAACGACCAGCGGCATCTCACAATCCCTCACTCGATGCGAATTTGATGGCGCAGATCAAGACACTCTCTGTACAATCCCCAACAGGGCTCAACGACATATCCAGCAAGTCAGCATCGAAAGAGTTGGAGAGGCTGGACGCACGGCGGGAAGAGCAATTTGTGGCTAGGTCGCCATTTAGCTCGATCACCTCATCGCTGTCGTTGATGGAAATGCTCATCCGGCTCACGAGCCTTCAAGAGTTTCAGCAGGCGGCGCACCTATCGATACCGGACCACATCCTATCCTTCTTCTTGGAGGAGACGTCGACCACGGGGCTGAAGGGGGAGGAGAGGTGGAGGGTGAGGAACGAGGCGGAACGGCGCGTCGGGTTTGACCCTTACACTGATACCCCTACCAAATAAGAATTAGACTGCTTCCGCGAGAGCGAGACATGAACAAAGAAGTACATGCATGGATGCTAGAGAACCTCATGCGCTGCGGTGTCTGGAAAGGCAGGACCACGGTACCATCTAGTGGCAGGAAAATCATGGCTTCCAACGTTGCCAGTATCCCGATTACATGCAATATTATGTTCAATGGCTTCTACGGAGCGGCGCGGTTCCTCCACTCACAACCAGCCTTACCAGATATCGAACGCACCATGATGGAAAGTTGCTCTAGTTGCAGGGAGGGAGGAGACTAGAGTAGGTTGGGAGCTGTAGTGTCCTCAGAGGAGGCTTGAGAGAAATCAAACAATGCCGTGTGCACCCGTATTTTGGTTACAAAAAATGCAGCATTAACAAAACCCATGGATGGGGGACAAGGCCGAGCGTGTCCTGGCGGTCGTGTTTGACTCGCGCCAGGCTGCAGCACCGCTGTCGCAGCAACCGCCCCACTGCCTTTGTGACTATGTCATCTGTTTACTTTAGAGCCAGGGGTCCCGCAAAGTCGCCCCTCACCTGCAACCTGCAGCACTCTAGACACGAACACGCGTTCCTGCATTGACCGTGTTAATACGTTGCAGCAGTTGGAAATTTCTTTGATTCTCGTTTTAAGGAATGCAGACCACCGTCGCACATTTCAAGTCTTGAACCACCCTCCTATCCCTCTTAGATTTTCGCTCCAGTACAGCCCCGGTCAAAAAAAGGCACAGCCAGCCGTGAACGAGGCAGACCAAAGCCAACTGTTTCTGGAGCGCCGGGCGACCCGCGACAAATTGAAACACGCACTCTTCACCTCCGAATGAAGAGGCACCCCCGCCTGAATCACCGGACACCGCTGCCATGGCGCGCCTGACGCGAGCCGAGTCCTCTGATGAGGATGACTATCTCGATAACATCAACTCACAGGTTGCGAACAAGTCCCTGCACAACGCTGCCTCGCCTGCCTCAGGCACCCCATCACGCCCGGGCAACCCTCCAAGCGACAACGTCGTCGACCTCACGAACAGCCCCGAGCCTGCGCGCGGCTACAAATCGTTGAACTCTCTGGGTTTTGGGCACTCGGATAAGCCCGTGTTTGGGAAGCCAGGAAAGCTCATGTCCAGCCTTAAGCAGAAGGCAGCCGGCGCTTCCCACATGTTTATCCAGCCCAGGAATCGACCAGAACTACACAGGGACCAGAAGGTGCCGCCACCTCGCAATCCCGCCGAGACGAAGCCACCGACATTCAGCTCTCTAGGTCCCGAGGCGTATCCCCCCGAGTACGTCCAGTCGTCTTACTATAGGGGAGCCCCGAGCGATGCTGCCTTCGAGGACAACACCTTCTATACCGACCCTACCAAGGCGAACGAGGACCTGAAGGCTCTGCTGGAGGGCGGGCTCGAAGACGATGAGGAGGAAGAGAACAAGGGCGACTTGGACGACGGCACACTGGAGGGAATCAAGGTTAAGCTCCTCCCGCATCAGGTTGAGGGAGTCAAGTGGATGAAGGGCCGAGAGCTGGGCCCTGTCAAGCGCGGGAAGGTGCCCAAGGGTGGCATTCTAGCGGATGTAAGTCTTCATACTGCCGTATTAGTTGATTCCCATGCTTAAACATCATCTGCAGGATATGGGCTTGGGAAAGACTCTGCAGTCCATCTCGCTCATCCTCAGCAACCCCAGGCCGGATAGGGAGCATCCAGACTGGAAGAAGAGCCTGAATGGTGTTGAGCGGGGCACGCTCGTGGTTGCGCCCCTGGCACTGATTCGACAGTGGGAGGCAGAGATCCAAGAGAAGGTGACGAAGTCGCATCGCCTCAGCGTCTGCGTTCACCATGGACCAAACCGTACAAAGCGGTTTCAAGACCTCGCTAATTACGACGTCGTAATCACCACTTACCAGATCCTGGTCTCTGAATTCAACTACACGTCGGAGACGGTAAAGGCAGGGTGCTTCGGCCTGCACTGGTACCGCGTGATTCTAGATGAGGCCCATACCATCAAGAACCGCAATGCCAAGGGCACGAAGGCATGTTGTGCCCTGCGCTCCGAGTTCCGCTGGTGTTTGACCGGCACACCTATGCAGAACAACCTAGATGAGCTGCAGAGCTTGGTCAACTTCCTGCGCATACAGCCTTACGACAACCTCCAGCACTGGCGAGAGAACATAGACAAGCCCATGAAGAACGGAAAGGGTCATCTCGCGATTCGCCGGCTGCATGCTCTCTTGCGATCCTTCATGAAGCGCCGGACCAAGGACATCCTCAAGGAAGAGGGCGCTTTGCTGCCAGGTGGGAAGAAGGCTCTTGAGGAAGCCGCCAGGAACGGATCAGGCGAGGCGCCTGAATCAAAGTTCAAGATCACAGAGCGCAAGGTCGTGGCGGTCTCGACAGAGTTTTCTGCATCTGAGCGGAGGTTCTACAACAAGCTGGAGGAGCGTGCCGACAAGAGTCTCGAGGCCATGATGAAGCAAAAGGTCAGCTACGCCAACGCTCTGGTGCTGCTGCTACGGCTCAGGCAAGCTTGCAACCACCCCAGCCTTGTGGGAAGCAAGTTGGACAAAGACAAGGATGCCCTCTCGACCGATACCTCTAACCAGAAAAACGCGGACACAAGCGTCGATGACCTGGCGGATGCTCTGGGCGGCATGGGAATCCAGGCGAAGAAGTGTGAGCTGTGCATGATCGACCTGCCTCGCGATGTCTCTGCACGCGGTGAAGTCCACTGCGAGGAGTGCTTGGCGAACATGGACGAAGTCAACGCTGATTTCACGGGCGCCAACAAGACCAAGAAGAAGGCCAAGAAGTCCAAGAAGCACAGGAGCAAAGCCGACGACAGCAAGCGCAAACCACGCAGGCGAAACGTGGTCGTTGATAGTGACGACTCGGACGAGGAGGGAAGCTGGCTCGTGGGCGAGGACCAGCGAGGTTCGTTGCGTCTAGGCAAGGCTGGTGGCACTGATGATGAGAATGCTGAAGGGGCGGGCGAAGATATTGGGTCGGATGACTCGTTGCACCACTCCGAATCCGAGGCCGGCAGCCGACTCGATAGCTTCGTTGTTGACGACGAGGTCGCCACTCAAACCACCTATGATGATGGCTCTGATGACGACAGCCTTGTGTCCCTCGATAAGTTCGGGTCGCAGCCTGTCAAGCCGAAGAAACAGCGGAAGCCGGTGACCAGAGTGGAGTCCGAATCCGAGTCCGAATCTCAAAGCGATTCTGATGAGGAGGATTCAGGCGTCTCGGAATCCGAACTTGAGAAGACGGAGATCCTTTACACGCCTCACAAAGCGGCCAAGGGCAAGTCCCATCTCATGAACTCGTCCAAGATCCGTGAGATCGTCAAGATCCTGCACGAGGAGGCCCACGAGCACAAGTTCATCGTCTTCTCCCAGTTCACATCCATGCTGGACCTTGTGGAGCCGTACCTGCGCAAGGAAGGCCTCAAGTTTGTTCGGTACGACGGCGGTATGAAGAACGACGCCCGCGAGGAGAGCCTGTACAGGCTGCGCAACGACAAGAACACGCGGATCCTGCTGTGCAGTCTGAAGTGTGGGTCGCTGGGGCTGAACCTGACAGCTGCTACGCGGGTCATCATCATCGAGCCGTTCTGGAACCCTGTGAGTGACCCTAGCCCCTCCACTTTTTTCTTTTCCCGTACAGAAGGCTGACACTGACCCCTACCTAGTTCGTCGAGGAACAAGCCATAGACCGCGTGCACCGCCTCACGCAGACGGTGGACGTCATCGTGTACAAGCTGACGGTCAAGGGCACGGTCGAGGAGCGCATCCTCGAGCTGCAGGAGAAGAAGCGCCTCCTCGCCATGCACGCCATCGAGGGCGGCATGAAGAAGAACAAGGACTCGCTCAAGCTGTCCCTGCAGGACCTCCTCAACCTCTTCAAGCCCCGCAGCGACGGTGGCGACAACAACAACGCCCACGGCGGCCCAGGAGAAGATGACGACGCGCTGAACGGGCTGGCGGACTTTAGGAGCAAGAAGCCGACCGCGCCCAAGAAAGCGCCCAGGAGGGAAGATGATGTCTACGGGCGCCGGTGGTGAGCGGTGGCCAATGACGGTGTTCTTTTGGCCCGCTGGCTCTCTGGGGGCGGCTGATTCTGTCATGAGGGATGAATGAGTTGATGATGTGCTATGTTAGACAATAATACCCAGGCTGGCGGGCGACGGGTGTCACCAGTGATTTTGTCCCACTCGACTGCCAGCATACGGACTACGGCGGCGTCGGCGTTAGGTACTTCTGAAGTCGCGTTTGGCTGTCTTCCGGTACTAGATATACACCATAGAACACGGCCTGGAATATGCGCATTTCTTTCCATGACACCTGGTTGTGGTCGATCAATTGAATCCCACGCGTCTAGGCCGGAGCGGTCACCTGTGTTGATGAACTGCCTGCCAGAGGAACCTCATGCCGGGTATCTCAGTATTACACGGAAACAATCATGTATTGATGAGACGCGTGAGCATGCCATGTACTGGTTAATATTGATTTCTAACGCCAATGCCGGTTGCAAATTGTTGCATCACGATTTATCGATGCAAGACCACCGTGAATGCCCATTGGCAGTTATCACACACACAACTATCCTCACCATATGTTCCTTTCAACCAGGCCCCCCCCCCCTACCCCCAACACATATCCTGGGGTACAATCCCATAGTCAAGGCTGACGTCAAATTCACCAACGACCCCGAGCCGCTTGTTCAAATCTCTCTCAAATCCCGCCCTTCGAGAGCATACTCAAACTAATAAGCATTCGACGGAGGGACATAAGGCTTGTAATGCGACTGCCCTCCCGAGGCGCGCCTCGCGTCGTACGCGGGCCCGCTCGGCTGCAACGGCGGTGGTGCGCCAGGCATCAGACTACCGGGCACACCGGGTGCGGAAGGGGCCGAAGGGGCGGACGGAGCGGATGGCGCGGTGTATGAAGGCTCGCTCGGTGCTGACGGTCCATCATCTGGCGAATAAGCAGAGGAGGTATAGGTGGCTGCGGATTGAGGGTTGTGTGATGCGATGGGGGAGTCGTAGACGGATGTGGCCAGCTCCTGCGGGTTGCTGGGACCTGAGCCCGGTCCGTATGTGCTCTGTGGTCGCTGATGGTCTTGTGGTGGTGGTTGTGAGCCTGGTATAGGTGGGCGGGAGTAAGGGACATATTGGTTCGCCGGTGGCGGCGACGTGTTTGTCCTGCGATTTCGTCGTCAGTATTCGATCATTTGTTGCTAGATGAATGAGTTTGTCATCCAAAGGACAAAAGGAGCGTGATCAACATGCGGAGGGTATCAGACACGGCGTTACCCAGGCCTGAGGAAGTTCTCAGAATTTCATGTGAGACTGAGTAAAACATTGCGATGTCCTTACTGGATAGGCGGGACGTCAGGCTGTTTCCCAGCAGAGGGAACGCGCTGGCCCTGATTCTGAGGCGGATACTGATGCTGGTTCGCCGTAGACGGCACCTCTGCACCAGCCATATAGAAGGGTGCCGGTGTGGCGCTTGGTCTCTGGAACGCAGGAGATGGGGTGGACTGAGGATGCTGTTGAGGAGGGTATGCTTGGTATTGATGCGGTTGTTGTTGATCTGCAGCGTTATTCGTCAGGAGCGACACTTATACATACATCCTATGACACTATGGAGATCTAACCTTGTGCGGGGGCGGGAGTGTAGAATCTCTGAGGATCTTGTGAAGGTTGTTGTTGTTGAGGGTAGCCTGGACCTGGGCCTGGGGGTGCACCGTAGCCTTGGGGCTCTTGCTGCGGTGGAGGGCCTTGCCCTGGATAACCTCCTGGGCCTGGAGGACCTCCATATCCCTGGGGTATTGCTGGTCGCATGGCGTACTGCGTGTAGTTGGACTGTGGTGGATGTGACATGGAGGATTCGAGTAAAGCTTCATAGTCCCTGCGTGCCTTGATGAATTTCTCGTTCAGTTGAGTGAAGTCATCTGTGACGCATGTTAGCCTGGATACCCCCTTCCTTCGCCTCTGGATGCGCGTGAGACTCACCCTTCTTCTGTGAGTACTTCTCGATCAACTTGATCAGCTTGGGCCGAATGGCCAACGTCTGGTGGTACAACTTCGAGATCTCCTCGTTGTCCTCTTCCCGCGGCGCACTGTTCGTGCTCAGCAGCGTTAAAAGCTTCTCGACGTTCTTGATCTCAGCAAAGACCTCGGCCTCCATCTGCGCCTCGCGCTGCAACTCATCAGGCGTGGGGTCCGTCAACTTCTCGACATAGTTCAGGGGGAAGATTCCCGTCTTGCCCTTCAACGAGCCCCGCCACCAGTCCTTGTACACGCTCTCCAGGACTGCAATGACATCGCCCCTCTTGAACTCCAGCTCGCCGGGCTCTGACGGCACGAAGTCGTACAGAGCGCGCACGCGACTCACCGTCGCCGCGGTAGTCCCCGAAGGCATGGGCTGTAAGGGCGCAGCAGGGGCAGCCTCCTGGGGACCCGTGCTGCTGCTTGGGCCGGCGGGGGCTGGTTGCTGGGCTGACTTCTTCCTGTCCTCCTCCTGCAGGCTCAGCTTCAGGGCGATCTGGAGCTCCTCCTCCTCCTTCTGGCGGTCGACGTCGGTCAGGCTGTTCTTCTGCGGCGCGGAAGGCGGTTGTAGCTGGGGGTTGGACTGCTTGAGGCGGAAGTAGGCGTCGTACATGATGCCCAGGTCGGCGTCCTTGCTGAACATGTCGGACCACTCTTTCATCCTCTCGAGGATCTTGGCCTTTACCTGGTTGTGGGTGTTGCGGTCGTTGGCCAGCTTAAGTAGGGCATCCGTAAATGCGCGGCTGGCCAGCTCGCGGTGCATGGGCTTCCCGCAGTTCTGGCTCAGGGCGTTGGCGACCTGTGGTGGAGAAGGGGAGACGTCAGCTTGTGCGGCGCACGGGAGGAGGCCAATCTCTGCAAACGAGGGACTACTCCATTCAGGCAGGAGAACCGCGGATAACCCACCTCGAGGGTATAGAGTTGCACGTTGGCGTTGCGGTGGGCCAGGCGCTTGATCAGGGCCTGGACTGCCTGCTGAGAGCCGTTGGCGTCGCCGGACACGCGATCGCAAACCTCCATGATGGAGCCCCAGTCCTCGGAGGTGAGGTTCTCGTCCGTCGCCTTGGCTACACATTGCAAGTTGGGAGTCAGCGATGATGCGTGTTGGATCAACAGCCCACTTGGCTGTGGGCTCGACCTGACGTACCGACGGCCTCATCATAGGGCCCCGGAGCTGCTGCGCGGAACATGGTTGCAGCTTGCTCTGTAGCCGAGGGAGCTCTGGACGGGCGGAGTCGAGTCGTGCTGGGCGATTTGGCCTGACGGCTGATGAGATGCGGTTTTGTTTTTGGTGATGGTATCTGCGTCGGATCGTTCGCCGTCGGTGAGGAAGTAAAGTTGAGCTGCTGAGCTGCGCAGGGTAGGGTGGTGGGGGCAGGAGGGAAGGTCACGAGCAAGAGACAAGATGGGAGGAGTGGCAGCCTGAGCCGACTGGACGGTACCTATGAGAGGTGATGTCGGAGGCGATGACGAAGTCACGGTAACTAACCCGCCAGGTATGCGAGGTAAGTACTCCGGTACAGTAAGCCGAACCAGGGGGACACCCCAGGTGGAACTGCAGCACTGAGGTAACCCTGGCACCCACTGCTTGCCTAGGTAAGTCTATTTATTCTTAGGCAGGGCTTGAACCGCATGTGTCAAACCGCTGCCCGCTGCTGCCCCAATTCTTGGGTGGGGATCCTTCTTATTACAGTGGTGCAGTGTCAGTGGCGTCTCTTACACGCAACGCAGCCTCCCGCAAGCCAATCCGCCCGTCCCCCTCCACTCTTGTTAATTTTCCGGGATCCTCTCAACCAGCTGCATCGCTCTCGCATTGCGTACGTACCCAGCTTGCGCCACAATGGCGCACCTCAAAAAAGGCACCCTCCGACAATCTGTGAATGAATCAGTCCCGTCTTCACGCCCGATCCACCACGGAGAATTGTTACTGTAGTGTCGTTGGGCGATCCGTTGGGCACATAGTCAGTGTCGCAGGATTCAAGCGAGCAAGCAGCCTTGCCACGCCGGGCTGTGCTGGCTGTAGAAAGTTATCACGCATTGTATTGTATTCTGGCACCTCGTCTTACCCTTCGATATGCTCTGCTGCGTAGCTATCACGAATTGACACCTGCACGAGAACCTCCATCCATATGTCTTTGGGCAGTTACATGTTGAGAATTGATGTCCTCTATGTCTATGTGCAATCCATGTGCTCCTCCGCAATGATGAGGCTGCCCACTATGTGCATCTGTGCCTCAGCTCGCCCAGTTCCAACAGGCCGGCCGAGGCCTGCGTGATTCTGTATCATCCTGTGCTGTTTGTTGTGTCCGTGTGTCCGGGACACGTCGTGCGCATGCAACTCTGTAAACCCGTGCTGGAGCGTTCGTCGCTCCCATCGACAAGGGCATCGCCGGCCACTCTGTCCCAATCCAAGTAACGCCTTGGTAAAGCAACTCTGCTTCTGCTGAACCATCCAACCCTCCCAGGCTGCAGGTCTGAGCTCCCCGGGCACCTGCAAAAAGAAAACGATCATGTGCAGTCTGATATCGAGAAGAAAAAACAGTGCAATCCTTATGACGACTCCTCGACTCCTGTGTGCGCCCAGCACTTGCTTGCCCAAATGGTCTGCCCTTTGGCTAGTCCCCAATTCATGGTCTGTGTCCAAAACAGAACTCAACATCTTTCTTACCACCCTCGTTTCGAGACTCCTCGCGGCTCATACCGGTCATTCGAACTGCTGCCGACACTGCCTCCCCCACGGCCTTCTTCCAGGCTTCGACGCCCCATCTCGCTCACCTGCATGTCGAACACAAGTGGCTCCTCATCGGCGTCGTTGTCCCCACGCCCCGCGCCATACCGCCCGCTCGTACTGCCCGCAAAACTGCCCCTGGAGGATTGTGGCGGCGTCGGCCGACCGCGCGTGCTCGTGTAGCGAAGACGGCCCGGCGAGCTCGCAGAATTGCCAGCAAGGAGACCTCCCGGTGGGTTCCTCTCGTCCGCCAGGCTTGGCGACCCGCCTGCCGCAGTAGTCCGTATAGTTGCAGCGGGCTGGAGTCCCGTGGCGTCATCCGTCGAGTCACCCCGCTCCATGCCGAACAGAGTACTGGCAGTTGGTGGGTCCCGTTCGGCCCCGAGACTGATGCTCCGGTGTCCTCCAAACGCCAGCTCTGCCTCCTCATCCTCAGCCATGGCCCGGTGTTGCTGTGCGACCGAGCTTGATCGTCGGTTGGTCTGCAGGATTCTAGGTGACAGGGGAAGAGGAATATCGATCGCCGTGGTGCCCTCGGGGCTGAGCGCAGCGTCAGTCGCTGATTCTTCTTCTGTTGACGCAAATCGAGGAGCCACACGCGCGCCTCTCTCATCAACTTGACCCTGGGCTTGTGCTTCGTAGTTGATGATTGAATTCTCACTGAGCCGCGACGGAATGGCCGGCGTGTGTGGAGTGTGTGGGGAAAGCGGTTTTCCAGGCGATGAGGACACCGACATTGAAGTTCCTGGTGCCACCATTCCCGGTACACTTGTCAACTGACGGCTGGACGAGCTCGATGATCGTTGCAGTTGCACCGAGGAGGCCATCGACTCCGTGAGGGCGTTATTTGAGTCGCGCATGTGCTGGAACTTCGAAAGCTGTGCCACTGTTCGCTTGGTAGCCGACTCGCCCTTCCTTCCAGGCTCGAGGCTCGGAAGCGTCTTCTTGCTATCCAGGACCTTGAGGAACTCGGAAATGTTATCATCATCAGCATTCAACGAACCTGAACTGGTCTGACCGCCAGCCTCAGCTAACAAGCCAGATCCAGGTTGAGCGATTGAAGACGAAAGACTCTGCCGTCCACTACTGGCTTGGTCGTCATCGACTCCTCTGCTTTGGCCGCCGAACGACAGCCTCCCCCTGCGATGACTGAAGCTGCTGCTGATTCGACCGCTGGACGGCCTGGGAGATGAGCTCACGGGTATCTCACCAGGGGGCGGACCACCTCGGAGGGAAGCTGGCATACCAGCTGTTAGCGAGTTACGATTTCGAGCTTGTGCGAGTGCACTCGGCCCCGACTGCCTCTGGCCGGAGAGAGGCGAGGCGGATATGTCCCCATCCTGGATCCTAGGGGAGCCTGACAGAGAACCTGCCTTGAAAGGCTGGAATGAGACTGAAGTGCGCCTTCCGGAAGTCTCCCTACCACGGACCGAAGGACGAATTGGCAGAGAATGACGTGGCTCTTCCACGCTTGCCGGAACTGAACCGGAAGGAGAGCTGGTTTCCGACCCCATGGGCTTTACAGCCTTAAGAGCCGATATGGGGCTGGTGCCCAGGGCGCCGGCTCCATGAAATGTGGAAAGGCTGCCGTATGTCTGTTGAGCATCCGAAGAGCCTCTTCCGTGTCGCCCAGAGGGCAAAGAGCCCACCTCAGCCGAAGATTCTCGACGGCTGGGCTCCCTGCCCTGGGGTATTGACGGCTTGAAGAAGTTCTCATCTACCCCCATAAAGCGGGAACTCAGGAGCGACTCCGCGTCATCGACCCGAAAATGGCAGTCATTGCGGTATGCGACCGAGGCGTAGAACCGGCCTACGGGCACTTCCAAGTCTCCCAGCATGTAGTCGGTCACCACGTCGCGGCCGTCGCCGAGCGGTTGCCGAAGCGCGTCATGCCCACCAGACCCGGTCTCGCCCGTCAAGACGCGACACTTGACTTCTAGGGCCGGCTGAGGCTTCCTCGTCATGTTTTGCTGGGAGAATTTGTACGAGGGTATTATTCGACTGGCCGTGAACAGCGCCCGGAAGAATATTATGCACTTCTTGTAAATGGTCGGCAGTGTCGGTCCGAAATCCTCGACGTCTTCGATCGGTGCAGGCTTCAGTTCGAAACGCCACCGCTCCAGTATGACTTCAGTGTGTCGCCTTCTCGAGGTCGGGCTGTCATCGCTGGTTTCCGAAGAATTCAGGGCTTCGAGCACATCCCATCTCTTACCATTATCGTCAACCACGACCAGGCATTGGCTTGGTGACAGGCGAGAGGCATCCAAGTATGTCTCAATCACCATTGCTGGGAAAGGGGTTTCGAAGGCGCTGCAATTCTTCCACAAGCGGAAATCGTTTCGAAATTCGTCGATCTCGTCAGTTTCTAGTGAGAACTTGTGGTTATGGTCAGAAGCCGCCTGCATAATTCATGTCGTCTGTGGACATACCCATTTGTTGGTCTTGCCTGCCCCCAAGGGCGTTGTCTTGATGCGCGCCTGGGCAACGAGTACGGCAGCCTTGAGAAACAGATTCTAGAGCGCGTCAGCTCGTACGGACTCCAGAAATAGGGCACTCCGGCTACGCACCTGGACGATTGAATCCAGCTTCTTGATGGATTCGGGACTCGGCCCCTTGAGCTCGAATTCTCCGCTTCCAACAGAGCTAGAAGGTCCTGGCCGGGGTGACTCCGGCGAGGCCCTGGCCTGAGCTCCTATGCCTTCTCTGGGATTATTTGATCTTGTGGGATTTGTTTGAGGTGAGGAGGCAGGAGATGCCGTCCTCGGCGGATGTCTAGGGTGCTGATGCATGTTGAGGGTAGTTTCGGTATTTGAGTTTCACGTGGTACGTTGGCTTGTCGGTCCAGTAGTAGGGTGGGTTCAATGGGAAATGATGCTAGTGGCTTGCAGTATGCTTGATGCAAGGCTGAGGGCTGACGAGAAACGATGGTGGTGGTGAGGCGGCTGCCGGATGAGGGTGTCGTGGAGTGAACGGGGATGCTGAGTATCTACTCTCGATTCCAGCGCACATCGGCATCCATTGTTACACTTTGGCAGGAGGGACTTGTGAAGAGACCATGAGGCAGACTCGTGAACTCTCGCACGCAGAGCTAGGCAGGCTGTGGGTGGAGGTGGGAGCTCCAAGGCTGGTTGGCTCGAGAGAACAGGCACCGACGCGCACCAATTGCTCAATTCAGGGGTGACAGCTGCAGTTGCCGTCACGGTTGAATTCTGTGGCTGGCCGCGATCTAGAAAGCCGCAGCCATGGTGGATATGCACCTATGCTCGGGCAGACAGACTGGTGATGGGTGTGGGTGTTGAGAGCCGGATATGCAGTCCAGGAGGCGGACGGACAGGACGACGGCCAAGGTCACAAAAGGAAGGCCTGTAGAGCCGGATGGAGGTCGAGCAGATGCTCGGTGTGCATAGATGCAGAAGAGAACCGACGTTACGAGGGTGGACCTATGACCGGGATCGATCTGCGATGACTGAGAATATGCAGTCGAAGTCATGGGTGTTGAAGCATGCCTCGTGATCCTGGCCGCTCTGTCGTCATCCGGTGCCGAGGAAGCTACTTGACTAGAGAGTCTGTTGTTGCGAGGGCGGCCGCCCAGCTGTGCAAGCCAGTGCAGGGGCCCGGGACCAAGACGGGACAGATGTCTGGCTCTGCTGGCTGTCTGGAGACGCAGAAGACAGAACAGACGGAAGAGAAGGGCAGGTATCCAAAGGCAAAGATAGCCAAGGAACGGGCAGTTGGGAGAAGATAGGAGGCCCGGCCTGATGGAGTGAGCGAGTGTGCGAATGACTGGACTGGGTGTGACTGATGCGAGGAAGGATGATGGGTATTGGTGTGGTGTCAACCGAGCGGGATGTGGAGCAATGCGTCTGTGCAGTCCGGCCAGCAGCAGCAGCCCAATCTGCCAAGCAGCAAGTGGACTACCTAGGTACAACGGGCCTGGCAGCCTCACTCTCTGTAGAGATCACTCGCATCCGGCATGTGCACTGAGCTGAAACAGAATACTGTGTGCCTGAATGTATGCTACGGTCTTGTTCTCCAGTGCAAGACGCCATTGTGCTCCACAGTCGGGTGTCTGTTGGATGAACAAAGCATTTCCTGCTCACCTAGATCTTGAATTCATGCGGCACCTGACCGCTGCTCAACAGTCACCTCTACTTCGGACTGCCTAGATGGGAAGTGCAGCAAGTAGGCTCTTGTGTGGGAGGGATACCATCTCCTGCCTGGGTATGCTCTCATGCACAGGTCTGAATCATTCCATATGGATATATCATCATCATACATGCAGTAGTGATTATACCCACCGCTCTCTTGATTGCTCAACCATAACACCACCACCCTCACTGAATCATTCCCGAGGTCCGTCCCTGAGCACAGTACGACAGCCAAGCTCATCCGTGATCAGCGACAGAAGATAGATAAGAGATAAGATAAGAAACGGTTTACTGGCACTGCATTGGACGTCATGATCTAAGTCGTACAGCACCAACCCAGGCATGGTTGGCAGCATCTGGCTGTGCTACACCAACTTCATCAACAGCGCACAATACCTTCTCTGCATCTGCATTGCTTGCGTTATCATCTAGTCTACTCTAGTCTCCTGGCTCATCTGGCTTCTGCATCCTCCGGTGTTGCAGCCGTCTGACCTCGCGGCACAGCCCAATTCTGGGCCGTCTACCTCTGCAAGGAGTGGACAATCCCGTCGTCGGTGTTTGCCGTCCCTGATCCAACTGCAACACACCTCGCACCATTCACCCGTCTCTTTAGCTCCGGTCATTCGGAAGTTTTTCGCGAACTCTACCAGGTAGGACTATTGGATCGAGGTTGTTTTGCCTGGATGTTTTGTCCCGGGGTCTCCACCACGTGTACTCCTAGGTCCGGTTCCCTGACATTGTCTTCCCGTTCCTATGTGAATCTCGAACTGAACAAAGATACCTGAGATAGAGATACCTTAGGAAATAATGGGAGGAGTTTTTAATAAACACCAAGTTAGAAGCGCTTTGCTGCCCACTTCCTGTCAGTAACTATGTCACAATACGATCTATACGTGTGGAACAACGGTCAAAGCAGGCCTTGTGCTACGCAGTCACATGGAATTCTCGAATCAATGTCTCTCACGTCTAGTCACAACAGCTAGAACGACATAAATTTAGGAAACAACATCGAGGAGAGTGTCAGAAAGAACAGATTCCATGTTGAGCTTTCCCGCTCTGTTCAATGGTCTGCCGGATCTATAGATTGTGTCAAGATAATGTTGATACAACAGGCAAAAGCCTAGGATACTCAACTCATATCTCATCAGTCGCAATAACTCGCCAGAGAATATGAGCACCCGTCGTACTCTTGTGAAGGGGTAGTCCCAAAGAGGTCCGGTGGCTGCATCGTATTGAAAGTGGGGGGTATATACAGCTCGAGCTCGCGAGATCATCATATGAACGGATACAGTAACTTGTAAGACAAGCATCAAGGGCTGTCCCGTATTTCTTGAGGAAGTTGACCATTGCTGGGGAAGCTTGTCTACACAGACCATCCTACCATAGCATCAGTCGATTTGATTGAAGTTCTTTCGCCGAGCCACACGGTGTTATCCAGGGCGTCGTTCAAGGAGAAATCCTACAGTATTCCTCCACCAACAAGTTGATGGCCCAAAGAAGCAGAGTTCTCCCACAAACAGAACCCACAAGACATCCCATAGTAAAATTGGCAGGATATAACACACCATCTTCATGTCTTCTTATTCTACGGGCTCGATCTGGGAATATGTACCACGAAGCAAAAAACGCAACCACATCGCAGAATCGATCTCGAAATGGTACGTCGATCTAATTAATCCATGCAGAATGATCGCGTGACTTCAAGCTTTACATTGCAGCATTTGAATTGCGTCCCTCGGCCCCTTCTCGGCTCCCGGTGCTGGCAACAGCCCACAGCCGGTAGCACTCGCCCAATTTTTCCTGCGGCTTGGCCGTGCGTCAAGTCGAGGCCTTCGCAGCACCACCACGACCCCTGCCGCGCCTGTTGCCCCGGCCTCCTCGCCCCTGGTCCTGGTTCTGTTGTCTCGCCGCCTCGCCCTCGGCAGCCGCAGTGATGGCCGTGTCGGCGCTGGGGCCAGGGTTGACACCGCTGGCCCCGCCCCCTCTGCCGCCTCTGGGCTTCCCGCTCCGGCCTCGTCTGCCTTTGCTGCTTCTCCCTTCCTCCCGCTCCTTCTCTCTGGTTGACCTCCTCGCCTCTTCCTCCTGCGTCCGCCGTGACTCCTCCTCCCACCACTCTTGGAACGCCTGCTCCTGCTGGATCTCCATCAGGCTGCGCTTGGCAACTGCCTCCTTCACGCTTTCCAGATTACGCCTCTCCTGATCGATGATATCGGACATGCTCAGCCCTATGATCGGCTCTGACTTCGTTGCTGGTTTGATGTACGATTTGGAGTGCGGAACCACAGGCTTGCTGGACATGTCGGCCGAGAAGGTGGAGGTAGAAGTAGTCCTTGGTGGTGGGCGGACAGGTGGTGTTGCTGCCGGTGTCCGCGACTGGCCAGAGTGCCGTGTATCTGGAGACTGAGTCCGTCGTGGAATAGACTTCCCTGACGCTTCTGCCGCCAAAAGGGGCTTCGTGTTTGGCGGAGCTGACCTTGGCGCATCTGCACGAATATCCTGAGAAGGGGTTTTAGACTCACTAGACACTGCCTTCCATGGCGGTGACTTGAGGTCTGTGGTTGGTTTTTCCCATGCAGTCTTGTCCGAAAGCGCTTGGGCGAACTGAGCCGCCTGCTCTGCTTGAAGCTGCTGCTGCCGCTTTCGCTCCTTTTGTGACAACTTCGTCTGTGAAGGCTTGGCCGAGGCTTCTTTCGCTTTTTGTGCAGCCAACCCCGCAGACAAAGCAGAACGGGCAGGCGGTGTCTCATTCATGATTTCTCGCAGGTCAAGCTTAGCAGTTGGCAACTTTGAAGAAGCCCACGGGTTGCCTGACTTGAGAGACGTGGCCGAAGGCTGGTCAGTCACGGAAGTCGAGCTTAGTCCAAGCCCTGCTGGCGAAGAGCCCAAGGGCGAGTGTCGGACGGGTTTCGACTGCTGACCGCGGAAGGACTCGCTCAGCGGAGGGATTTGGTCGAGTTCGACTTTCTTCCTTGGATTTATCGCCCTCTCAGGCCGCATGGATGGACTCTCTAGCGGGCCTTCATCCTCATCCATATCGAACATCAGGTCAGCCTGGCCAGCTTTCGGGCGTAGGTTAGGGCTAAAGGGCTCATTTCTTCTCGCCGCCCCTTTGCCCTTGGACCTATCCAGAGAAGGAGACGCGGGGTGAAGGTCTTCGAGGCTGCCAAATTTGCCCTTGAGCGAGGAGGAAAGCTTCTTCTCATCCTCCTTTTGGCTAGCCTTGAAGGCCATTTCCTTCACCCTGCGTTGCCTTTCCTCATCTATGTCCTGTGCCAGGTTCGGATATTGCTCGTGAAGCAGGAGTGTTGCCCGACCGCTCCTTGCGAAAGGGTAACGAGCAAGCTGATTGCCTCTGACCACTTCGTCCAGGTCAAGTAATAGCTCCTCGTCGAGCTCGGCTAGAAGGTTATTCTCGAGCATGTTTTCCAACTGAAGAGTGATATATTCCAGGCCGGCGTCTTTGAATTCGGTAACGGAACATGGACTGATGGCGTTCAGGAAATGTGCGATGTTGCGCGTGTTGATAAACCGAGACAAGACCTGCTGGCAAATTTGCGACAGGCGGTCAAGCATAAGCTCATTGGCGACGGAAAGAACGTCCATTACCAAGTCCGTAAATTCGTCCAGATTGTCAGCCACCACTCCGTCGAACATTCGGTCCCCTGTGTCAGAGTAAAGATAGCTCAGAACAAATTTGAAAGTCTCTGGATCGATGTGCTTCAGATCGACGGGTATCCTTTCTGAAGGCCCCTGGGCATCACGGCGGCTTGCTAGCCACATACCCTGGGAGCGTCCGTAGAACAGTCCCTCGAAGAACGGGCACCTCTGACACAACAAGCCGCTATGAACTAGCAATTCATCGCCGTCGAGCTCCAAAACCGCGTCGGCGTCCTCGAAAAACTGTGGATCCCCCAGGGCTGATCGCAAATCCTCATCTAGTTGTCTTTGAGGGTCGACTTGCTTCTGGGCTGCGGCTTCCAGCTTTCCCAGCTCCAGGTTGTTCGCTGTCCTGACGACTTCAGCTCGGATTTGGCGATACCTATAGGCCAGTGACGGATCGTGGCGAGTGTAATTCCATGCCGGAATGACACGATCTTCGTACATGTAGACAACCAGATTTAATAGTGAAATGATGTCAATCCCAGCAAAGGTCACGACAATTTTTTCGTCATGGGTTTCAATGATGAACACATCAGAAGGTTTGTAAGTGCCAATGGTTCGAAAGGACCATAAAGCTTGACGGAGAGTAGGGCTCCTGGCGGATAGTAACCAGCTGTGAACTGGGACTTGGAGCTCTGGAAGAGACGAGGAGCGGATGACAGTGTCCAGAGCAGACTACGAGAGATTAGATAATGTACCCAAGCGTTTTCCAAAACGGAGTGTAAATGCAAAGCACGTGAATATGTGGAAAGATTATGAGACGCAACGCAGGGAAATGGTGCTAGAGGTGCAGAACAGGGGGGCGGATATCTTCACCTGGTGTCGAAGTAATCTAAAACAGTCGAAATGTAATGTGCGTTGAGATGCGTACTCGGCGAAAATTGGAGGAACATCAACCAGTCTGCCACATACCTGTGAAGATTCGTTCCCGGCACGCCACGACAGCAAGTAGTGCTGAAGGTCCGTTTCGAGGTTGGGGGATTTCAGCACTTCATACGCGACGGCCCCCAGTCTCTGCTGAAGCGTACCGGCATCCCAGGTTTTGATGATGGCCTTTCCTTTCGGGCCTGGGTCGGACGATTTGAAGTCCCGGAGACAATTGAGCGGCGCGATGTCGTCCCAGAGGGTCTGACGACCAACGGTGACTTGCTCGCGCATGACTTCAGAGTCTTTTCGAACGGCAGCAAAGGCTCCGAAGACAGAGCTCCGTACAGTGACGATGTTGGTGATGCTAGGGACACGCTGGAATTTGAAATCCTTGCGTTTGGCTTCACTGGAACCAGCCACGTGAGTGTCTTTCGCTTTGGCCCGGAGGATACGCCGCCACACTGCCCCTGTTTGCGTGCTGATTATGACTGAACCATGCTCGCCAACGTCGACGGACCTTACCCCGTCCTTGTGAGCGTTCCAGATGCAGATTGGCTGGCTGACAGCACCTTTGATTTTTGAAGGGTTGGTAGTGGACATCGACAATTGAGTATCCGCTTTCTTGGTGAGATTCATGGAGAAGAGGTCGCCACGACCACTCACTCCTACGATGGTCTCGCCGCCCGAGGCAATATACTTGATCCGGTTCCGCTCTGCGTCGTAACGCGAAGACATGGATATATTGCCCAGATGATGACTTGCCAGCCCGACTTCACCGAAAGGAAATTTCACGACGTTGTAGCCATAACTTGTGAACACAACCACGGTGTAGTTCGCGAGAAGGCAGGTGGTCGCCTTGTCGATGGCCGAAACCATGGTGATACCGCTGTTCAATAAGGAGGCGGCTACTTTCCTGGGTGTCTGCTGTACCTCGAGTGAACGCGAATCGGCGTCCATCAGAGCCAGCCTGGGATTCGTCAGCAAACTGGGTCTCGCCAGAGATGTTGCTCGAAATCACTCACTGTCCGGTGTTGCGACCCCAGCAGTAAAGACTGCCAGCACTCGTGAATGCCACCGAGTGAATAGTTGATGCAGCGACACCAACGATGACCTCCTTTTTGAGTGGCCCGAACAGCTGCCGGGGTAAAAGACTCATAGCCTCTTCTCCAGGAGGGGGCTCAGGCAGCGCATAGCCGAGCGCCGAGTTGGCATTGGACCCCCAGCTATACAAGCCACCTTCTGACGTGACTGCCAAAGTGTGGTTCTGTCCCACTGCAACTTGAGTCACTTTCTTATTCGCGAGGCTACCTTGGACTGGGGTATATGTGAACCGCGTGTTCTCGTCTCCCAGTCCGAGTCTACCCCCACGGCCAATACCACAAACGTACAGGTTGGAAACAGGGTCGGTCGTCAAAATGGCACTGTGGTATTTCGACAAGGCGACGTCGTGCACGAGCAGCTCCTTGTGACGAGTGAGCGTTGGGATTTGGTCGGGCGTCTCAACACCGCCTTTCTCCAGATATTCTTCGTAGAACCTCTGGATCAAATGGCCAGGGCGCTCAAGATAGACCCGCTCGGGGAACTGCCGGTCATCCTCGTCTCCGAGACCAAGGGACAAGTTCTTGTTGCTGCCAAACGCGAAGACCTCGGTGCCATTGTTCAGGTCGAGCAGACCACCGCTGGCAACATTGTCCGTCGCAACCGCGATTTCCTCGCTTTCTGAATCATCATCCGAGTTATCCGCGTTATCCAGGCTCTTCAGATTGCGTTCGCCAATAGTCGAGTTGTACAAGTCGAATGGACTGTTGCCCTCGTTATCCTTTGTCTTTATGAGCCTTCCAACTTTGGCGACAGATGCGCCAACGGTCAGGCCAGAAAGGTCTCTTCGCTCTTTGTCTAGCAACAGTCTCGCGATCGAGACGTTGCCCGTATACAGCGCGCGATGGAGGGCATTCCAGCCACTCTCGGGGTCTTGCATATAGATATCGACGGCAGGGTGATCGAGCAGGGCTTCGACGAAGGCGATGGCGTTCTCGGAGTCGGAGGATGCGGCGCGCAGGAGAATGGTCAGGCCCATGTAGTCGCGGCTGTTGACTTCGGCGCGACCAAAGTTCACGTTGCCAGAACGCGCACCTCCTGCGCCTGGCCCCAGGGCCGAGGCCTTGCGCGACTTGGGGGCATTCCTGGGTGATGTCCCGAATGCGCCGGGGCTGGCGGATCCTCCTGTTCCTATGCTGGGGCTCTTGGAAGCGCTCTGGGCATTGTAGGCGGCGGGGGCCAGCAGGCGCCGAAACTTGTCGACGTTGTCCTCATGATAGGCTTTCCACAGCAAGTTGTGACTCATTGAGCCGGAGTGACGGGCGGGTTACTCTTCCAGCACTTCGGTGCACCTCGCTGTGAGTCTCGATGCGGATCACGGCGTTTTTAAAGGTGCAAGGGAAGTGCGGAAGAGGGACTCGGAAGTCGGGATGCGATGTCGAGTTGGACGCGCGCAGTCGGTGGAAGATTTGTCGCTGATCGGGAGGGAAGTTGCCACCTGTAGTAATAAGCTGTGGTGGTGGAGACACGGCGAGCTACCAGTGACTATTTTGATTGATGTTGTACTGTCTGGAAGGTCGGTTTATCGTGCGTAACAAATAAGGGCCTGCTGGTCAGATCGGCAACAATTCCCAAGTGTTGGCAGAAGAAAGCAGGAAAGGGTGTACAAGTTGTAGTTGATAAGGCCAGTAAGTTGAGGAGGGGCATTCCCCCGGAATGAGGCATAGTGACGACGAGACGAGGCCCAGCTGTAAGATAGACCCGGTGCGCGTATCACCCGCGCCGAGGCCCTCTAGCTGCCGAGCTGCCCACCAATCAAGTGACACCCGTCGACCGTGCTCAAGGCGAGGCCTCTCCGGAAAGCTCCAGAGACAGAGGTAATTGCGCACATGGCAATGCACATAAAAATCAGAACTTTTGGGGGTTGAGGCTCGACTGAGACATCCCAACTCCTTGGCGAGGAAGACCCGGGAGACTTGTATGATTCTCATCGTGTAGTTCAAGAATCCCAAACGCCAGGCTGTGACTTAACTGGTGCATATCTTTCTGCTTAAGGAGCTGTGGGATGATCTCCTGTAGCACAAAATTCTATAGAATACCTGACTGCAGTGTAACTTCTGGTGTATATCTAGTCTGTAAGGTGGTATTATGTTCAGTATTCCCAAGACAATAGATAATTGGCGATTCTTCAGGATCCCTGCAAGCCATGCAGATGCAGGCCGTCAAAAGCTGTTGTGGGGCGTATAAGCTGTGCCAACCTTGGAAGGTTACCTCCGGTCCTCCGCCGGTCTGACAGAAGCAAGGAGACGACCGAGACATTTGTCTTCCGCTCATAGAGTCATGAGTTCTCAACTCAGAACTCAGGCACACGGAATTCTGAACGATTACTTAAAACCGTTGGCAACGCATCGATAACGTGTGCTTCTTATGAGCTACTGAAGTTATCCGCCGCCAGGGAATCACTACCAAGCCGGTCACGAAACGAACAAACATGCCTGCAGTCAGGCCATTTACCAGCAAGAGCGTCCAACAGCCGGGGCGTGAGCCCAAGGCCAACCCAGAGAAACGGTCAAAACCAAGAGAAACAGAGCAATCCGTCCAAACGCCGCACGTAATGTCACTGAGCCCTATCCTCGAGTCCTACCCCCTCATTTACTTGGTGAGCCAACCGAGGTAGTCGGCCACGATGAGCGTCACCATGGCATGCGGCGCGATACGCACGTAGTACGTTCCGAAGCCGCGGTAGAAGCGCAGCAGGCCCTCTTGCTTGGTAACCTTGACGAAGCAGTCGGCCATGCTGTTGTATGGCAGCTTGCCGTCAGGGCCCTTGCTCTGCTTCTGCAGCCGCGTCTTGACGAAGTCGAACGGCAGTGAGAAGAAGGATGCGAAGAAGCCGGCGATGGCACTGGCGCTCAGTGTCTGCGTGCGCGACGACCACTCCGTGCGCGTCTTGAGCTGCGCCTTGGCCTCGCTGAAGAATGCGAGCTGCCCGAAGTTGAGCGCCATCGCCCGCACGACCGTCGGTGCTGCTCCGGCCCACAGGGCGCCGACGCCCTCGCTCTTCGCGATGCGCGACAGGGCGTCGATGACCGACTTGTATTTCTTGCGCTGATCCACAGGTTTCAGGCCGTCGCTTTGCATGCGGATCAAGGCCAGGTCGGCCGGGTTGCCGATCATGGCTGCGATGCCGCCGGCTGTGAGGCCTGCCGTGGCGCGTTCCGCGAAGCCGATCTTTTGATCTTTGGCCTTTGCCCTGGCTGTCAACTGGCCCATGAAGGTATCGAAGAAGCCGATGCGTGCGGTGGTGTAGACAGCTTGCCGCAGGAGACCAGCCGACAGGCCGGTGTACAGATCAAGAACCTTTCCTTTGGCGATGATCTCGCGAGTGACGGAGAGGGGTGTTGGTTTCGGGCCCGTTGCCACGCCCTCGCCGGCCAGCTGGATGCGTACCTTGACCATGTCGACTGGTTGGATGACTGTAGTTGCCACCATTCCACTCAATCCGCCGTTGATGAAGGGCAGCGCGGCCCTCATGTAGGGTGTGTGCAGGAAGTCATTGGCCACAGCTGCGCCCTCGCTCTGGACGTTCTTGGCCGAACCCATGACTTCTGATGTCTTGGACCTGGCTGCCTCAGCGGCCTGCTTGATTGTGTTGGACATTTCTGCTGGATAAGTTGGGATAACGCAAAGCTCTGATGCACTTTAAGGTCGACTGCGGTTCTTTTCTATGAGACGCGTAGACACACCGGAGAGAGGATCGATTTGAAAGAACTGTGCGTTGTCAGAACCACAGCACAGGGCAGAGCAGAGTGTATGAAGGGGGATGAGTTGTTGTTCGAAGTCGGGAAGGTGCAGGGAGCTCAGCAAGGTCACAAAGCAGGCAAGTGCTCAATCAAACGGGGCACTGGGAGGTAACTTCCTCAACCAGTGGGAGGTTAACGTTTCGGGGAACGGAGCGGCGAGGAGCAACCGTCGTGCCAACGTGAGACTGACGGACTGGTAGGAAGACAGACAGACGACAGGAGCCACGGGCAGGTAAGTTATACGCCTGCCCGGCCCCTCAGTCCTGGGTTCTGAGTTCGAACTCAGTCTGCGCCCAGCTGGATGGCATCACCATGCATTCCATGGGGCACTACGGCACTTCTCAACTCCGTAGTAGCGCCCGCCAGTCACATAACGGCCGGTCGCGTCAACCGAGGTGGACGTGCGGCTGAGATCGGCTACGTGGTTGAGGGAGGAGGTTGCAGCCATCCCAGATTGGGTTGTTGGCATCGACGGCACCAGGTCCGTCGGGAAAACCAGGAACCAGGCGACTCACTTGCCGTGGTGGATGGGATTCTTCGACGGGCATGGTTTGGTTGACCGGCTCACTAAAGCCGATCATCCAGAAACCGTTGACCAGAGCTTGTGTCGAGGTGTGTGCATGTGTGCGCGCGCGGATGTGGTTGGTGCAAGTGCGAGTGCGGGTGCGGGTGAGACTCCCAGAGCTGCGCCTGGGAGCTCCTTTCCCAACCAACCGGAGCTGGACAGAGTGGGCTGACCAGCACCCCTCAACAATCTCGGCAACTCACATTCAATTCACGGCCCAAAATCCAGACCCTGGCCTCTTTTCTATGGGGTACTTCTCTCTACCCGGCCTCTTCGATGCCAGCAACGGCAGCCACCGGACTGTCCCGGGCTCGCTCTGTCGCACCCGGCGGGCTGGCCCACGGTAATCGAGTGCACTATCAAGGTGGGGGACCGCTGACGCGATTCCGTAGCCCAGAGTTGAGTGCCGCGACTCGGAGATTGTCTGGGCGGGTGTTGACACCGCTCGGAGGAGAGGATACCAAAGCCGAGAGGGTCGAGTATTGAATAGGATATCTGAGAATCCGCTGACGAAAAAGGAGAAATCCAAACTGTAGTCCACGGTGAAACGGAGACTGAGTGGTTCTGAGGAGAAAGAAAAGACCAGTCCGGCCAGGCCGTGAGGAGGGTGGGCGGCTTCGACTAATAAAAGGGTAATTGGAGTCAAACAGGCACATCGACCTTGGCCATAATAACTCCAGTTCCCGAGGCGGGGAGCGCATTGTCTACCTACCTAGGTATGGGCATACTGTTCTACCAGGTCTAACGTGCTGGTGTGCCAGCTACGTACCTAGGTAGTCTGCAACCTCGCTGGTGTGGGACAGACCCGGCGCCTGCGACTGAGACTGGGACAACGGCTGCTGGACGGGTCGCCCATCCTCCTCCTCCTGGTCCAGCTCTATTTGGGAGCCGCCCGCATGTGACAGACCTACGAGCTGGCGAGATGCCCATTTCCCCAAGATTCCAAGCCTGTTTCCGATGCGACACTCGCCCAGTAACAAGCACTCAGGGATCCGCTTGTGCGGGGGGCCTCGTCACTCGCACGACTTGCTCGAAGCTGGCCAGGAGCTCTGCTCGGGGGAGGGGAAGAGGTGCGCGAGAGACATGACGCAGCGGTCATCAGCTGGTAGTCCGTCGAACCGATGGCGCCGGGGAGGTACCAGCGCTTGACATGGCACTCGGTCCCCCACCAAACATCGCACTAGCGCGCCTATGGACAATCTAGTGGACTAATGGCATGCGACCAACAGCTCTTTCTGTAACAGACTCGAGGCCACAGCTGCACCGCCCGCTGGCCGCCGGGATTCGTCTCGCCAGGGATCGCGCCCAGGGCGGACGAGATCAAAATAGCTGCGCAAATCAGCAGCGGCCGGGCTTGGGGGCCGGTCCACCGGCGTGGCCTGGCCTTTCTCAGCTAAGCATAATTCTGCTCTCCCTCACATCGCCATGGCCTGAGGCATGTCTTGCTTCCTCAGTTCCGCCATACCTGCCAGCGAAGGGAGCACAATCTCCAGGCTTGAGGGGCACAACTGCTCCCTCTCTTCTTATCGCAAGGATTCCCGGCACTGGCCGTCGCATCATTCACGCCTCAGCCTTGACACTGCGGGGTAACGACGCATCCAACAGTAGCGTAACATGCCACGCTGGGGCGACTCCACCGCTCCCGTCCGACGAAATCTGGGGTAACAGGCCTGGCTCAGGCTCGGCAAGCAGATCGCCCCCTCCCCCCAGGCCAGACTCCAGGAGCATAGCACACCACCTATTCTTCGTGCAGGGGCTGACTCCGTATTATCACCGAGCCCCTCCGTAGTGATGACGGGCTTGCACGCAACACAAAACACAGAGTCAAATAACACAAACAAGTGAACTTCTTCCAAGGTGGGGATCCCGAAGGATCTCCTGAAGCTGACCATCTCGTCGTTACACAGTGGCCAAGATCTGCGGAGTCTATGGGTTCTATCTACACTACAGAGTTCCAGCAGTACCCTCTTTCAATCAGAGCATATGACTTCAAGACCCACGGCCGATGGTGAGTTGAATTATTTGAGCCGCCGCCTCGCGCGCGTCTTTATCTCTACGTCAACATCTTGCCACTCATAGATCGAACACTGGGCAATCATGACTGTCAGGGGCGTGCTTTCACCTTGATATCTTGATGAAAGCCGCAACTTCTAATTGGCAATCAAAATTCGAGAATAGAGCATGAGAGTAGAGCTTCAGATCCGAAGCTGCGACTGGTAGGTCGACTGATGCATATGGATTAGGAAGGCTATGGCGATGCTTCTTGCTCGTTTGGGCGCTGCACGCAGTGGCTCATTCAAGGTGCCAACACCCGAAAAGAACAGCTGCCCAGCTTACAGAGTCCTGCACCTCGTCTGTCACGGAATACCATCGACGGCAGCTCGACTAACAAGCCCTGCCGTTTCGCCCGTATCCCGCCCCGGCACAATCTAAGCAGCGGGTCTCCGAAACTGTCCGGCTCCGAGCTGGTAGCCGGCTCCGTCACTTCCAGCTGGCTGGGACCGGAACTCAGAGTTTCGATTGTCAGCCGTCAGTCTCCCACGCGGCAGATCGGCCTCGTCTGAGCGTGATCGAGCGACTAGAAGACTCTAAAATGCCCTTCGATTCGCACTCGGTGCCGTCCGCAATTAGCAGAATCCACCGGCACAGCCTGTCAAACTTCTTTGGGTGTAGCACTGGCTCTCGCATTGAACCCACGCGTCGGGCCTCGGACAGATTCGAGCTCCTTTGTCAATGTCGTCACAGCTCTTCCTAGCCCCAACAGAGCTTCATTGCGCCGGATGAGACTGTGGCTGGGCAACACAACTTGTCGTGAAGACTATATACACTGGACCCTGTCAGAGACTGTCCCGTTCTAGCTCTTCCCAACTCTCAACCCACGTTTCCATACCAGACAGCCGCAGCCATGGCTCTCGTGCAGAGGCTCCTACACCTCACCAACTTCTCATCCCCGTTCCTCCGAACAGTGGTGCCATCCGTGTCAGCCGCATTCGCGATACAGGCTGCATTCGCCGTCCCCTCCATAGTGGCCCAGACGGAGCGCTTCTATGACCTCTCAGGCGCCCTCACCAACATCAACATCGTCGCGCTGAGCCTGTACCTGCCGGCCCTAAGGGCCAAGTACGCCGCAGGGGCCGCGGCGGCCGCGGGCAAGGCGCTCCCAAGCCTGCTCACCCCCTTCACGAACCCGGCCGCCGCGGGCCTGAACTGGAGGCAAGTCGCGCTCACTGGCTTCGTGACACTCTGGGCAGCCCGACGTATGTGGCTCTTGTTCCTCTTGGCCGTCAATTCTGGCCCGCGCTTCCCCCTCGAGAGGACCCTGGCTAACCCAGCACACAGTGGGAACATACCTGTTCCAGCGCGTTCTCCGCGATGGCCACGACTCGCGCTTCGAAGAGATCAAGAAGTCCACGCCCAAGTTCTTCGTCGCCTGGATGGCCCAGGCCACCTGGTGCTCCCTGATCTGCCTGCCCGTCATCGCGCTCAACGCCGTCCCCGCCTCCGCGTTCGCGGCTATTCCCGGCGTGAGGATCATTGATTTGCTCGGGGTCGCACTGTGGGTCGGGGGCATCACGTTTGAGGCCACCGCCGACAAGCAGAAGTCGCAATGGCTGAAGGAGAAGCGCGAGAAGAAGCACCATGAGGACTTCATGACCCGGGGCCTCTGGCAGCGGAGGTAAGTCTGACGGGGACGACACTTCTCCGTCTGTGTTGTTTAGGATGGGCGTGCTAACGTTGGTGTCACAGTCAATATCCCAACTACTTCGGCGAGTCGACCCTCTGGACCGGTATTGCGACCACCGCGGCGGGTGTTCTCGCCAGCCAGCCCATCCAGGCGGCCATTGGGTTCAGCGGAGGTGCGGGTGGTATCCTTGGTGCCCTGTCTCTGGCCTATATCAGCCCGTTGTTCACGACTTTCCTGGTGACCAAAGTGAGCGGCATTCCCATGTCGGAGTCTAAGTACGACAAGCGGTACGGCGATCGCAAGGATTATCAGCAGTGGAAGCAGAACACCCCAAAGTTCTTCCCCAAGCTCTTCTGAGCATGCACTTATCATAGACGGCGGAAAGTGTCGGCCAACATTGGCGTATAGACATAAAGTATTTGACAGGGCAATAATCGTGCCTTTCTAAAACAAGTCTGCTCCGTCGCGTCAATAGTCCTTGCTTCTTTGAAGCTATAGATAGTTTCTCATCATAGTAATGGTTCTCTCCTGGTATCATATCACATCGCAACAACGCCTGTGCCGTGGTGTACACTCTCCATCTCCCCCCTCCCTCCTTCTTTTCCTCACGGCAGCTTTCTCCCGCCGCCCTTGACATTGCGCGACGGGCCCTCGGCGGCCGCAGCCATCTTCCACTCCAGATTATCCGTCACGACAGCACTGCCCTACTTCTGCTTCCTAGTCATCATAATCTTGGTGAACTCGTCGACGTTGACGCCGCCCTTGCCCTCCGAGTCGAACTCCTTAATCATCGACTGGAGTTCCTGCTCCTCCATGCTCTGGCCGATCTCGCGCATCGTGCGGCGCAGGTCGTCGAGCGTGATGATGCCCTTGCCCTCGACGTCGAACAGCTTGAAGGCGCGGTGGCACTCCTCGACCGGGTCGCGGTTGTACATGAGCGTGCCCGCGATGCCCTGCCAGATGGGCAGCGTGAATTCGCGCCACACGGGCGTGCACTCGCGCTTCGGGTCCCACTCGATCGGCTGGATGCCGTACTTGACCAGGTACGGGTACGTCTCCGACTTGGGAAGCTCGAACCCCAGCGCCCGCAGGCAGAACCTAAGCTCGTGGTAGTCGAGGCGGCCGTCCTTGTTTACGTCGAATACGGAGAACTAGAAGGCGGGGGCAGTCGTTCGTCAGCAGGGGTCAGGCGCGGCGCGGCGTAGCGCGAGCTAGATCGTGCAGTTCCAGAGGGGGGTGTAAGACAACATACGACGTCGTTTATTTGGTCCCTTTGTCGCTCGTCCAACTTGGCAAAGTCGTCCCTGGAGGGTGCGCCATGCGCAGGGAGGTTGTTGATATTTCTTGAGGACATCATTTTCGAAGGATATATCGTTCGAATGCGGTCGAATACAAATGTAGTACCAGAGCGCGAGGCCGCAGCAGGAAGGCCGGGCTAGGTAGGTGCGGTATGGCGAGGAAGCGGTGAATCGTGTTTCGAGTTGGTTCGCTTTTATTTGGCGGGTTGACTAGCTAGCAGATGCGCGACAGAAAGCAAGTTATTTCGAGATTTCGCCAAAGAATCGTGATGGTGGTATGTGTAGGAGCAATCTCAGGGAGGTGAGGGTGAAACCAGAAGCGATTGAGAATGTAGTATCCTGAAAGTGATCATCCTGCGCCCGCGCGCTGCACGATACATACACGCACGCACGCACGCACTTTCTCTATGTCGAAGGGGCGAGCCCAGGCGAGGGTGTTGATGGCAGCCGCCTTTGTTTTCGAGCGGTCGAGAATGTCCGGGTACGTGGGTGGTCAAGAGCGGCCGGATCGAGCACCAGTCTGCGCTTGCTTCCGAATAATCAATCAAATCGATCAATTGTTCTCCAGAGATCCTGACCTGCCAGGCATTGATGGTTCTCGTCGAGGGGCTGGGATCACTGGGGTCGCAAACAAATGTGGACCGCCGTTTAAGTTTTGACAGGGACGCCTCGACGCGACCGCTGCAGTCACTCGACGCGCTCCCTGTCCGATACTTTTCTGCCGAGCGAGAGCGAGGGCGAATGACTACCAGAGAGCAAGCAGCATCTGCAGTGAGCTAGCTGCGTTACAACCCCACCAACTTCTAGTTCAGTCCGATGTGGTCTAAGTGCTCTCAGGGCGGATGGATTGACAGAACGGACTGCAACGGCCCAATCTGTTAGAGTTTTGGACATAACCTCACGGAATGTACTAACAGATAAGACTCGAAGCTATGATCTTCAAAAATTTGGCTGCCGAAAGCTTAACCATTTCACAAGCTGCACCTACACACACCCCTTGAGCCATTATACGAAAGGTACAACCGGGCCCTTAGACTACAAGGCACACCACGCCCGACAAGATGCCTAAGCGGAAGAGAGATGATCTCCAGGAGAAGCTGGAGCACCACAGCACTGCGCTCTCCCGCGCTTTGAAAGTAGCGAAGGGATTTGAGAGACAGCGCATGGCAAAACGGCAGCGCGATCCCAAGTCAACTCGGGAGAAGAGAGGCAGGATAGAAAAGGAGATCGAGGTGTTGAAGGTGCGCATTTCCGGAATCCCGACTAGACAATCTCACCTGCAGCCTTCGGGGACGAACATGTCAGAGCGAAGCTGACCGGCGCTGTGCAGTCGCTCGACCTACACTCCGTCGCTCACGCCCATCTTTGTTCAGCCCTGCTGAGGATCAAGGCCGTTGCCGAGTCCCCGAGACTACCAGACGAGATCAAGCACGGCGTCCCAAAACCCGACCTCACGGAAGAAGAGCGAGCGGCCCTACACAATGTCACCAGTGGACTCTACAATCAGCCCAAGGTCCGGACCACGTTGGACGCAGCCGTTGCCGACATTTGTCGCGTGCTACAGGTACCAGTGCCCGAAAAAAAGGGCAAATTGAAGAGGGGAGACAAGAAGAGCGAGCCGGCGACCAGGGAAGACACAGAGGAACAGCCCGCGGACAGGGCTGCGAAGAGTGCACCGGAAGAAAAGAAGGCCAAGCCAGAGGAGAAGCCGGCCAAGGATGAGGTTTTGTCAGGGGATCAGTCATCGGATGACGAGGAAACCGAATGGGGCGGCCTCTCCGACGGCGACGACGACGAGGATGAGGAGCTAGTAGAAAAGGCCCTTTCGCGGTTTGAGGACAGACTCGGGGGCTTTGATTCCGACGAAAAGGCCGATTCCGACGATGAAGACGACTACGATACCGCAAATGAGGAGCTCGACCCCATGGAAATCACAGACGAGTCCGCATCCGAGGATTCGGAGGACGATGGGCCGGGGACACAGTCCGGGGCGGATGAGGACGGATCGAGCGACTCAGAGGAGGTATCTGTGTCTGTGTCTGTGTCTGAATCTGGGTCCGAGTCCGCGTCCGAGTCTGAATCTGATTCTGATGTCTCCGCCATATCACCGCCGCCCAAAACGTTACGAAAGGAACCCAAGAAGGGAGGCTACCTTCCCAGCTTAATGGGAGGGTATATTTCCGGCTCGGAATCCGATGCGTCTGACATTGATGTGGCGCCAGCTGCACGAAAAAATAGAAGAGGCCAGCGAGCTCGACAGGCGATATGGGAAAAGAAGTTCAAGGCCAAGGCCAAGCATCTAAGCCAGGAAAAGGCCGGTCGGGATTCTGGATGGGATTTGAAACGCGGCGCGGTGGACGGCAGCGACAGGACGCCGTGGAAGAAAGGGATCAAGGCGCCATTCGAGAGGAGGTCTGATGGCCAGCGCGATGAGCAGGAACATGCCGCGCCCGAGCCGAGGCGCCCAAGGCCGCCGACGAAGAAGGACGACGAAGGCCCGTTGCATCCTAGCTGGGAGGCGCGGAAGAAGGCGAAGGAGGCGCAACAGACGGCGGCTTTCCAGGGCAAGAAGATTACATTTGATTAAGAGATACCCATACCTGCGAGAAAAATTGAACTCAAATTATGGAGAAAGGATTCGCCGGAGCTCCAGTCATGGCTCGTCGTGATTGTCATCAACTGCAAGTAGTTCAATGTTCAGTCATCTGTCAACCTCAGGGCGCCCGGCGCAAGGGTCGTGGGTGCCATCTGCGGGAGCTGCCCGGGACGCAACTGCGACGTCAACAGTCTTAGTAATGAGCCGCGAGGGGCAGCATCGTCTCGGTTGCGATTAGTATTGAAGAGGTCATGACTACACTTACAAAGGACCAATTCCCTCAAGCAGTAAAACTTTGACACCCGGTTCTTCTGCTTTTAACGCATGACTGAACAATTCCCATCTTCCAATACTTGACTCAGGAATTTGAAGCTCAAGATATCATCATGTCGGACGGAACAGGCAACCCGACAGAGCTGTTCTCTGTGAAGGGGATGGTCGCACTGGTATGTCACCGGCTTGCAGTCGTGTTCTCCCCATTGGTTCCCAAACATGCGGTGCGACCGCTGGTGGCTTTGTGTAATGACTTGGAAGATACCCACGAGTTTGCGGGCTGTGAAACCTTATGTGCGCCCATTCATGAGCATCTACTAACAAGATTTATGATTGATAGATCACAGGTGGAGGAACAGGTACCAAAACGAACCTCTTTACACGAGATTTTCCTCTCTACAGCATGCTAACATTGTTCCAGGCATCGGCCTCATGATGGCTCGGGCCATTGCCGATGCGGGCGCCGCCAAGGTCTACATCGCTGGCAGACGCCTCGAGGTTCTCGAGTCGGCCGCCAAAACGATCAACAAGCCTGATGTAGTCATCCCGCTCACCTGCGACGTGACCTCGCAGTCCTCGCTTACGTCGCTCGTCGAGGAGGTCGAGAAGCGATCGGGCTACCTGAACCTACTCGTCTGCAACAGCGGTATCGGCGGCCCCCAGGTCCCCTTCCCCTCTCCTGAGACCTCCCTGCAGGAATTCCGCGAGAAGCACCTCGCCATCCCGATGGACCAGTACGACAAGACGTTCAGCGTCAACGTCACGGCGGTGTGGTACACCGCGATGGCCTTTCTGGAGCTGCTGGACAAGGGCAACAAGAAGGGGAACCTGGACTGGGAGAGCCAGGTCCTTGTCACGAGCAGCATCGCCGGCTTCAACAGAAGGGCACCCGGCGGATGGGCTTACGGGCAGTCCAAGGCAGCTGCGACGCACTCGGCGAAGCAACTGGCCGGCATCTTGCCCAAATGGGGCATCAGGTAAGTGTATTGCTGGAAGCCTTGTGGAATATCATGTCTAATGAGGCAATTGCAGGGCAAACGCCTTGGCGCCAGGGCTGTTCCCATCTGAGATGTCAGCACCTATTGTCGAGGCCATGGGAGGTGATGCCTCGAAAGGAGGTTTGATTCCTCTTGACAAGAGCGTGGTCCCTCTTGGAAGGATGGGTGATGCACAGGACATGGTCGGCACGGTGCTTTACCTCGTTTCGCGGGCTGGGGCATACCTGAATGGCAATGTCACAGTTCTTGACGGAGGCAGGTTGGGCACGTTCCCTTCTACATACTGATCTTGGTTGAGACGGATACATCACACTGAGACGCCTTTGTGCACCGTTTACCAACTCGGCAAGAATGGGAATGGAAAGAAATAGAACTTAGCGTCGGTTTCGCGATTGCTCTGTAGTAAATGCCAGTCTTGGGTCTTTCCAACATCGAATTTCCTGTATCACAAATTATGGCGGTGAAATGGGTCTGTCTACATAGTACTCATCACAAAGAGTTCAAGATCGGGTTAAGCGATTCCTAAATTGACGGTAAGAGGGCTTGCACGTCTGTTGGAACACAGAAGGCTGTACCTATGAATGTGCTGAAACAAAAAGCACATTATATCTATTGAGGAGGGATAGAATGCTGGAAGCACGGAGTTTGGCTGTTCGAATACACGACATTCGATCCTCCTAGATATCGTGAATCACAGACAAGAGTGAAAGGTTCTCCAAGCCTGCTTCTCGACAGTCCTCGAGTACTGTTAGGCCGGAATATCTTACGGCGTCGATACTGTCAGTACCACCTAAGTTGGTCCCTGTTAGTTTGTCGCCGGACCCCTGGAGTTGAACCCCACTACGGGCCGCGGCACGCCCCAGCTGCAGCTCCAGCAACGTCGGCGGATGAATGGCATGCGTGCGCGCGTCTACTCCATTCAAGATCCCGAGCCCAGTTTCGTTTCAGCTACAAGAGGGCACCACGATGCCACCTGGCGACCCGGTGCAATGGACGCGGATTGGGATGAGGTAAGTCGCTAAATACTTCCTTCTCCAGACCACCCAACTATGTTTTCGGCCGCATCCCAGAGCCGGCCGGGAGGCACCGAGTCCTGCGCGACGAGGCGGAGCCCCGCGATCACCTGGTGCGGCGGATTGTGGACTTGGGACTGCGATTGCGACCGCGAGCTGGACATCCGCGCAACGAGGAGCGACTGGGCCATGAATGAGGGATGCTAACTCGAATGTCTACAGTTGAGTCGTCAACTCCTCCCTCCACCGGGAGGGCAGTCGGTGCCTACCGTCGTCACCGCGCTCGCCTTCGATTCAAGCCAGGAACTCCTGTGGGCTGGAAACGGATATGTATGCTCGACCGGACGACATCTATGGTCCCCATTTCCGGTCGCAAAGCAATTTCTGACAGCGTCCCAGGGCCGTGTTACATCCTTCTATGCAAATAACCTTCAAAGATACACATCCTTCCGCGCGCACCCACCGTCCGAGGGTGCGGTGCACCAGCTGCTATTCAATGACAAGGGGGTTCTCGCACTGGGCGCCCGAGGCATCCACATGGCCCTTCGGAGAGGACCGCCAGTATGGCCACATATCAGGTGAGAGCGGCTGCTGCTGTGACACTGCTATTCGAGAGAGCAGCGCCTAATAGCTGTCGCGCCGTAGTGCTGAAGATATGAGAGACCTCCGGTGCATGAGTTTCACCTCGAAGGCGACCTCCGAAATCCTTGTCGCCGGTGTACAAGATACAATGTTTGTGATTGACACGAACAGAGGAGAGATAGTCAAACGAGTAGGATCGCCCCGTCGTCGTCTACTCGAGCACTGGCTAAAGTCGTCCAGATATCCACCGCACACCACTACATCAAGATGAAAAAGGGCCGTTACATATGCGCAGCTACAACCGATGGCAATGTCCACATCCTCGATCCCGTCAAGTTCAACATCATACACAAATGGCGCGCCCACTCTGCCTTTATAAACGACATGGACGTCCAGCAGGACTTTGTTGTCACGTGTGGTACCTCACTGAAGCAACCCGCGGCTACTTATATGCTCGACCCTTTTGTCATGGTCTTCGATCTGAAAAACCTGGCCACGATGCCTCCTATACCCTTTCCCCCGCTGGCAGCCTATGTCCGCATGCACCCGCGCATGCTCACGACAGGAATAGTTGCTTCTCAGGGTGGTCAGATGCATGTGGTGGACCTGCTGAATCCAAACACTAGCAATGTACGCCAGGCGAATGTCGTAGGCTCGGTACTCACAGGAATAGAAATCGCACCATCGGGGGAGGCCATCGCGCTGGCGGATACGGACTGTAATATGCACCTTTGGGGCTCTCCTTCTAAATGTCACTTTGTTGAGCTGCCACAGCCCACTGAATGGCCCGATGAAGAGGTCCCGCCGCCCCATATTGACTGGAAAGAAAATACGTGAGTTGTGAGCTTGGAGTGTGGTGGCGACACCTTAGACTGACTCTGCCAGCCCGCTGAACTCCATCGGCATGCCTTACTATCGAGAGGCTCTTTCGTCAGCCCTACCAAATACTTCCATCTCAGATGTCGGAGCGCCGCCTCCCAGGTTCGCACAGAATGATCTAGCACATCTCACAAAAGCATCCTTTGGTTTCTATGGTCCAAATACCCGGGGTACACGTCGAAATCAGGTCGAGGACACACGGGTAGCTGAGAAGACCACACTTGCCATACGCGCACCGAAGTTCCTCAGTGAAAAGGCCAGAGATGCGGCGAAGGTATCAAGCAGCGCGACTGCCCCCGATGGGCAGGTGGATATGGCCGTTGGCGCCTTGGGTACAGCCGAGCTGGAAAGCCTGCGGCTGGATGTTCCAGCTCTTTACCAGAGCGTCGAGATCTCGTTCAGCAAGTACGGAGTGGATGACTTCGATTTCGGCTTTTACAACATGACCCGATACGCTGGCCTGGAAAACCACATCGCAAATTCCTATGCAAACTCCCTTCTCCAGGTCTTGCACTTCACACCGTTGGTTCGAAACTTGGCTCTCCAGCACGCGGCGACAGATTGCCTGAGCGAGATGTGTCTGCTCTGTGAGCTTGGGTACCTGTCGGACATGTTGCAGAAGACGGAGGGCTCATCATGTCATGCGTCAAACCTGTTGAAATGCCTTAGCAACCATCCTCCAGCGTCTCGCCTTGGCCTCTTGGAGGAAGACTCGCGACAAGGCTCTCTTACGAAGATGATGCAGCAGCTCACGAGATTCTTACTTCAAACCATGGCAGACGACTACCGCACCAAGTCCCCCATCCCTACCGCGATGCAGGAAATCCTTGCTACGTCTGCCCTCACCACGATCAAATGCTTGAACTGTGGGAATGAGACCAGTCGGTCGGGCTCGAATTATGTGACGGACTTGACGTACCCGATGACCAAGGGCCGCGGAAGCCGTTCCACGAAGACAACGTTCTCTCAAGTGTTGAAAAATAGCGTGGAAGGGGAAGGAGCCATGAAAGGCTGGTGTATCCGCTGCAATCGATACCAATCCCTACAGGCCCGCAAGACCATACAAGGTATTCCCTCAGTATTGACGCTGAATGTCCCGGTGGCGGAGCATCGCGACAACGAGCTCGAACAAAGGATGTTATGGGCGAACCCAGGATGGCTTCCGGAGGAGATCGGTATCATAGTAGACAACGGCTCCTTCTTTTGCTATCAGGGCGAGGACCTGAAACTACACCTTCAACGCGGAGTGCACAACATCCAGGTTTACTCGCTCATCGGCCTGTCGGTCAACATCGAGAGCGGGTCACCGCAGAAATCACACCTTGGGGCCCTGTCACCAGGAAGCGTTGATACAGGATCGAGTCATAAACCGCACCTTGTAGCCATGGTCAACGGTAAGTCCTCCCGCGGTGTAGTCAAGCCCCGAGCAGCTGTACTGACCAGCTTCCAGTTGCGCATGCCGAGCCGTCGCCCCCAGGAGACAGCCAGTGGCACCTCTTCAACGACTTCTCCGTCAAAGTGTCAGCTGCAGAGGCTCTAACCTTCAACGCCAGGTGGAAAATGCCGTCTGTGCTTGTCTACCAGCTGAAAACTGCAAACAACAATCTCGACACCGAATGGGTCAAGAATATAGATACCTCGGTACTGCACATTGACTTCAAGTGCGTTCCCCAACATCTATCCGTTGTGAATCCTAGCTTACATTGTACAGGCCTGACGCAAATGAGCACCCATATCGTACCCTCGACCCGGTCATAGAACGGCCGGGACCCGAGACCACGGTTGCTCTTGACACGGAGTTTGTACTGGCAAAACAGTCAGAGGTGGAGATGAAATCGGATGGCGTTAGAGAGGTCATCCGGCCTAACTTCCACGCGCTGGCTCGTGTCTCTATCGTGCGCGGCGAGGGCGAGGACGAGGGCCTGGCCTTCATAGACGACTGGATCCAGGTCAGGGAGCCGGTCATCGACTACCTGCACAGCTACTCGGGCATTAAGCCAGACGACCTCGACCCGCGCAACAGCAGGCACTGCCTGGTGTCCCTCAAGGTCGCGTACAAGCGGCTCTGGGTGCTCCTGAACCTCGGGTGCAAGTTCGTCGGGCACGGCCTCAAGGGGGACTTCCGCGTCATCAACATCCAGGTGCCCAAGGCGCAGATCATCGACACGATCGACCTCTTCTACCAGAAGAACTACCGGCGCAAGCTCAGCCTCAAGTTCCTGGCCTGGTACCTGCTCAAGGAGGGCATCCAGGTCGACACGCACGACTCAATCGAGGACGCACGCATCGCGCTCAAGCTCTACAAGAAGTTCCAGGAGTTCGACGATGCGGGCATCACCAAGATGATGCTCAACGAGATCTACAGGGCCGGCGACAGCGTCGGGTGGAAGCCGCCCGGGAGCACCACCACGGCGACCGAGCAGCAGCAGGCGGCTTTGCAGAGGAGCCCCACGCCCATCTCCGAGGGGCCCTCGACGCCCGTTAGGAAGGGGCTGGCTGGGGCTCAGGGGGCACTTACGCCCAGCTGGTCGGCCGGGCCAGGAGCAGGTGGGTTCACCCCGGGAAGAGGGAGCCCTCTTAAGTAGACTCGCTCGACCCGGAGGGCCGGAGGGGAGTACATAGACGACGAGACTAGATGTCACGCAAATGAGCACAAGTTTTTTTAATGAGTGTATTGGAGTAAGTCCTAACGAGCGTGTTGAGTTTGTCCTAAGTCAAAAAATCATCGCGTAACTGATGTTTGAGTGGAGTGTGAGTAAGAATGCAACGCGGTGGGTGTCGTCAAATCGTACTAAGTCGTCATGTGCTGTGGGATGGGATAACCTTCTAGTGGGGTAACCTCCTAGTGGGATAACCTCCCATGTAATAACCTCCCGTGGGGTAATCTCCGTGGGGACAACCTCCCGTGGGGTAACCTCTCGTGGGATAACCTCCCATGTAATAACCTCCAACTGGAGTTCATCCAGTCGTCATTCATAAAGACCTAGGTTGGGGCCAAAACTGCATGTCGGTGGTAATGAAACAGACTCTTGAGCGGCGGTGGAGGGGGCATGTGATGATATGATGAGCGCTGAATGACGCCTTCGGAGGACCCTCCGCCCAAGATGGATATTGGTGAAAATAGCGATGCTTTCTGATGAAGCTCCGAAAGAAATTAGCAAAGCACACGCCTAATGCGGCAGAATCGTTGGTGAGGACTCAAGCATCCTAGAATGACCACGTCTGGGCGAGTATGAGTGGAAGAGACCCAGTACGGTATTCGCTCGGCTTCTGCCGCTTGGTATCACCACCTCCTTCACTGGCGGGACTCGTCAGCCGTGCCCGCTTAGTACCTGGATTGAACAGGGCAGGTACGCCATCGGCAGCCTCGATGGCGCCGTTCAAGTCGTCGTCCTTGGCCGGGACGCTGCCTTCCTCCTTGTCCTCGCCTGTTTCGCTGGCGACGTTCTCGTTCTCGTTCTTGTTTTCGTTCTCTGCCTCTTCATCGCTATCCTCGGCGGTCAGATCAATGTAAGAGTTGCTGATGTGAGGCGACGAGGCGTCAACATGCGGCGCCGAGGATGCGCGACGTGCCTGTAGGGCACTTGTAGAACGTCGTCCGGGCGTGCCACTGGTGCGAGGCTCATTCGGCCCGGGAGTAACAAACATGCTGAGTCTGGACGGCTGCCTGGCCGAGCTCCGCCCTGTTGTCGGTGCTTGCATCTCCACGATGTCGTCGTCCTCCTCTATCACGATGACCGGTTGCCGAGCCCTGATGATTTCGCTGCTGACGCGCGAGATAGACCCTCCTTCGGAGCGGGTTCTCCGGAGATTCTTCAAGTTTTCAGTGTCCTATCCTGATGAAACTTGAGAGTCGTCCCGCAGATACTGATGCAGACGTCTCCGGCGAAAACCCTCAGTCGTGACGGAAGAATCATCGTCCTCATCGCTGTCACCAGAATCGCTGTGGTCCGAGCCGCTGCTGACAGAACGCTGGCTCTCGTCCGGCAAGTCGCCCTCACTCTCGCTGAGCTCTTCCTCCTCGGCAACACCAGGGCTGGGTGCTGGTGTGAACGGGCGGCGTCTGCGCGACGGACCGGGCGGTGAGTGAAGGGAGGGTCCGGACGAGTCGTCATCTTCGTCATCGTCAGATCCATCTTCGCCATCGTCAGAAGAAACGCTCTCTATTGTGCCCTGTGACGACGTAGCGTCGTAGTCTAGGTCATTGAGACGGTTGTCGTAACCGGTATCCTCGGTGTAAATGGGCCGGATTCGGTCGAACTCCTGTCTCGAAGGTCTCCAGGAGGATCCAACCGGGAACAGAGGATCAAGATTCTCTAGTTTCGACTTCTCGAACCGTGATGGCACTTTCTCTTGTGTAACAACTCTCTCAATGTCAATGACGAAGCTCTGATCACGGATCTTTGCCACGCTTCTCTCAGGATCAGCGATTTCCTTGTCTAAATCATAAATGTGCGTCCAGTATAAACCTCGGAGCTGGTAAATATTGTCAATTCCCATGAGGCCCCTCATACTACGCGTCATCCGAAAGTTGGGCTGTCCTGCGGTTTTGCCCGCCATGTAAACCTTCTGGTCGTGGGGCTCATGTCTGCGTCTAATGACACCCTTGTGTGACTCTCTGACATGGATGCATAAGGTCTTGAGCGATGCGGCTTCCATAAACCAAGCGAGTGGCGACGTGCGTCGATTCAGTCGTTCTCCTGATCTCTTGCCGAGATTGAACTTGACGCATTTGCCGCCAACCCAAGTAAGCTCCACATTCTGAATTCTCTGCCATCTCGCTGGCCCTATGCCTGTGGCAAAGCGGTCCAATTCTCCAAGACTCGACCAGGCGAACGTATTTGAGCCGTAAAATATGTGGATGCCGTAGAATGCGAATTTTCGTGACACGCAAAGCGCTGCCAGCACTTTCTTGGGGTCCTCGGTGTCCCAGGTCAGAGACAAGTAGCTTCGTTGCTCACTCGAAATGAAGAAGCGTCCACGAATTCCAGTGGAAGAACTTGAAAGACCCTGCCTACTTGGAAACTCGACAGGCTCGCAGTGTGGATCGAGACGAGAGAAGCAATGGACAAGACCGTCCTTGGTAAGCAGTTCCGTCAAGATTTTGTAGAGCACGTTGTCAGGAAGAGGCTTTGTCGAGCGGATTTCCTCATCCGAGCGTACAGATTCCAGATCATTTAGAGAGCTCTCTCGTGAGCTGATACTCTCATCACCGTCCTTCATGACGAAACGAACCTGGGGATGGCACATGTTGGGGTCGATTGGCATATTCAAGGCCCTGTAGCTTGATTTCCATGCCTCCTGGTAACTGGAACCGTTGACAAGACAATCTTGGAGCTTCTCCTCCCAACTTGGCTCGCGGCCCGGGTTCTCTGATCCTGTGAACCGCTTGAGTTCCTCTTTCAGTCCCCGAATCTCGCTATTCGCCGCATCGAGCTGCTGCTGCAGGTAATCAATCGTCTGATTCTTGGCGTTGATTCTCTTGTTTGCATTCTCGAGCTTTCGAGCCGCGCTTTTCGCTTGCTTTAGACATGCCCGAGTGCAGGGTTCCGCATCGTCGCTGCTGCTGTCGTTGTACTCCATCTCAGCTTTTCCATTGCCACCAGCATCCTCGCGCTGGCCTCGGGCAGGCTCGTTCTCAGGCGAGTGGGCGCCTTCCGGTCGCTTGGGCTCAGCTTGCACCTCCTCCTCACTGTCGTCGTCGAGCTGTGAGGACTCGGCGTCATCGGCGTTAGGCGACATGGTAGCACCTGGCTGATTGGAGGACATGGAAGACTCCCGTGCGGGAGAGACGCTTTCTGGGCCCGCTGATTCGGCAGGCGCGTCATCGTCATCGTCCTGCTCCATAAACATGGGAGACTCGCTGGCGATCGAGGCGGGCGCTTCCTCCTCGCCATCGGAGAGCACTATGGGGGAGCTCTCGTCCCCTTGGCCCGGATCATCCATCGTGGCTGGAAGTGGTCCCCAACGGGTGTCAGCAGAGGAAGTTGTCGTAAGGCGAGGCAGTGTCCCTGGAGAGTCGTCAGAGAAGGCTGACCTTTGCGTGTATGTGTCGCTGAGCAGGTTGAGGGTGAGAAGAAGGGGTTGAGAGGAAAAGCGTGAGAGGAAAAGCGTGAGAGGAAAGGGGTGAGAGGAAAGGGGTGAGAGGAAAGGGGTGAGAGGAAAGGGGTGAGAGGAAAGGGGTGAGAGGAAAGGGTTTCACGAGAATATGTAGGTAAGTGTGTAGGTAAGTGTGTAGGTAAGTGTGTAGGTATGGGTGAGGTTGGGTATGTGTGTGGTTGATTGAGTGTGCGATGTAAGCGTCTGGTGTAAGGGTCCGGTGTAAGTGTCCGGTGTAAGTGTCTGGTGTGAAGGTATGAGAGGGGAAGGTAAGTCAGGTGGCAGGATACGTACGGAAAGGATAGAAGGAAAGCGAGGGGGCAGAAAGCAAGAGAGATCGAAACAAATGGGAGAAAACTAGACAAAGAAGACGAAAGGCAAATAGATATGCAATTCGATGGTAGACTGATGCAAGAAAGAGACGTCACTTACCACTGAGCCTAGGAATATTGTGAGGCTGACAAGCCGTATGTCAGCATGGAAGCGTTGAGAACCCAGAAAAGATGCTCCTATTACGCCAGTTGAGGACAGGAGAGAAAGCAGCGGAGAAAGAGAGGGTTGCGTGTGTATGTGAGAGAGAGTCGAGAGTGAGAGTCGAGAGTGAGAGTGAGAGTGAGAGACAGGGTGTGTGTGAAAAAGACTGAATGAGAGAGTGTGTGAGAGAAAATATGAGTGAGCCTGTAAGAAGGGGTCTGTGAGTGCGTGTGTGTGCGAGGAAGTCTGCGAGGAAGAATTTGTGAGAGAACGTGTGTGTGTGAGAGAGAGAGGGAGGGAGGAAAGGCAGGTTGAGAAAGGTTTTGGAGGGGAGGGGTTTGTTTAGGGGGGGTTAAAGCATGTTTATAGGTGAGCGAGGGGAGGAGACAGAACCAGTGAAAGTAAGAAGACCACGATATGAGTGAAATACATACCTAGGTTTGGGAGGGAGATACCACGCAGTGTGGACTCAGGGAATGTGTAAGACTTGAAGATGTCAAAATCCGGTTAAGGGCGAGATGAAAACGAGGCACTGCTGAAGCAGGTACTTGCAGAAGCCAGAGAGTGGCAGGGCAAGTGAGGAGGTCGTGACGCAAATATGTGAAGATGGGACGAAGACAACGTTGAGAAGAGACTGTTGAAGAAGATTTTGAGGAATACGTGCTCACGAAAACAACTGGATGAGATGCTTCATAGGAGAGCACTGCGTGTTAGTGGGAGAGGGTGATAGGAGAGGGGAGGGGGAAAGGAGAGAAGGGTAAAGAGATAAATGACCCATAATGAAAAGTGGAAGTAACCTCACGGGACGGCAAACGTGAGGAAGTGTAGCAAAGTCTGTGGATGTAGAGTGAGAAACCATTTGGATGCCCTAGTGGTGATGTGGCCATTGAACTAACGAGAATGGAGTAAGGTTGATCTCACATGCCTCAACAGTTTGGAGAAGTTGTTCGTCTGTGGTATCTGGAGAGAGGTAGGGACCTGACCAAGAAGACCGATTCTGTGTGCTGGATATTGATATGATCTTGATCGTTGTGCGATGATTGCGCAACGATTTCACAACGAGACGTGACGTGAACGCTGAAGATTTGCGAAGCCGGTGTGGAGCCATCAAATAAGGACACAGCTAATGGACATCACATAATCTAGATGATAGCGATTGAGGTACAGAGCTACCATTCGTTGGTGCTGCTGCGACCGATGCCCTGAAGTAAACCGTCATTCTCGTAAGGCATATGCGCACCACGCTCGTAGAGTCCATTAACTAATGGAACTCATTCCGGGTTTCTGATTCAACCAGGTCACACGTTCATAACTCAACAATGGCCCGGAGCTCTTGGTTACTTACAGTTCCAAGCCTCCATCCATCCTGTGGCGAAGTGTTCAACTGAGAAACTCAATGTTCAGCAGTCAAGCCTGTGTGTCCAACAATTCTGAAGTTCTTAAATAATCCCGCATGGTGGCGGCCCGATATCAGTCAACCTGAACATTACGTTCATCTTGTTGCCATTGCACTATTGAGAACTGCACACCTGCAGTTTCCCTGCTGAAGAAAGGGGCAAAGCAGAGTGAGGGGACTGGGTAGAGGTCAAATTGAGCCTATCCTCTCTAACTCCGAAGGGGAGGGTCGCTCTCCTTCGGCCAGATCGATGAGTGACTAGAGCTATATGAACTGAATAGCTTATATACAAATATATTGTATCTATACTTTATAAAAATTCTACCTTCTGAATGGACGGGTTGTAACCTTGAGAAGACTCTTAACACATTGATAACTGTGTAGGATAATCATGAGAGCCACCCCCTCCCCCCCTTCGGAGTTAGAGAGGATAGGCTCAATTTGACCTCTACCCAGTCCCCTCACTCTGCTTTGCCCTTTTCTTCTGATATGCTAGCCTGTAGCTATCCTCTTAAGCCGAAAGAAAACTCATCTTTAGCTGGGTGCCGTAAGCGAGTTGTGGCTTTATTATGCTGTAAGTGCCGAGTCATTTGAGCTTGAACCGATCAAAGTGGATAGTTTCCCAATAAGCTCGTGCGAGCTGTGAACAGCAAGTGATGCGCACAGCCCATCACCACAACCCATCACTTGGTGGACGCATTTGCCAGAACCGGACACAACTGGAATCTAAAATACAGCTGCTCAGGGATCATCTGAATATCTGCAATAAGCGTCTCTCTATATTTTGTTTAAGAATTAATATGGCCACTCAGTCAAGCTCGACGGAAGCAAGTGCCTGGCTAATGAAGTTATCTGTCCCCGCATCGGCCCGTCTCGTGTCCTTCGGGGCCGCCTCATTAACATCAAGGTCATCTGACCGTACACTGGCCTCCCCGTCGTCACTTTTCTCGCTGCTCTCCTCGCTTTCTGTCTCAGGTGGTGTCTGCAAACCCGTCTTCTCTGCGCCGGGTGCGAAGTGTCTCTTCAATATACACATCTCCACCGCCACACCCGGCCCAAAGGCGCAGCCCACGATGTGGTCTTTTGGGCCTCTGCCATCTGGTGTACAGGCATCCATGTCTTTTGAGCGCAAGCGGTCCAGCACGCTGAAAATCGTGGCGCTGCTAGAGTTGCCGTGGTTGATGTACGTGTCATAGCTCGCCCTCATGTGCTCCGGAACCAGCCCCATCGCCTTCTCTGCGCCGCTGAGAATCGTTGCACCACCTGGGTGCATGGCCCAGTCAAAGTCTGATGGCTTGGCGTCGTCCCATGGTGGTGACAAATCCAGTGAGGACGTCAGGTCTGCAAAAGTCTTCTGCAAGGCCCCCTGGGCAATTTTCGGCACGCGCGGGGATAGAACCACCTTCCAGCCCACGGGGTCAACATCAAAGCCCAAGTCTTTTGTTGTGTCTGGGATAATTCGATGATCCCAACCCAGTAAGTCGTACACTGGGCGCCCGGGAGCAGAGCGCTCGTCACCCAGCCCATTACTCAGGACCACTGCGCTGGCACAGTCTGAGAACAGACACACTCCTATCCTGGTTTCCTGAAGCTTGTCGATGCTGTCCAACTCACTTCGCACCATTGTCGTGCTCACTTCGAGGGCAAGCACCAGTATGCGCGCTGGTTTCCGTCGGTAGCTGTGACCCAAGGCGAGGTTCGCTGCCGTTCTCAGGGCGGTCAATCCACCTGCGCAACCAACACCATGTAGGAGGACTCTTTCGGCCTGGTGTGAGACTCCTAGCTCCTGGCAGACAAAGTGATCGAAGCCGGGATTGCCGCTGTCCGTACATGTTGTCGAGACGACGTGGGTCTATCTTGTGGTTAGCTTGCGCTACATACCATGAAAAGCAGCGAAAGGTTCATCTCTCAGTCCTGCACCTGGCACACTGCGGCTCAGGCACGGGCGGCGGCCCGATACTCACAATTTGATCCAGGTCGATTTTGGCTTCAGCAATGGCTTTCCGGGCAGCACTGACGGCGAGCGGTACTCCATCATTCATGAACACCTCATGAAGCTGTGCTATGGATGGAGGATCGGGGTGGTTGACGACCGGGTGGTCGGGGTTGCCGATGGACGAGCGGGTGTCGATGCCGGTGAACTGGTTGATGGCGCACACCTTCTTCATGGAAGGACTCTCTGGATGGTAGCGTTTCGCCAGAGTGTCTATGGCATCTGGCTTGAGATCGTATGGTGGGTATTGGGAGCCCACTCCCAAGATGGACAGGCCCAGCTGCCCGAAGGTGTTTGGTGAGGCCATTGCCAGCTTTTTCGCGGTCCTTTTGGCGATTGATTTGACGATTGAGCCTTGTGAGGTGTATCCTCTGTCTTCTCCACCGGCTGATGCACGCTTTCGAGGTGTAGACCAGTCACTGTTGGTTCAATGGCTGACGGGCGGCCGGCACGTGCTATCAGGATCGTCAACGTTCCCAGGCAAGGCCCAAGAGGTTGGTACGCAGTCCAAGCCCAGCACGTTGGTAGCAAACTGATAAGTGAGATTTTCCCTAGTGTCTCTTGTACTTCCTGCTCCCAAAGAGTCACAAGGTCGACGAAGCGCTGGTAGAAGAGTAGCGGGTTGAAAAATTGCGATTCAGTTGCGACGGCTTCAAGGTTGGCAACCACGTGCACGAATTTCCCGCGAAATTGTCTCAAGAATTTGAAACAGTCTTGACATGAGAAGGTATATTCATGAAGAATCCTTAGGTAATTTGGCCAGGTGAGGAGGGGCCTCTCACTCAGTTACGAAGACTGGTCAGGATGGGTTGTGACGCGAGGCGACGATGTTTGAAACAGGACGGGAGAGGTGTCCCAACAAATTATGGTGCCGCCGAGAGTATGAACAGGAAGGGGCGACGGGCTGTGTAAATCATTCCGTGCTATGATTGTGATTGCGATTGCAATGGGACGACGTGCAGCAGGAACCCAGTAGGTACTTGTACCATGTAGCTGTCTGTTGCAGCTGCAGATACAAGGCCGCCTGGGTCAGTCACGGTCCGAGGTCCAGGTCCATTCTTGGTGAGGACTTGCCCCATCCCCCGTCCTGGTGGCGAGAGCTTGATTCTCAAAAAAAAACCAAGCCCCAGCCCAGCCCAGCAAGCGCGTATGATACCGAGGCATCTGCAGCATACCAGCATGCACAACACTAGTCATTCGGCCGTCAGCCCACGCAGACACCATACCTGGACGACCCTGGGGATGGATGCACAGGGCTGCACCGAGTCGCAGGGCCCGACACCGAGACATCTAGGACTGCACTGGTTGCCCACACGAAGCTGACAAGGTCTCCTCCCAAACGCAAAACACGAAATCTTGAGTTCCCGCTGCAGGAAGTGTAGCAGAGCATGGCTGTGAGAACGGCCAGCTGCCCAAGGTGAGCTCTCCAGTGCTGCCATTGGCAAGAGCTGCAAGCCCACCCCTGACATTCCAGATCCTCCCCTGCCGCATCCCGGCAGACCTTCAGGAGCTTGCCTCCCTGCTCCTCTCCTTGCCATGCCTATCTACCTGTCTAGACCTGCCCCTTCGGGACCAGAACAGAGGGTGTGGCCGGGACGCAGGAGTCAATGGTCCTTGACCAGGACGCTGAGACAATGCTCGGCAGCTCCAACCACACAACCATCCACCAACACACAGCCGCACCCACCTTGACCGTTTCCAGGAGACAACAAGACAGCTCACAAACCCACCATCTTGCAGCCCACTAAGCCCTGTGCGACTGTCAAGCCCGTCAACATGACATGAAAATTACACCATACAAGCAACAGTAGGCGCCAGAACACAGCAGGCTGCAGCCAGACTGCCCAGACGAGGAGCAACGGAAGCGAGGTGAGCCGCCTCTGCGACGCAGTCAATGAATCATGGCCAGTGCAAAACTAATCATGGGCGCCCGTTACGTTCTAGCCATTGACCAATTGGACGCACAATCTGCACAGCCGCAAAGACCGCATTGGTTCGTCGCCCGGAACCGACCATCCGGAACGGCACCCGGAACACACAATTCCACCTTCAACGGTCACAATCCGGCCGACCCAGCCCCGCCCGGGGCACGAATTGCGCCGGGCCCGAGCCGCCGCAGACCACGGAAGCAGTCTCTCCCAAGGGTCGAGAAAACATGCATTTCGGCAACCTGGCCCTCCTCTTCCACGTCCTCATCGAAGCGCCCGCCTCGCTGTCCTTCCTGCTGAATGCGCCGAAGCAGCTCCGGGAGGCGAGGCCTAGCCCAGAGGCTGTCCTCGTGTGCCAGAGCTACGGCGGCCTGCTGTTCGCTACCAACGTGCTGTGCGTCCTGCTCCTCTACTCCAGGGGCAGCACCAACTTTGACGATGCCAGCGCCATCATCGCCACATCGCTGGCTATATGCCACGTCATGCCTATCCGCAGGGCCTGGATGAGAATCAAGGCGCAGGGCGCCGGCCGTGGCTGGCTACAACAGGCCGATGCGCTGGGTGGCCCTTATGTGCACTTGATGGTGCATGCTCTATTGCTTGTGTCTCTGACATGGGCGGGCTTGCATGGGATAGTGCGTGGAGAGCTTTGAGATTCATATGGAGGTTTATATATTTAGGGGCTAGCGTCCTGTACAGCACCACATGGAGGGTTGCACAGCATTAGCCCCGGTCAGCCTCTACCTAGGTACCGGGCGGCCCTCCAACAACGCCGTGGAGGCCGTCGCCGGCTCCTTTACTTTCTCGGCCGCGTCGGGGCTCACGCCCGGCTTCTCTGCGTCCGTCGTCTAATTCCTAAACAGCTTGAGCCCCTCCTCCTCGGCCGCGAGGTCATCATCTTCTTCATCAGAGATATCCTCCTTGAGCTGCATGCGCTGCCCGAACAGAGTCCCGAACAGCCGGTCGATGGCCTCGTCCTCCCAGGTCCGCCTATCCTCAGGCGCCATGAAGTTCTGTAGCTTCTCGTGCACCGTAAACCTCAGCTTGCGGCCCTTGCTCGCCCGCCTGTCCACCTGCTTCCGCGTCTTGGCCTCCTTGAGCGCGGTCCACCGCACTGTGGGCACGCCGTCGTTGCCCGTGGTCCCGGAGTCGGTCGTGCGCTGGTCGACGAGCTCCTTGAGCAGTATCTGGTAGAAGTCGGCGTCGTCGTAGATGCTCGGGTCCTCGCTGACCTTCTTAGCAGCCTGGAGGGGAGCGCAGGACCTGGGCACTTGGGTGCGCTGGACCAGGCGGTCCGAGTTGAGCATGTGGTCCTCGAGCACGGACACCAAGGACTGCGAGCCTTTCGCGACGCCAAGCTGACGAGTGTTCATGGTCGTCGCCTTGCTCTTGACCCTGGTGGACCACTTCTCGAGAACTGTGTTCCGCTTCTTGATGGCACGCTCCTCGGTGGCTTGCATTTCCTCCCAGAGCTCGTCGTTAGACGTAGTAGTATCAACGTCACGCTTGCGCTTGTCTCCCGCTTTCGGCTCGGGAAGCAGGCTGGCCCTGAAGCCATCGATGGCGTTCCACAGCTTGATCGCAGCCTCCTCGGCTGCCTCATAGGGCTCCTTGCCTGCGTCATCAGCCCCAGTCGCCTCGTTCAAAGAGTTGGTGGCAATGAGGCCCTTTTGGAGGCGTATTCTGAGGCTCAAGAGAGAGTCGTAGGTGCGGCGCTGTTTTCGGACTGCAGCACCCTTTTCTGCGTCCTCTTTGGCTGCCTCAGAGATGGTGGCGACCTCGGTCTTCTGGCCCTTCTGCATTGCCTCGCGCATTGCGGCACGGCTGTCCTTGGGCCCAGTGCCCTCCATCTTGACGTCTTCGTCTTCCTCTTCATCCTCGAAGCTCTCGTCTTCCTCGGAACCCTCATCTGAGCCCTCTTCGTCAGACGATTCCTCAGCTTCTCTATCGATGAGATCGTCCCCTGAGTTCAGGTCATCCAACGAATCGTCTCCTTCTGAGTCGCCTTCGGACTGAGAATCTTCCTCATCCTCGTCAATCTCGTCGTCCTCGCTCCCCGAGGTCGACATGAAATCGGCCGCGACAGCCCTTTTCGATCGCCCGTTTGTAGCAGGTTTGGAATCATTTTTGGAAGCTTTCTTGCTGTCTTTGAATGTGAAACCCTTCTTCCTGAAAGACTCCTCCTCGCCGTCCATGAAAGCCTCGTCGCTATCGATCTCACCGTCATCATCGATTATGTTGTCTCGTTCAAGGTCGGCTGTATTTGGGTCGTCGTACTCTTGGGAGTCTTCCGAGCCGCTGTCGTCGTCCTCTTCCGAGTCGCCTTCGCTGGTACCATCACTGTTATCCTCTAGGGCTGCGCGGCTGACTTTGACGCCGCTGTAATTTGGACCTAGTGCCGGGGCTTCCTTTTGGCGGAGCTTGCTCTTGCTGCAGGAATAGTCAGACCCATGTCATGTTGGGATAAGATTACTTCGAGAAGGACGTACCCAACATTGATATAGTGTTCAGTTCCTGCCAAGTCCTCGTCGGCTTCACTGTCACTTTCGTCCTCGGACGGGGGATTCGCTTCCGGGTCGTAATCTGCAAGAGATGCTGTCAGTCAAACCTGGGCGCTTGCTTGTTTGCTCCGGAAATTGGGGGCAATGAATGCATACCCTTCACAGCTTTGTCTTCGAACGCAGCGAACTTCTTCGCGCGTGCTGACTTTGTTGGCGCCATGGTTCTTGTTATGCGGGACGTTGGTTGGAGGAGTCTGGGAATTTTCAGCGGCGCAAAAATGCAACTTGAAGCTTCTGAACTTTTTAGTGGAGCCGATTCGGCAATTTGGGGTACCTGTTGGGCGGGCAGGCCCAGTGATTGGTCGCTAAAGTCGACGGACCCAAAGTCCCTTCTGGGGTCCTCGTTTAAGCGACTTGCGGCTTGCGGCTTGCACACGGCATCCCACGCTGTGAAGGTCATCATATCTACGTTCACACGTGTTAGTTCTCATTCCATATTTTCTATATCTCAGCCAGGGCTGCAAGCCAGACATGGTAGAATCCTCAGCATGATCACAGCTATTTCGTTAATCCCTCCTCCTCATTAATCTATTTTTGTGAAATTGCAGCATATTTCTGAGCCTCCTAGTTCAGTTTGTTGGCTAGATTCTGACATAAAAATGACCGTCATGACCCCAATACAACGGCGCTTCTTTAGCACCCTCCGCGCCTTACAACATGAGAACCCTCTTGTGAGATCCTTCCTCTGCTGTTCAGCTCTATGAATACTAATCAAACTTCCATAGGGTCTCCCCCGGACAGGCTCCATCCCTCGGATGCAGCGTGGCCTTCCTGAGCGGCGTCAGATCAAGGATGTTGCCAAGGTCATCGCCGTATCCTCCGCGAAGGGCGGCGTAGGGAAGAGCACCATCGCTGCGAACCTGGCCCTTTCATTTGCGAGGCTGGGCCACCGCTCGGGAATCCTGGACACAGACATCTTTGGGCCGTCGATACCCACGTTATTCAACCTCAACGAGGAGCCTCGGCTCTCCGCAAGTGCGTAGTCAAACCTTGCGGGCGCAGGGCGCAGCCACGTCGCTTCGTGTAGCTGATGACTGCGGACCAGATAATCAGCTGCTTCCCCTATCGAACTATGGGGTCAAGACCATGTCGATGGGCTACCTGGTCGGGGAGGACGCCCCTGTCGTGTGGCGCGGCATGATGGTCATGAAGGCCTTGCAGCAGCTTCTTCACGAGGTTCACTGGGGCGGTCTGGATGTGCTTGTCTTGGACTTGCCCCCAGGCACTGGTGACACGCAGTTGAGCATCACGCAACAGATCGTGCTGGATGGTAGGCCCGCCTTCACCTCCCTTCCCACCGCCCAACGGGCAGACTCGGAAACTCACAGGCTGCACACACAGGCTCAGTAATAGTGACAACACCGCACTCCCTCTCGGTGAAGGATGCGGTCAAGGGCATCAACATGTTCAAGAAGGTCAACGTGCCCCTCCTCGGCCTCGTCAACAACATGTCCCTCTTCACCTGCCCGGACTGTGGCGGCCACCACCACATCTTCGGCTCCAGCGACGGCGTGCAAAAGGTGTGCACGGAGCACGACATCGCGTTCCTCGGCGACATCCCGCTGCACCAGAACATCGGTAGCCACGCGCAGGAGGGCAAGCCGACCGTCGTGGCGGAGCCCGGGAGCGAGCGGGCTGAGGTGTTCCTGAGGATCGCGAGGGAGCTGGGTGGGAAGATTGGGCTCTAGATCTCCCGGTGGAGGGGCATGTTGTGAACTGACGACCAGTCTACTGTTTGCCTACTTTCTATGGGACCCCCACAGCCAGTGCTGTCAACTTGCGCATACTTCGTCATTACCCTCCATTCAAAGCCCCAGGGCTCCTATGATGCGATGTTGCTTGCGCCTAGCCCCAAGTGAGAGGTTACCCTGTGTTCAGTGGTGTCTTCTTTCTTGTGATATTTCATGCTGGGCCTTGATGGTGTGTGACATTGGCCTGAGCTCCCTGTCGCAAGCTGATGAAAGCCCGTTCAGTGTCTCTGTTGTGGCACGCAAGACGCTGTCTGTTGCCCGTGGTTGCTGTCGGTCGTATGCCTCAATGACATATGCAGGTGGCAGTCTTTCGTTGATCACAGATGGGCAGCAGCGAAATGCAACCCCCCAGGAAAGCTGATACAGGAAGGCAGGAGCGAAGAAAAAGGAAGCGAGGTGTGCCAAAAGGTCAAAAGAGTTCGGCCCTCGATCGGTGGGCCTACATCTCTTGTCGTCGAGCCGGGTTGTCGTACACACGCAGCGCGGAATATTTGGCCTCACCGACGGTCCCGATCGTTGCCGTAGCCGGCGCGGAATATTTGGCCTCACCAGCAGTCCTGCGGAAAATCCATTTGGTTTTTTTAATCGTTCGTTCGATCGATCGGGGAATTGAACCTGGGGCGTTCGGTCGGGAGTGGCGTGAGGGAGATGGCTTCGCAGTAGGGCGTCCCCTACCACTAGGCCATCTTCCCTGGCAGATGGTTTGCGATGGAAGTTTAAATGGCCTGGTCTGCTGGTTTGTTTGCGTGGAGGGGCAAGTGAATCACTGGGGTGATGGGATGGAAGGGTTCGTGACGCGTTCGTGGGCGCGCTTGCGGTGGTGGTGGGTTTGCAGACGAGGCGGGCGACGAGCTTCCAACCCTCAGCTTGGACATCCAGGTTCGAGGGTTGTCACAGCACAGACACAAGGAGCACAATATCCACGATGCGTTGCTTCCTCTCGGGGGTCCCCGTGGCTTGATCTATGTGATGGTGTCTTTGTCAGGCAGGTGCTACCACATGTACCCGTTGCCTTGGTGATGTGTTTACAGGCCGACTCATGGACAGGACGACGCGTGTTGGCTTTCCCGCACGCGCTTCGCAATCGCAGAGGAGATATCTGTTACAAACACAGTATTCGTGTCCATATATACTTGTTACTGGACAGGCCGGACGGCATGTGCTCACTACGGGAGGCGAGCACCAGGCTTGGTGTCCACTATCACGCTACAGATGATACATGGCCCAGAGGCAGTGGAGCATTTCTCATGACACCTCTTCGGCACATATAACGCTCGAGGACCTTTGCGGTCCAGCTAGTGATATCAAAGCGGACGAGCGGCTCGCTAGCCCTCACCCGAATATTGACTTCATAACAATCTCAGTATAAGTGGTCTCATATACAGATAAAACAACAAGACTTTGAATGAAATCAGCCGCCATGGGAAAAGTTGCTACCACGAGACCAAATCTCAAAAAGCTGCGACGCTGGCCCGTCTCATCATGGGCGCAACGAAAAAGGAAGAGCACCAGCCTGTGAAGAGAAGGATAGCTCTTATGGACCAATTACTCCCGGTCGCCATCGTCTCACATCATTTGAACGCCGTGCCGTCATTCTGTCTGTCTGCCCGCCCATCTGTCTGTCCATCTGCCACCCATTCAAGCCGTCTTCTTCCATATCGCCACCAGACCGATCAGACTGCTGACGGTGCCGGCAATACCGACGATGCCGTCGTCAAGGTTGACCCAGCCGAGTGCCGAGGTAGGAATGGTCAGATCGCACAAGTCGGAGATGAGCTGCAATTGGCTGGCAGACCGCTCACTGTGATAAAGGTTAGCCATATCTCAACAACCAGATAAGAAAAATGGCGAGGCAGAAACACTTACATTGCTATCCGCTTGCTCTCCACAACGCCCTCGCCCTCCTTCTTATCGACCTTTGCCTCGCGCTGCTTGAGCTGGTACAGCGTATAAGTCTGTGCGACAACGGAGCTGATCAGGCCCATGGCCCAGAACCGGAATGCCTCGCGCTGGAGCCTCTTGGTGGACTCGCTCTTGCGAATCCCCGCGGCGTCCAGCACGGTGGCCATGTCGAGGGATAGGTAACCGGCATAGCCGAGCTGGCGGGCGACGGCGGTGTAGCGCAGCACCGGGTCGAGGGTGCCGGCCTTGGCGTCCGCTGCGGCGGCGGCGGCGCGCAGGTGCTCGACGTTCTTGCCGACGCGCATGAGCTTGCGCGTCAGGCCGAACTGCTTCTTGACGGCGTCCCAGGGGGCGATCTCGCCGGGGGCGCCGTTGGTGCGGAACAGGTACCAGGCGTAGAAGCGCGCGAAGTACTGCAGGGTGCGCAGGACCTTGTCGCGGCCGGCGGTGGTGGCGACGAAGCGCAGGTAGTGGGCCACGCTGGGGTGGTAGATGGCGGCGTCGGCGACCATTGTGGCGGTTTGTGTGTTTGTGACTGTCTGAGTGATCGTTCGTGGGTTATTCGGCGAGGTTCGTGAGTTGGTGACGCTGCGCAGATCGGATGTCACGAGGGCGTGAGGTTGAGGACGGTTCTACAGAAACAGTGGGGATGAGAGAGGGGACGGGCTGGACGGAATGTCGTCGTCAATCACAGCTGAACGGACACACAATGTGAGCAACAGGTTGATTAGACTGTAACCAGAATCGAGTCACTTCGAGGAAGACAACTCGCGTCGCGAGGCGTAAGTGGGAGTAGAGCTCTGATGAAAAAGAAGACGCCGTGAATTGTCCGCATTGGCATCGGCAACGGCGTCCAACGGGTCAGTCGCACGCGTGCGTTGGCGCATGTGCCGAGGTCAAAGTCGGCGATTTTGGCACTGACTGAGTCTGACAGGCGCCGATGGCGCACAAACCCGAACCCTGGCGTGCGGGATGAGAGAGACTGTCTAGTCTGTAGCATGAAGCAAGAGTTTAAGACTAGAGACCAGTGCTGCTACAGTCTCGAGACGAGCATGTGAAATTGCTGGTACAACCTTGGGTGACGTCTGTGGATGGACATCCCTGGTTGACAATCTCCTATGGAACGGTTTTGGTTGGTCTGCAGGGTAATCTGTAGAGTAAATGAGAGGTGATGTTGACCTGTCTTGATTCGTTCTTGTCACTGATCCTGGGAGCTGTTCATGTACTAAACGGAGGTATCTGGCGTGCAAGTAGATTGTCTTCGCAGTAGATGGGTGGTATGCAGCTACGATGAGGTCGACAGCGTCCCGGGAAAATTGTCTTGCATCAATGTTGTGTCAATGGACAAAGGGGTGAACCCGTCGGGCCCAGTCGAAGGCGGGACCCACACCGTGCTTGGGAGCCACGGAGAGCCACAGCGCGCCCCCGCATTCCTCCGCCTGGGCCGTTCTGAACCGTCTGGAGCGTCAGTGTGGAGAAATCGTATCTTGACATGCAGCTGGGGCAGATCAGGCCGATCAAGCTGACAGCGACCCGGCTGCCCGGCTTCCCTTCGGAATCGGAAACGGAAACGGAAACGGAAAAGCTTCTTTGCTCCAATTAAACGTCACTGCTGCGTACCGTTTACCCCATGGCCGCCACTGTGCCGAAAGCACGGCAACGTCAACGTCCCTTCTGCTGTCCTGGCCGTCTGGATGTCCCGGCCCAGTGAGGGGCACAGGTGGGCGTGGAGGTTGCCCCTCCTCCTCATGGGCATGGGCAAGAGGGATGGATGTGCATACTGCCGCACCTACATACCCATCCCGATTACACCTAGGTACCCTGCCCCTCGTAGCCGAAGCCGACGAAGGGGCCCCTCCGGCCGTGTCATTATCGTGAGTCCCTTCGTGGCTAGAAATTGATCTGATCTGCTCTGGCCTGCGCTGGCCTGTCGCCCGTCTCCTTCCTTCCTGCTCCTTCTCTTCTCCTCTTGCACAATACATCCTACCCTGTCTCGAAACATATTGCAACCCATCCTCTCTACCTAGCACACCCTAGAACCGGACACAACGACACCCTCATCTTCACCTTCACTCTCACACTCCACAGCAAGCTCCTTCTCTCTGCGAGCCATCTATATACCCGGCTATTCAAGGCTGTCGTGATACGGCCCATAGCTTCCTTCAACTCTGTTTCAGGCCCTGCCCCCACGTGCTCACCATCCCGCGACCAATCCATCTGCTCCCTTCTGCTCAGTTCTCAAGCAGTCTGCTTGATAGCCGCTAGACTCTTGTTCTGTTCTCTGTGTCTCTTGCTGTCCTTCCCACCACAATGTCTGCACAATTAACATCCAATGGCACCGGCAGCGAGGCCGAGACCATTAACACCAACATTGTCACTCTCACACGCTTCTTGACCGAAGAGCAGGTCAAGGTCAAGGAGGCAACCGGAGACTTCACGTATGTGCCCCCATCCAACACATCCAGCCACTGCTCCCCAGTCAACTGACTATATTTACCCTCTTGGCCAGCCTGCTTTGCCACGCCCTGCAATTCTCCTTCAAGTCAATCGCATACTACATCCGAAGAGCAACCCTCGTGAACCTGACAGGTCTGGCCGGCTCCTCCAACACTACCGGCGACGACCAGAAGAAGCTCGATGTCATCTCCAACGACCTCTTCATCGCCGCAATGCGCTCCTCGGGCAAGTGCGCATTACTGGTCTCCGAGGAGGAGGAGAACGTCATATACTTCAAGGAGAACAAGAACGCCCGCTACGCCGTCGCCTGCGACCCCATCGACGGCTCCTCCAACCTGGACGCCGGTGTCTCGGTCGGCACCATCTTCGCCGTCCACAAGCTGGCCGAGGGCTCCACGGGCACCAAGGAGGACATCCTGAAGCCGGGCACGGAGCTGGTCGCCGCCGGCTTCACCATGTACGGCGCTTCAGCCCAGCTGGTCATCACCATGAAGGGCGGCGGCGTCAACGGCTTCACCCTCGACAACGGCGTCGGCGAGTTCATCCTGACCCACCCCAACATGCGCCTGCCCAAGCAGCGCGCCATCTACTCCGTCAACGAGGGTAACTCGCTCTACTGGGAGGACAACGTCAAGGGCTACTTCGAGTCGCTCAAGCAGCCCCAGGGCGACGACGCCAAGGGCAAGCCCTACAGCGCCCGGTACATCGGATCCATGGTTGCCGACGCCTACCGAACGCTGTTGTACGGCGGAATCTTTGCCTACCCCGCGGACAAGAAGGCCCCCAAGGGCAAGCTGAGAATTCTGTACGAGTGTGCGCCGATGGCCATGGTCTTTGAGAACGGTAGGCTCTTGAAAAATTCCCACGTGCGTTTTCGTGACCATTCGATGCTGACAACATCGCAGCCGGCGGACAAGCCGTCAACTCGAAAATGGACCGCATGTTGGAAGTTGTCCCTGAGTACATACCCCTCTCCTCTCCTCCCACCTTGTCCAATTTTCCCCCTTCACATTGAGGCATGTTTCTGACAGCCACCGCAGGGATATCCACGACAAGTCAGGAATCTTCATGGGCAGCTGGGATGAGGTCGAGAAGGTCAAGCAGTTCCACAAATCATAAGATACCCGAACGGATAGGCGCTCTGTCACTCTCACTCTTTGGGCTCGGAAGTATCATGGAGGAGCAAAAACGGCGTTGCTGCTTGCTTGCGCTGCTGTCACGATTACCCGGTTGGATGAGGGACCAGATTGGCAACGGTCATAAAGTGCATAGCTGTGTATCTACACGAATAATACCATGAAAAAAGTAAACGCGAAGCAAAGCATTGCACCGATTATACAGCGATGGGATGCTGTGTGCATATGTATCTTCTAAACAACGGCACTCGGGATGCGTTAGGCCTATGCGCCTCATAAATTACACTTGTCGACTGGGCAGTTATTTGGAGCATTAAGCTTGTCTTGTGTGACTATCTAAAACTATCTGCTGAGAAAGTGACATTTGTCTTGCCACTTGTGTAGAGGCGGAATCCCCCTTTCTTTTCGTCTCGTCTTTCTAAGACGGTTTCGTCCCTGCCAGTATTTTCTCATATCCCGTCTCGCCCGCAATGTGTCCCGCAGCCATTACCTGAGAGCCATGGGTAAAAGTCAAAGACGTAAATGAATACCATGCTCGCTCGCTCGCCTGTCCACCTCAAGGGTGGACCACCATATTCGACGGAATTCCCTTTCATCCAATCATCCACGCCCGACCATGACGTCCCTGTAATACGCAAAGGCCAGCTCGTTCGAGTACTTCAAGTACGCATCCTCCGTGAGCGGCAGGCCGAGGACCTGGTTGAGTGAGGTCTGCAATAAAGGATCTGGTCAGCATGGTGCCATCGAAGATTCATACGGGGGAAAAGAGGAAAAAGATTGGGATCGTGAACGTACCTCGCCCTTCTTAGCCAGCTCAACAACCACCTTGGCCACCTCGCTCGCCATGTCCGCGACGGCCGCGACCTCCAGCACATCCGCGTCCTGCCTGACCTGGACGCTCTCGTGCAGCGCCGGCAGGCCCGCCATCAGGCCCTCGACCACGCGCGGCGGCACGGCGGCCGCCGAGCCGTGCTCGACGTGTCGGACGAGCTCGATGAAGTCGCGGTAGATCCTGCCGCCGAAGTTCCAGTCCGGCACGAACCTGGCCGCGTCGTCGCCGAACTCGGACAGCAGGTCGTCCAGGCCGTCCCAGTCGCGCTCGATGATCGCCGAAGGCGCGACCTGCTTGGTGAAGGTCTTGTGGGCCTCGGCGTAGCTGCCCGCCCGCAGCAGGTACACGACCTCCTGCCTGGGGTTGCCCTTGACGCTGCGCATGTACAGCGCCTTGGCCTGCCACACCCACTCCGCGGGGATCTTGAAGGTCTGCGTGAGCGTCGCGAAGTCCTCGCTCTGCTCGCTTCCAATCAGCTGGGCGTGATGGGAGAGGTGCTCCTGGATCGCCTTGGCTCGAGCCGCAGGGTTGGTCAGGTGCAGGAGGACGAAGACGGCTTCGAGCCAGTGACCATCGTTGGTCAGCTGCCACGCGAACGTCAGAGTCGCAGCGTCAGCCTTATCGTCCGCGTCGCGTCCGAATGAGACCTTGCCGGTGTTGACAAGAGCCTGGCCCAGCTGCCAGCACAGGCGGTTGTCCAGAGGGGATAGTTGCGAGTTCTCGGGCCGGAGGATGTCGGCCAGATCAATCTCCTTGTCGGCATACAGCTTCAGTAATCCCCACAGTAGATCCTCGCGCAGGTCCTTGTCAGGGTCATCCCATAAGGCAGAGATACCTTGCTCGGCGAACCATGGCTGAGGCCTCGGCTCCTTGTCTTGCTGGATGTCGTCGGCAAAAGAGTGGATTGCTTCGACGACATCATCGGCTGAGGTGATTGCGTACCATAGACGAAGCCCGAATGCCTGCTTCCAGTCCAAGCCGAATCGTTGTGAGAGCACGAATGACTCCATCCGATTCTCCATGGCCCCCTTAGTTCCCTCGACGGCGCAGACGTTACCTCCGAGTAATTCATAAATGGCACGAATTGGCTCAGTGAACTCGGACAGAACGTTGACCTCACGCCATTCCTTGACCTGTTCCCGCATGTCTTGCATGAGCTGGTCACTGGTCCCAATGAGTGAGACCAGCGTTGCCAACCGGAAGTTCTTGCCATCAAGCAGGTGCTTGCAAGCGTCTGGGATCTGGTGGCCGGATAGGGACGCGATGGCCTTATCCTCGGGGGATCGAGCCATGCCGACAGCTTTGTTAGACGCCTCTTCGACAGTGTTCTGCCAGAACTTGGAGAGGTTACGTCGGCGAGCCTGACGCAGCCCAGACGGTGGAACTCTGTTTCCATCGACGTCGGTAACTTGATCGAAGAGGATGCTGGCGAGGTCCCAGACCATCTTCTCGTGGGCGTTGGCCGGGTTCTGCAGGTCCTGCCCGTGGAAAAAGGCCGTCAACGTGCTAATCGGTCCCAGCGACACGGTGGGGACGTTGTCGACGAGGTTGACACGGGTCAAAGCCATTTGATTGGCCAGTGACTTTGGCGACGTCTCGTTGGAGAATTTCGCAAACCGAATATCGCGATGCTCAGAGACGATGTTGAGCTTACCCATAGCCATGATGCCGTCCTTCTCGAGAGCTCGCCTGGATGATCTGGTGATGGTCTTTGGCGTGGTAGAGATGACCAGGGTGCCATCCGGGCCCCAGCTTGGGCGGAGGGTGTCGTGGAAGGCTTTGTCGGCAGGATCCATATTGGCTTCGTCCTCCTCGCCAGTCTTGTCTTGTCTCTTGTATGGCCACTAGAAAAAGGGAAAGTCTTAGTACGAAGCACATTTTATTAAAGTCAATGCATATGAATAAATACAAAACGTCCACAACCACCATCCAAACCCATGCGTGAAAAGCAATCTAACAGACAGATGTGGTACCGACCTTGAATCCTGACGTGGGAATGGGAGCCGGCGCAGATCGAGCCGGCGCCTTGGGCTTCTCGAACAACGAGTTCATGAGCTCAATGCTCGTGGCAAATCCACGGCCATCCGGCACGGCTCTTGGCTTTGCCTGCGCAGCATCCTGTCGTATACTGGCTTTCAGGTCCTCATAGGTCTCTTCCTCATTGATGGCTTTCAACGCAGCGCGATCTCGCTTTGCTGGGCCGATGGTTTTCTGGAGCATGTCCATCCAGTCATCCCCATCGGCGACCTGAAGCTTGAAAGGCGTGTTCGAGTCCTTGATAGCGCGCATTCTGGCCCTCATGATGCCGCCAGGCGTCTCCTGGTACTCGGCCATCGATCCATGGTAAGGCGAGTCGTAATCTGGCTCCGCGGCTTGATGATACCCCAGGTAAGCACTCGTATCTTGTGCCTCGGGTAGAGCATGCTCTTCGTCCATTATTTCATCCTCGTGGTGTTCTAAGGCTTTGGACAGAGAGCCCGCGGAGCGGTTAGATAAAAAAGACTGCTCGTTGGCGTCGGCCATATCCTCTTCGTCGTCGGAAACAGCACCTGTGTAGTCGAAAGCGCCAGGAAGGGCGCGTCGCTTCCGCCTAAACTCAAAAGTGTCCTCAGGCTCAGCGGAAGGGTGCTCATGCTCCACATGAAAAGATGACACGGGTGGCGCAGGAAGGTCGGCATCCTCCGGGGCGACCTCAGCGAGAGTATCGCCTTCAGTGTCTTCCTCGTCATAGTCGAGGCCGTAGGTAGTGAAGTGCTCGACCTCGAAGGTCCACACCCCAGTTTCCGCGTTGTAGTCGATGAATTTCGTGTCGGGGATCTTCTTGAGGCGCTCGACATGCTTGTTGAACGCACGGCCGGACTTCTCAGCGATTGGTGTCCGCTTGTCCCGGCCACGCGGCCAGGAGTGCTCCAGAGAGATCTCAGAGGGTACGTTCAAGCCCTTGCCCACTGGGGGCTTCTTCGCAGCGACTGGGTAAACCGTGCAAGACCGGGTCTCCAGGACAACGACGTTTCCTGGAATCTCATCCAGGTCGATATTGGTGAGGTCAACAGGTGTCTTGAATTGTACCTGTCCAACGTTCTCCCGACCAACAGTAAAGTTGGGTACCTGAGCTCGCTGCACACGGTTCATCTTCAAAATTTCGTCCTTGGAAGGACTCAGCCAATAAGCTCCGGCTTCTTTGCTCGGAGAAGAGGTGGCGTTCTGGGGTGCAGGTGCAGAGGAAGGCTCCTCGTGCACAACTGCCAGTTCGTTGCCCTTGGCCTGTTCCATCTCAGGCTGGGCATCCGGGCTCTTCGAACCACCATTGGCTGTAAGGTTACCTCCATTTGTTGGGCGGATGAAGCCCAGATCCTGAGCAGAGGCAGTAGGGGTTCCCGGTGCGCCATCAAGCGTGCCATTCTCGGACGCGTCAAGGCTCGTATCGAAACTAACCCGTTTGGGGAGCTTGCGGGGACCATTGGGTAACTCTGCGGGCTGCTTATCTCTGGAGGGAGAAGAGAACAGATCGAGGCGCAAGGACTTGTCAATGTTCAATTTCTTCAAGCCTGCGCTGCCGTAGGGGCGAGTTCCCATGCTGGATGAGAACGAGCCCGGCGTCAGGATACTATCCTCGGCATTGAAACTCTTGCGCAGGTTGCTCGAGGAAACACTCTTGCTGAGGGACCGATTCAGATTCCCTGTACCAAGCAGACTCTGTCCGAACCCACCAGGTGTGCTACCTGCACTTGATGGTGTAGCTGGGGAGCCGTAGGTACTGTAAGAGAAGCCAAAGCCCCGCTTGACTGGAGTATTAAACCTGGTGGAAGATCCAGGGTTCAGCTTCCACATGGGGAGAATAGAGCCCTTGCGCTCCTTCTTCTTGCCGGACAATGGCGTTGCAAGGGGCCCGGGGTTCTGCGCCTCTCCATTCCCAAGACCCGAAAAGAGGGACGGTGTGCCGTAGGCATTGACGTCGCCAATGCTAGCAGTCAATGCTTGGGGAGCCGCCTGATTGTTCTGAGAGTTGTTGAAAAGAGAGCCTCCCAGGACGGAATTCTGTTGTGGCTGTTGAGCTGTCGACTGTCCGAAGAGACCGCCCCCCGGTTGTTGTGCAGGTTGTGTTCCGAAGAGACCACCGCCAGTAGATTGTCCTGTTTGGCCGAAGAGGGATGGCTTTTGTTGGCTCTGGGCGTTGTTCAAGGTTCCAAACAACGATGTGGGCGCACCCTGCTGCTGCTGCGTCTGGTTGTTGGATCCCAGGCCGCCGAAGAGACCACCTCCAGCCTGTCCAGTCTGTCCAGCGGTGCTATTCCCGAAGAGGCCACCAGTTGCCGGTTTGTTGCCCTGTCCAAACAAGCCACCACCGCTTTGCTGCTGGTTGTTGGTCTGACCGAATGCACCTGCGTTGGTGGTGGTGTTGTTCCCGAATAGACCTCCTCCAGCGCTTTGCTGAGTGCCGGTGTTGCCGAAGAGCCCTCCAGTAGTGGCTGCAGGCTTGTTCTGGCCTCCAAACAGGCCGCCACCGGCCGGCTGTTGGTTGTTCTGCCCAAAACCACCGGCGCCGAAGCCAGTGGACTGGGGCTGCTGCTGGTTGGTGTTGCCAAAAAGACCACCGCCGGTGTTGGTTTGTTGCGTGTTCGTATTCCCGAAGAGGCCACCGCCTGTATTCGCGGTGTTGTTCTGACCGAAGCCTGTGCCGGTCCCGGTGTTGGAGCCAAAGCCAGTGCCCGTCGTGGCGCCCCCGAATCCCCCGAATCCGGTTGTGGTAGCAGGCTTGTTCTGGTTGTTGGTGCCGAACAAGCCGCCGCCGGTATTTCCGGTACCGAAGCCACCCGTGGCAGTGTTCGTGGTTCCGAAGCCACCTGAGGTAGCACCTGTAGAACCAAATAGTCCGCCGGTCTGCGCTGGCTGAGTCGTCGTGGTTGAGTTGCCAAATAGAGACCCGCCTGTCGCAGGTTTAGACTGTCCAAAAAGACCACCACCGGTCGCAACGGCACCGAACCCGCCCGTGTTCGTCGTATTGCCGAAGCCGGTCGTAGCCGCGTTATTTTGGGTGTTGCCAAAGAGGCCGCCGGTGGTGTTGGCGGCTCCGAAGCCTGTGTTCTGAGTAGCATTGTTGCCGAAGCTCCCTCCACCAAACCCGGAGGTTGTGCCAAAGGCGCCGCTACCGCCTGCTGGGCCGTTGCCGTATTGCCGACCCTGAGTATAGTCTGCCATCCTGAGTTCTTCGGCCGAGAACTTCTTGTATGGCTCTTGGAACAAAATGTTCTGGAAAGAGTTCTGTGCGGTGCTGTTGGGCTCCTTCTCAAGATAGGGGGAGAAAGCCAGGACAGCAGTTCCAGGGGGCTCTCCGACATTCGTGCCTATTCCGGGATTGTTGGTCGCACCTCCGAACGCACTGGTGGTGTTGCCGCCTGTGCCGAACCCACCACCACCTCCGAACATTGAAGTCCCAGTGCCGGTTGTGGTATTCGCCCCGCCGCCGAAAGGAGTTGACGTCTTGTTGGCGCCGAACAGGGAGTTGGTGCCTCCACCACCGAATGGCGAAGAAGTGGCAGCAGTGTTGGTTCCAAATCCACCTCCTCCAAAACCAGTACCGCCTGTCGTTGCCGTCGTTGAGCCGAAGAGTCCGCCTCCTGCTCCGGATGTAGCGGCACCAAACGCGGGTTTTGCGGCACCGAATCCTGTGTTGCTTGACGTGCCAAAAGCGCCTGTGACGAAGAAGTTGTTAGCAAAACAAGACTGTCTCAAAGCAGTCCAACATGTAGGTCAGCACAAGCCGGCGGCGTTAGAGATAGAGAAATCCCTGAAAGAGGGTTGACAATGAGGCGAGACACTTCGAAAAGACGCCTGGCGCATTCCACGGTAGTGCGGTGAGTCCGCCTAGGACCACATCGACCAGTGAAACGCGGCGCTCGCAGCGTTCAAAGGAAAGTGATGTATCATACCCCCAGTGTTGCCAAAGCCACCTGTGGTGCCTCCTCCACCAAAGAGGCCGCCCCCGGTGTTGGTTGTCTGCGCCGGCGCCCCAAACGCAGGAGTGCTGGATGATCCGAAGGCTGGTAGTTGGGGACATCGTGTCAGCCGAGGCGGGTGAAGGTTGAGGCCTGGCGCAGGAGCAAGAAGAAAAAGGACACGAAAATCACTGCGAGAAAATAAGATGAACGAACGTACCGGAGGTCGTGTTGTTGGTGTTTGCCCCAAAGCCGCCGCCGCCGAAGGTATTACTGCTCTGGGTATTCTGGCCGAAGCCACCACCGCCAAATCCGAAAGACATGTTGGAGATGGTCGGGGTTGTGGTAGCCCTGCCAGGCACAGATGGATGCGAAGGGTGGGATGATCAAGGGCGCGAGGGCCGTTGCCGTGGATCGCGCGCCGAACGCGTCAAGGTGACGAAGGCGCGACACGGCTGGGCCCAAGTCGCAGTCGGCAATCGAAATACAGTTATCGGTCGCGACGTTTGGGTGGGACCACGGGTGCTTCGCGCGATCGCGGTCGGTGCTCGAGCTTTGCTCTGCTCAGGAGGAGGTTGGGGTGAGGTCGAGGATGGGACGGGTGGGAGTTTTTTTTTCTTCAGTTGCAGGGGAACATGAGGAAAGCAGATCTCCGGTAAAGAAACAAAGGAGCTGACCGTCCTTAAAAGGTGACGAGGACAGACAGAAATGCAAGACTCGCCAGAATCAAAAAGAAAATGAAGCCATCTGAAGGCCGCCGCGGACAGGGTGATTGAGGGTTGGTGACAGCTCCTTTGCAAGCTTCCTCTCGGGTGGTGGTGCGGCGTGGAAAAAAAGCGGTGCTTGCTGGGAGTGACTGGGGGCGACATCAGTTCAGGCCAGTGGGCAGGCAGTCGGTTCACTCAGGTAGGCGCGAGCAGCCGACTCCTGGGCTCTAAAAGGGCCCAGCCACTGTGCCTGGACCACCAGTATGAGCCAATCATGGACGCTTGCAGTCCTGCACCGCTGCTGCCTCCCGGTGGATTAGTCAGTCTGGCCATAACAGGCCAGATTCATTGGTCAATCCCACCGGATAGGTCCCTCCTCGATTCTGCCTCGGGGGCTCCAGACTGTGAATACATGTCACAAATGTCACAAATCGTATCAGATGACCAACACTGCCTTTGTAAAGCAGGACAATGGGACAGAGTGAGTCAATGCCAGCCTCCAACAGGATAGGTGGCCGAGAGAGAGAAGGTCCAGGCTGCTGCTGTCCCGAGAAAATGCTGTCACATGACACCAGATGTCGGCTATTTTGGAAACGGTCAGCGTCCATGAAGATCACTCCCTGGCCCCTGTGGACTGCACTTTCAGGAACCGGAGATGCTTGCTCCCCATGAAGTTGTTGGCACAAATCCTCAAGAGGAAAGTTTACCATTCCGAAGCCAGCAAGAGGTTTGAATTGATTTATGAAGGTTGCCCAGGGACTTCCGCATGGGATGGAATGCATTCCGGAACTCGAGCAGTTTACCCGAGCCGGCAGCACAGAATTATTGAATGTCCATGTGATCTCTGTTGGAAGGTGCGAGGGTCGTATGCCCATACGCTAACGCTAGCCTACAAATAGGCTCCTTCTGAGCGTTCGATAGCGGGAGACTTCTCTCCTTAACACTCAACAATCAACTATCGTTTGCTTAATTGCTTCATCAATCTCTTCCTCGACAACCATGCTACACAAGCAGTGCTAGGCTTACTTTTCATCAGGCCTCTTGGTCACTTCAACTTTCCGTTTGGCGCAGACAACAGTTTATTGACATATAATTTGCCAAAAAGTGCAGTCAAAAGGCAGAGGGAGTGATATTGCCGGCGCAATGGATAAGTTGTTGGAATTGATCCCAAAACGACGGCTACCAACTGGACACTTGCACGTTCCCGTCAACGCACCCACATACCAGTTCACTTGAATCATAGCATCACTCGCTTCCCATAACCCTCTTACACCAGACTGGCCAATAATTCTTCCAGTTTTTGGCCATTTTTCATCTTAGACACCCAAGGACTGCTGGACGTAGTTGATCAGCAGCGGCGAGATTCTTGACTGGATCAGCCTATCACCCTGCTCGTTTGGATGGACGCCATCTCTCAGCATGGAAGTTGTGAAGCCAGTGTAACAGTCCGCGATGACTATGGGGGACTCCGTGCTGTTCAGGCCAGCAGCCCAGGAAGGGATGGCATCGTTAATGGAGACGATGGCGTTGTTGTTGAAGGAGAGCGGAATGACCTTGTCAACCTACCATGTGGGTGAGAATTGTTAGATGTGGCTCGTATGCGAAATCACCACCGCAGCACAGAACCATGGGGCATGCTTACGATAAACTTGGCCTTCGGGTTGTTCGCGCGGACGGTCTGCACAATCTTGGTGTAGGCAGCGGTGATCTGGGCAGCAGTATTACCCCGGGTGACATCGTTTGTGCCCAGCATGAACATGACAATGTCAGCTGGCGTGTTCTTGATCCAGTTGGCGATGTAGTTGTTGGCAATATCAATGGCCAGCCAGCCCGAGTGACCCTCGTTGTGCTGATCCCACTATTATGATCAAGGTCAGCCATATACGAAGACACCCTTCGTCCACAGTGTATTCAGGGAAGATAGACCCACGTTCGCCGTTGTAGGCTTGCAGTTCTGGGGGTTGCTGTTTTGCGATCCGACATACTGCACGCGGCTCGACAAGTTGGCAGCCGCGAGATCGTCCCAGACATAGGCGCGCCAGCATGTGATCTCCGTGATGCTGTCTCCCAAGGGCACTGCGACGTTGTGAGTAACTGAACACGTCTATATCACTCAGTATCCATGAGATTAGACTCACTGATGCGCAGTTTGCTCTGAGCAAAGCCACAGCTAAGAAGGGCCGAGGCTGCCAACAGAATCTTGGGGAGTTGCATGTCGTTCACCTAAATTGAGTGGCCTTGAATTGCGGGTCAAGAATCAGACACTGGGAATCTAAATTCTGGAAGACGAGAGTAATTGTCGCAAATGCCAAGTCTGTGTGCTTGGAGGGAGATTCAAAAGAATTTGTATAAAGTTTTCTATCTTCTTTATCACTAATTTGGAGAGCATTCAAATCTACGGCTGATCTGCAGGAAACGCAACTGGCGAGAATGGAAACCAAGATGCAGAAGAGTCTGATCAATTTACCCCTGGATTTTGATAACTTCTCGAGCACGGCAAGGAAAGTATGCAGCCGTGTTGGCGGGACAGTCCTTTCCCGGTGACATTCAAAAGACTTTGGTAAATTAGGCTGAAGTGGGTTGGCATGCGGCACTGCAATAAGACTGGCACCAAGGTCGTATCCGCGTCTTCGGTTTCGTTTCTCCTGCATCTTACTATGGCAGGTCGTCTTAGCATCTCTTTATGACGGCTTATAGGCTGAGTCAGCGTACGCCCACCTAGCTTTTACAATACGCCTACCTAGCTTTTAGCGTTGGCTTACCTAGTATAAGGAAATTGGCTGCATGTATTAATAAAATATAGGTATACCTTGGGAGCTAGCTTTTTAAAACTGCAGCTACCCCATTACTTTATTATATTTACCCTGCTATTCTTTACGTAATGTATTTAATTTACGTTTATTATATTAATATAAGGCGTAAAAAAAAATTTTATAACTTTAAGTTAGCTTACTTACTTTATTATTACCTACTTTATATAATATTTAACTTACCTTATAACTTTATTATAAAATTACTTTTTGCTTATTTATTTATATATTTAATTAACCTACTTATAAAATGACGTTTATTTCTTTTCATTTCCTTAAATTAATTATTTTATAGCCCTTATCTTTAAATACCATTTCATTATTAATACCCTTAAACTTAACCTTAGCATAATTATAAATAATTAAGATAATAACTTAAAAATAATAATTTAAATATTTAAAATATTTATAATATATTATCTTTATCCTTTAAAGCAATTATAAATATTTCTTAAATATAGCTTATAAAATTGCATTTAAATTTAAGTAACTTCGCTATTTATTTATTAAAATGCAATTTAATAACTATGGTCCTTATATTAATATTTATAGGGTAAAGCATAATCTTTATCTTTAAAATGCATTTAATATTTAAATTAAGCTATATAGATATATAGTTATGATTGTATGAATTAAAAAAAACTTATCTTATTATTAAATTATTATTAAATATATATTTAATGGCAAAGTAAAGTATCGCAGCAAAAGAGCAAATAAAACTATAAATAAGTTTATTAATAACTTTAAATAGCAAGTTAAAGAAGCAATAGTAACTAGGTAAAAAAGGTTAAAAAAGCTATTAGTTTTATATAAAATAAATTGCTTATTTAACTTTATAATTAAGGAAAATATAAGCACTTTAAGTAAATATACTTAATTATATATTTTATATATATTTATTAAAATATATAGGTCTTTTTTATATTATAAAGACCTTTTCCTTATATAACCATTTAGTATTTAAAACCCCTAAAAACATTCCTTTATTAAAACTACCCTTTTACCTTACCATTAAGAATAATGTAATATTTAGCTATAATAATATTTATTAAGTACCTTTATTATTTACTTTCTTTACATAATCTTATATAAGTAAATAACCTTTAAGAATATTAATAATTAACGCAAATTACTTAATAATTAAAATATTAAGGGCTAGCCATTAATTAAACGCCTTATTAATAATTTAATTAAAAATAGCTATTTAGTTAATCTATTAATTAATATAAAATATTAGGTTAAGTATATTATATTTTATTTTATAAAAGCAATATAATTTAAAAGCTTTAATAACCCTCTCTTTCTTATTATAAATGCTACTTATAATATTAATTAATATGAATTATTACTTATTTATATAATTAGGATAATACCTTAGCAATGCTTATATACTTATTTATTAACCTTAATAAGTAGTTAAATAACTAAGGATTTTATTTAAATGTTTAAGATATTAAAAAGCCATAGAGTTAATTATAACCTTTAAATAATAAATGCTAAGATTATTAAAAGCAATGCTATTTAAATAATATTTCCATAAGTATAAATTATTATATGCTAATAGCACCTCCTTTAAGCATTTAAATATAATATTCATATTACTTAATATATTTTAAATAATATAATATTTAAAAAGATAAAGGCAAAGTTTCTTGCTATAATTAATACTACCTATATTAATAACTTTAAGAGACTTTAAAGCTTATTTTAATAAAAGTAAATAAAGGTTAATAGGAATGCAAAAGCTATTTATTATATTAATAAAACTTAGCTTAATTACCGCTAATAAAGCGTTTATTAAGCATACTTCTTATATATAATGTATTTTAATATTCTTTTTATATTTATTGTAAAGAGTTTGTATTGCTATTTAAAGATATGGCTTAGCTGCTAAAAATGCATATACGCAATTATAATAAACGCCTTTCTTTATTTAATAATAGCTTTATTTTAAAGGTTTTAAAATATTTTAACTAAAGAATTAAAAATAATATTAAGCATATTACTTTATTTTTTTATATCCTTAGCTAGTTTATTATTTATAATATCCTGGATTATAAGTAACCTTTTTATTAATTATTATAATAAGTTAAAAAGTTTAAGTTAACTTAATATATTATATATAAAATTATTTTAGCATATTATAAAATGCTTATATACTTATAAAGTTAACGCTATAATGTAAGAAAGTAAGGTATTTTACCTAGTTAATTTTTATTTATATTAATATTAATTAAAACCCTTTATGCAATAATTAATATAAGAATTTACTTACTAGCCATAGCATTATATTATAAAGCTATTATTATATTCCTAAGAGCTTTTACCATTAAAAAATGGTTTAATATTATAAATTAATGCTAAAAACCTTAATAAGCCTATTAATCTTAAGCTTAAACTTATATAAGAACTATACTTTGCCCCCCCTTTATTAAATAATTTATTGCAAGATATAAGTATTCTTAACTATTTCCTTATTAGTAATGTTGCTCTTAGGACTAGATTAAATAATTTATCCCTAATCTTACCCTTAATTCCATTCAACCCTATTAACACTACATATACCCCCTTAAATAAAGCTAAGCTTAATACCCCTAAGCTTAATCCTAATCAATATACTTATATAAACGCGGAAATAAATGCTAAGCCCTTTAATAAAACAAAGCCCTTTTTATTATTAAAGAAAAGGAAGATTAAGTAGGCTAAGAATGGTTTTAAAAGGGTAAAGGCAAATCATTATACCCATAAGTTAAATACACTAACTGCCTTAATTAAGCGATTATTAAGCTAAAATAAGGTAATAAAAAAAAAAGGGTAGCCTTTAAAAGGAAATATAAGTAATATTATTAGCTTAAGCATAAATATATAAATTTTATTTATTTAAATATGCCATTAATTAAAATGGCATAAATATCATTAGATTTTATGCTTAATCTTAATAAATAAAACTTAAAGCATAGCTTTATATTAAGGCCTACTTAGGATATTAGCTTTTTAAAAAAAACAATATAAGGCGCATTAAATATAACGAAAGTAAGCAATTTATTAAAATGCATATCCTTATATTGCTTAATAATATCGCTATTGCATTTAAGCGATATGCTAAAGCTTATTCACTAATTTCATCTGCCATTTCCTTTAAGCATTTCAAAGCACTTTTTATTGCTTATCCTTAATCTCCTAATGCTTTAGCCTTAAACCCTGCTTCTTAACCTCACAGTATTAAATAATTATTTAGCCTAAGCCTTCCTAAATTAAGCAATGCATAAAAAGCGCATTAAAGTAGCTATTGCTAATTATAAATTAAATTAAGCTTAATAATATATTAAATAAAGCATATTTAAAAGACTTAATGATATGCAGTATAGAAAGAAGCATAGGCTTTATTACTAGCTTATGATTTGCATTAATATAATCCGCGCTAGCTGGCTTATAACGAACCGGGCCTTATTAAATAATCTATTAATATATAAAAAAAGCCTAATCATAAGAAATATTATAAACCATAGGTTAGTTAGCTAAATTAATAATAAGAAATATATATAATTAAATTATATAAAGAGTAATAATAATATAAATAATAATAGGTATTATAAAGGCTTGAAAAAGTTTAGCTTTATATCTTTAGCTAATAGGATCGCGGTTAAAAAGCAAAGATAAGGCAGGTTTGCTATTAATAATAATATATTATTTTGCGCAATTTAAGCACGAAAGATATATAACTATACTTTATTCATTATAAACCTTAATAATTAAATCTTTAAAAAGATTTAAGAGAAGTTTAAGGTAAAGAGGAATTAATTATTTTATAAGACCTTTTACTTTAATTAAAATTAATAAAAATATTATATTAAAAAAGGTATATTTCCTAATATATTAAGAGAGTTAAGTAAGGAATTTATATAAAACTATATTATTATTAAGGGTAGTTCTTAAGCAAGGAATATAGCATTATAGCATTTAATTAAATATATAATATATATATATAATGATTCTTAAATAAGTTTACCTAATATTAATATCTTAAATCATGCTATATTTATCTTAAATTTATTTAATATCTTTAAGCGCGTTATTACTAAGGCTTTTAAGCTTGCTGCTTATAATATAGTTTATTATTTCCTATTAAGAAATCTATACTCCTTAAGTTCCTTATCCCGTTATCTTTTAATTATATATCTTACTAAGATTTTAATTAATATTCCTTTTATATTGCTTAATAAGCTAGCTAAGCATGCTATATTTAAGGGTATAAAGATTATTATTAAATATTCTTCCTCCCTAAAATAAGCAGCGGGGGCAGGGTTTGGTTTTCCTTTTTCCTTATAATTATAAGATAAGCCTTAGCATTTAATACTTAACTAAATATGCCATAGCATATAAATATTAAAAGGCATAACTTAT